AACTACCCAGTAAAAACCATTCAAAGCTTAACATCAGACCTCAGTTAACCCTTGTGGAAGGATTTTTTTAAAAATCACCATAAACAAAATAAACGGTCAGTTATCTTGCATATATAACCCAACAGGGAGCATGTGAGTAACACATTATCCAAAGTATTGACCTTTGGATACAAAGCTTTTGATCAAATACAAAAGCTGAAAGATTTTAAAAACTCAAAGCATCCATGCAGCTGTGATATGGTTGTTGTTTAGTCATCTTAGTCATGTTCGACTCTCCATGACCCTTCTCACTTTATTCTCAAAGCTTCTCCTTTTTTATGTCCATGGAGTTTTCTTGGCAAAATACTGGAGTGGTTTGCCAGTTCCTTCTCCAGGTGGATCACAGTTAGTCTAAACTCTCGGCTATGACCTGTCTGTCTTGGGTGGCCCTGCACGGCATAGCTCAGAGCTTCTTGGAGTTATTCAAGCCGCTTTGCTATAACAAGGCAAATCCATGAAGGGGTGTGATATGGTAGCCTCACTCATCTGAGCTTTCCCAGAACAGGTAAGTGGTAGTGGTTTTTCCTATCATGAATAATGGTATTGGGGTTAAGATGACAATTGCTTTTCTTATTGTCTTACGCATAAGAAGGATACAATACACGAGACAAGTGGAGATATTGTTACATCGATAATTACAGCTAATTAACCAGACAGTACATAGGAAGGACTTGTTCATGTTTCAAGACACTAGCTTTCATTATGAAATCAAGCCAGCCAGAAGTAAATTTGTCTTTCCTACTTTGTCCTCTGGACATCATCTGTCAGTCTTTTCGGGCATAGGCAAACTCGGCCCTCCAGATGTTTTGGGACTACAACTCCCATGATCCCTAGCTAACAGGACCAGTGGTCAGGGATGATGGGAATTGTAGTCCCAAAACATCTGGAGGGCCGAGTTTGCCTATGCCTGGTTTTTTTAAACTAGCTATTTCCCAGAACCAAATTTGTATTGGTTAGTTATCACTGTGCCTGCAAGGCATCTAGCAATCATGCATCTTGTTGTTGTAGTTTAGTCGTCTTAGCTTGTAATGTGACTTCTAAGTTCTCTGCTTTGCAAAGCGTGAGTTGTTCGGGAAGGGTGTTTTCTTAATAGACTACATACACCTGTTAGAAGAAAAGGTTTCAGCACGTATTTAAAAGCTGCACAGGCTAGCTATTTGCTCCCTGTCGGCAGATTTTTACTGGAGTCAGAGCAAACAAATTTATAGGTACGTTACTGTTTAAACAATACTTTTTTTTTTTTTTTTACTGTTAATTCCACCCTTTGTGTTTGTCTTCAGCATGTGTGCTCAAGGATAGCCAAGACAGTTTTTGTGGACTAAACTGTCCTCACCCATTAAGCCCACATAAAACTGAAAGCTGGAATTAAGGGTCCTGTGCAGGGGCGTAGGAAGGGGGGTGCGGTGGGGGTCTGCCCTGGGTGTCATCCCAGAGGTGGGTAACAAAATTCCCCCAGGGTGGATCACGCTGCTGTGTGGGAGGGTCACCCCACTCCCGGGTGCACGGCATGCTCAAGCGACTAGCTCCGCCACTGGTCCCATGCTCCTTATTTTGGACAGTGAGTTGGAACATACAGAATCATAACATAGTCTCAATCCACACACCCTTAGTCTAACATATTATGAATGGGTCAAGTATGAGGTTCTCTAGGGGGAGAGGTAAAAGCTAAAGGTAAAGGACAGTTAAGTTCCGTCAAATGGGGTTGTGGCGCTCATCTCGTTTTCATGCCAAGAGAGCCGGCGTTTGTCCACAGACAGCTTTCCAGGTCATGTGGCCAGCATGACTAAACCGCTTCTGGCGCAACGTAACACCGTGACAGAAGCCAGAGCGCATGGAAACACCATTTACCTTCCTGCCACAGCGGTACCTACGTATTTATCTACTTGCACTGGTGTGCTTTCAGATTGCTAGGTTGGCAGGAGCTGGGACAGAGCAACGAGAGCTCACCACCATCGCAGATTCGAACTGTCAAACTTCTGATCAGCAAGCCCAAGAGGCTGTTGTTTAGACCACAGCACCACCCGCTCCTAGGGGGAGGATACTTTGGGTAACAACATACTGTATAGGCCGATTCCATGAGCTTCAAGGAGCCCCAGCTGATGAAGCATCTTGGCCCCAGCTGACCAAGTGTCAAGGTGTGTTAAGCAGACCATATGAGGTCTATACCCCTCCTTTCCTTGACCTAAAGAAAACCCAAGCTCTTAGTACAGTGACTTAAAACTACAAAAACAGTTTTGCAGGTAGAATGTCAGCAGGGGTGTGAAGGATTTCTACTGTTTTGAACTCTTCGTCACATGTAGAACTATCTCCCTTGTTGGGCAGAGGTTGTGGGTGCCTCTGGGGTGCAATGCGCTGCTGTGAACATATTTGTTCCCTTGTGTTGAAGGCTGACCTGAAAAAAAACTAAGAGAGGCAGAGACGTTGGTGGATGAGGCCTTTAGGAGCATTATAGATGTGCCCTGCTCCTAGAATCATAGAACTGTAGAGCTGGAACCCCCTGAAAGGCAGGAATCACAACTAAAGCATCCATGACAGAGGGGCATCCAACCTCTTCTAAAAAAACCCATCTGATGAAGGAGTCCACAACCTCCCAAGGTCCCACTGTCAAACAGCTCTTACTGTCAGAAAGGTCTTCCTGGAGTTGAGTTGGAATTGCCTTCCTTGTAACCTGAAGCCATTGGTTTGGGTCTTACCCTCCAGAGCAGGAGAGAACAAGCTTGCTCCATCTTCCATGTGATCTTCCATTTAGGTATTTTAAGATGGCTAGTGTATCTCCTCTCAGACTCCTCTTTTGCAGGCTAAATATACTCAACTCCCTCAACTATTCTTCATAAGGCTTGGTTTCCAGACCCTCGGTCACCCTCCTCTGCCCATGTTCCAACTTGTCAATATCCTTTTTAAATTGTGGTGCGGGTGGTTCAATAATTAAGAAAACAGATAATTGGGTGTGCTATGGGAATGCCGCTCTTACCCACTGTTGTTTCCCAGTCACTGGTATTCAGAGACTTGCTGTTTCTGATTCTGGAGGTAACATACAGCTAATATGGTCTGTTCCTAGCATTCAGGAAAAAAATTTTAAAAATTGTCCAGTGGCACCTTATAGACCAACTAAGTTTGTTCTGGTATAAGATTTCGTGTGCATGCACACTTCTTCAGGCACACAAAAGCTTATACCGAAACAAACTTAGTTGGTCTGTAAGGTGCTACTGGACAATTTATTTTATTTTTTTTATTTTTATTTCGACTGCGTCAGACCAACACGGCTACCTACCTGTTCCTGGCATTATTCACCAACCTCAGAGACAAGATGCACATGCCTGTGATGGATATGGGAATGGACTTCTTAGCAATTTCTTCCTGACGGGGGGTTGAGTGCAAAAGTTTTTCAATAGCATACAGTGGTACCTCGGGTTACATATGCTTCAGGTTACATACGCTTCAGGTTATAGACTCTGCTAACCCGGAAGTAGTACCTCGGGTTAAGAACTTTGATTCAGGATGAGAACAGAAATCGTGTGGTGGTGGCGCAGCGGCAGCGGGAGGCCCCATTAGCTAAAGTGGTGCTTCAGGTTAAGAACAGTTTCAGGTTAAGAACAGCCTTCCAGAACAAATTAAGTACTTAACCCGAGGTACCACTGTAAATGGATCTGAATACAAGAATACTTTATATTTTTTGCTCTTGACAGGCTCTTTCAGCAACTATTGCCTATCAGAAAATAATCTGGCAGATAGTTGGGGGAGAGGAAGAGGGAATCAACAGTGGGAATCTTAGCACCAATGATGTAGATAAATGTTGTCCAGTCCAAAGCACTGTATTGGGTTGCTATGTAGGAAGCTGAAATCCAGGATTTGGAAGGCGGGAGGGATGCAAATTGTAAAGCAGACTCATCTCATCCACCCCTCATAGACTAACCAAGTGTATGTTTTTAGAACTGTGTTGCTGGATCCCAGGATGTTGTGGATGTCAAACAGGGGTCAGCAAACTTTTTCAGCAGGGGGCCGGTCCACTGTCCCTCAGGCCTTGTGGGGGGCCAGACTATATTTTGGAGGGGGGGAAATTGAAAGAATTCCTATGTCCGACAAATAACTCAGAGATGCATTTTAAAATAAAAGGACACATTCTACTCATATAAAAACAAGATGATTCCTGGACTGCCCGTGGGCCGGATTGAGAAGGTGATTGGGCCGGATCCGGCCTCCGGGCCTTAGTTTGCCTATCCATGGATTAGTACATCTGTAAAAGCAGTGTCTTTGTGAAGTGAGACTAGCCAAGAACAACTTCGGCTGTTTGTTATACTCAATTTGTTTGAGTAGTCATACCTCGGGTTGAATGAGAGTGTTCAAGTTGCGCTCCACGGCAACCCGGAAGTAACGGAGCGTGTTACTTCTGGGTTTCGCCACTGGCGCATGTGCAGACACTCAAAATGATGTCACGCGCATGTTCAGAAGCGCCGAAACGTGACCCACGCACGCACAGACACGCAAACACGGGTTACGTTTGCTTCTAGATGCGAACGGGGCTCCGGAACGGATCCCGTTCGCATCTAGAGGTACCACTGTATAACAAACAAATTCAAAGAGCAAGATAGGCTGCAGGAGAAGACAAGGGGCACCATGATACACAAAGATTGAACAGATTACCCAAATTAATTCATATCCAGCTTTGGAGCAGCATCCCTTCTTTAAAAAACACACCTCTATTAAATCAGATATATATTGCATAGTTTTACTACAATGGCTTCATTTTAAGTAGCGTGTCACAATGTAATAAACCAAAAGCTAGCTAATGACACGCAGCAAACGAATACAAGAAAAGCCACTTCTCTTATAAATCAGTTTCTGAAAAACCTGGTGCCCAGTAATGATTCTTCTTTCTCTACCTCTCAAAAAAGCAAAATAACAAAGAGTGTTTTTTGAGGAGCAGCTCTAAGGGCATTTGGTTCATCCATTTATTTTACTTTTCATGGAGAAGCAAATCTGCCCAAGAAAAGTATACTTTTTGTTGGGTTGTGGCGGATAAAAAATAGGAAGGGGTGGTCAGCGTTGAAATCCTCTTCCATAGGCAAACTACATAGCATTATCATACCAGCGGTTGCTGCTGCTGCTTCTGTTCCTTCTTCATTCACTTCTACAAATGACTTGTGAACAATTTTGGACACATGGAGGTCCCGGGCTCCTGACATTCCAGACAAATCTGCCTTTCCGCTGTCAAAGACATCCAGCACTCCCAATTCGGCCAAGGGAGTTTTAAGATCATAGGTCTCCTCCAGCTTAAATTTTGGCAGATGCACCCTAACTTCAGAGTTGCTGTACATTTTTCCTGGGTGTGTCCACTCTTGGAGCTTTCCTAAGGTGAGCTGCTTCTCCAGCTAGAATTTAAAGAGAGAGAGAGAGGATGAATTTAATATGCCATCGCAGCTCAAATATATCTACTTCATGTACAACAACAACAGCAGTGCTTATATAGAAAGTCAGAACGGAAAGCTAGGGTGCGTCTGTAGATGTCAGGGAACTGACATCGGAGCTAGAGGCGGAGGGGAGGCTCTCAAATGATGCTGGAGAAGGGCCCAGCAGGGAGAGAGGCAGCTCAGCAGATGGGGAAGCAAATCAGCGCAACACCAGGGATAAAGGGGGGCAGATGGGGGAATCGGCGAGAGGGCTCCAGGACTCTTCACCAGACACCAGCGGGGAGAGCACGGGTCCTCTGCTACCCACGCCCTCCCTGCGCAGAAGACTTCCACGCAGGGAGAGTAGGAGAAGACTTGGCGTCAAACAACTTTTATGTTGGAAAAGGTTTAAGAAACGCCCACTGATGGATTCTGCTAGCGACTGAGGCAGCCAGCCACGAAGTGAAGGGCTGTCCAGACAGAAAGGTTTAACAAGGCAACATAGCCAGGAGAGGCGGCAACTTACGCACGAGCAACCATACTCATTACAGTAGAGAACAGAGAAATAAATATTCAAGAAGGGGATCCCAACTTTAACTTTGTTTATCTCCACCTCAGAATGGTACCCGGTACGAGTTTGCTACCCAAGACCTTGGTGAGGATATTTCATTGCAAGAATCTGCTGATGTTTCAGAAAGGAGAGGGCGGATTTTGCTCATTACTTATTCCGCTCCAGCCTGAGTTCAAAGGGGGAGTCTGAGTGTTATCTGTGTATAGATAAGGTCGCTGCTCATGCAGCTGTAACACTCAGTGCAGTCCAGCGTCTCCATTTAGTCTGTAGTTAGTTTGTATAGTAGCTGTACAGAATAAAAGAAGTTATTCTACAGAAGCTGTCGTTCGTGTGGTTCATGCTCTGCTGTGCTCCGCTGACTACGGGAAGTGAGTTTGGTGCTCACAGCTCTGAGTTGTGAGTCCACAGCACTTAGACCTGCTTCCTGCGTGGAAGGTCTCTGGAAGTGCTTCATGTGTTATCCAAGAATACTCCTTTGACAATCAACTGCAAAGCTCAGCTGGTTAGAGTGCCATGCTGATAATGCCAAGGTTGCAGGTTTGATCCCCATATGGGACAGCTGCATGTTCCTGCATTTCAGGGGGGTTGGACTAGATGACCCCAGGGTCCCTTCCAACTCTACAATTCTATGAAGACTCAGCTGTAATAATCAATAATAGTAATAATATAGTAAAAAAATTCTGATGTCAATTTCACATGCATATACCATGAAATACAGGTTGTTGTTTTTTTAAAAAAATATTGGTAATGTGCCATTTGAAAAAATTATTATAGAGAAAGAAAGGGAGAAATCAGAATTACCTGTTCCAGGCCAGTGGAGTTATCCTCAATGTCATCAGGCAGCAGGATTATCATGCTAAGTTTGTCCCCCTTGTAAGGAAGTTCCAGGACACGGCATTTACACTCAGGAATATATCCGAAAGGAAGCTTCTTTTTCAGAAACATCATCTTCACCGTCGTCTTTTCCTTCTGGGTAGTTTTTAAAAAAGGCACAACTATGAGCATGCAAAAACATATTGCAGGTAAAAGAGTATGTTTAGACACCTAAGAGTTCGTGCAAAGAAAAAGGTTCTTTCCAAAACTATGTTAACAGTTGTGCTGAGGGTCCTACTCAGAAGAAAGCTAGATTTGGGTTCATTGGGACTTACTCCTAGGGCTAAGTGTGCAAAGGAATGAGACCATTCACATTCTAATCCAGGCATGTCCAAAGTCCGTTTCGGGGGCCTAATCCGGTCGGTTTAATCCGGCCCCTGTGGCAGTTTATTTCCTGGGGTAAAATCCTAAAAAAACCTCAATCCTAAAAAATGTCAACAACTTTGGTTGGCCCCCACAGCCCTTCACTTCATCAAATCTGGCCCTCTTTGAAAAAAATTTGGACACCGCTGTAATCAGTTCATGGCACACTCAATATTGCTTTTTGTCATCTAAAGGCAAAGATAATCAAGCAAGCGAATTACTAAAACCAAATTTGTTCTTTTCAGCTGTTCTCCTTCAAGCACTGAAGCTGGCCAATGGAAACTGAAGTCCAATAAAAGCTCAGTAAAATATTTTAAAATGAAAATATTGGTTCAAATTTAATAGTTTCCATTCAGAGAACACACTGGGTTGAATCCACAGGTGTCCTACCACGTTTGGGGTTTTTTACTCCCAGTCATGCACAATTAACTTTTACGTGTTTTAGAGCTGCTAAAAGTATTACCAAGTTGACTATCACCCTTAAACCTAAATTTTGGGTAGCATCCGACTAAAGCATTCTCTCAGTGTAAGGATTTCCCTCCTCTCCTCGCACACCCCATACCCTCCCCAGATGTGCTCCAAAACCCCTAGAACAAATTTATGGGGCACATGGGAGGGGAGGACAAGTGGGGAAGTCCTGCCGCACAAAACAGAAATCCTTGCACTGATGGGAAGTGCTACTCTGCGCTACTTTGGATACAACTCTTTGTAAGACTGTCGCGGGTGGCGCTGTGGGTTAAACCACTGAACCTAGGGCTTGCCTATCGGAAGGTCGGTAGTTCGAATCCCCGCAACAGGGTGAGCTCCCGTTACTCAGTCCCTGCTCCTGCCAACCCAGCAGTTCGAAAGTACGTCAAAGTGCAAGTAGATAAATAGGTACCGCTCCGGCAGGAAGGTAAATGGCGTTTCTGTGCGCTGCTCTGGTTCGCCAGAAGCGGCTTAGTCATGCTGGCCACATGACCCGGAAGCTGTACGCCGGTTCCCTCGGCCAATAAAGCGAGATGAGCGCCACAATCCCAGAGTCGGTCACGACTGGACCTAATGGTCAGGGGTCCCTTTACCTTTTTAATAACAGGACAGTGGAATGTATGGAATATAGGCCTTTTGTTACCTTACTGAGTCTAAAAGGGAGTTCCTCAGTGTCCTCCTCTTGAAATTTCTCTGCCCAGCTGCCTTTGAAGTAGATGGCATTTACCAAAACAAGTTTGGTCAGTTCATTCAGTGAGCCTTCGGATAACAAGTCACATATTTTACCTGGAAATTGAAGTTACAGAACAAATTAGCTCTGTAAGAATCAAGACATTGGTTCAGACATGACAGGAAGCTGTGGATAACTGTGGCTCAGTGGCTTGTTTTGCTGCTTTTGTTAAGCAAGCGTGTGAATATGCCTGAAACTCATCCATATCCTGGGCTTATTAAGTCAAGTTCTGACTGGAGACAAGGTAGGGCCAAAACGAAGGAAGGAAGGAAGGAAGGAAGGAAGGAAGGAAGGAAACAAACCCTGGTAGTCCTTCCTAATAATTTTTTAAAGAAACTGAGGTAGTTCAGTCAGTAAAGCATGAGACACTTAGATCAGGGTTGTGATCTACAGGTCCCTGTTGTTCCTTTCAACTTTATGATTCTATGATTCTCTAAGTTGAGAGTTTTCCAGGCACCATTCACCTTCTGTATGATTCTCAACCCACTGGTTAATTTGCTTTCGTGCATCATCTGAAGCATTGAGAAAATCCACTGTGGCTAACTCAGCTCCATACATCTTCTGGGTGCTAGCCAAGAAATCCTGGAGAAATCACAGAAGACAGATATCAGTGTACAAGGGGGAAGGGGGTATCACCCATCTGCGGACTATAAATTGGTCTTCCCATTCCTGGCTGGGGGTGACAGTTACTTTTGTTGGCATCGTTCATCAATCTATTGAAAGAATGCCAGTTATCTCATAATGCACCAATTAGTAAAAACACTCAATTCCCAGTTTAGGGAAGTTTTAAACATTTGATGGTTTACCCAGCCAGATGGGTGGAGTATAAATAATCATAATCATCATTTTTTATTTGTATGCCGCCTTTCCACAGTTAAAAAAACAATGCTCAAGGCGGCTTACAGCATGACAAGATTTACATAATTACAAAAGTCACAGACAATAAATAAACCACATCAAGAAAATACACAACCAAATGGGAAACAATTACCATCAAAATCTGAAACTAAGAATACAGCATTAATATCAGTTTAAAATGACATAAGTAAAAAATAACAGCAATTTAAACAAAAAACAAAAACAAAATGGAGCCCTTTCTGCCCAGCAGCAGCAGTGGCGGCAGCAGTCCTTTATAGAGCCCTGGGCCAGGTGGTGAGTGGCAGGACTGGGGTCCTCAGGCGCTGAGCAGTAGTAGTAGTTTGGGTTTTTTCCTCATTCTGTGCAAAGACACTCCTGTGGAAAAGTTCTACCTACTCTGCTTAACACAGAAGATACAATCCGAAAGCGTTCTATAAAAGTTGTTTCAACACAAATGAATGTGATGTTGTAAACGAACTTGAATGTTTAGCTTTATCCAGGAATGTCAAACACAATAAAGCTGGCAAAAAAAAAAAAAAATACCCACAACCTACATGAGGCAGCACTTTGTTTGTGAGCTTGACATTTGTGGCTTTTAAGGTTCTGATGCAGCAGTTTCACAGCATACCAATTCTCCCAAATGAAGAATTACAACCCCACCGCGCCCAGTTCCACATCTAGGGAAATAAAAAGAAAATCTCTCGGCCAGCTAATTTTGCAGAGTTTCGTTGATATCCCAGCAATTAACTTACTTGCAAAAAAGCGTAGGTCTTTTCTCCAAACAGCCTATTAGCAAGCTTCAATGTATAGGGTGCTCCGCTCTTGTTAATGTCGGTATTCAGTGCCTGGAATCTTGAGTGAAGGTCTTCCACGACATCAAAGTGAAATGTCTGCACAAGGGAAAAGAGAAGTCCTAACTTATTATCACTAGGACCAATCAAATAAATCTCTCTGTGGAACACCCTCCCACCAGATGTCAAAGAGAACAACAACTACCAGACTTTTAGAAGACATCTGAAGGCAGATGCTTTTAATGTTTGATGTATTACAGTATTTTAATATTTTTAATAAATTACAGTAAAAGGTTTTAGGAAATGGAAGGAAAATAATTAGCTTTATTTCCCTGGTGTGTTACTATCATGATGGGGGAAAAACACCACTGCAATGAAATCATGGACTATAAACAGAAACATTCAGAATATATTCTGATGCATAATTAAATCTCAACAAAACTGCTCCTACTTTGTGGGATATTAAATGTAAAGTTCTTTGAATGGTTAAAGTTGAACCACCTTAAAAAAATAACCAGAAATCAAGATAAAACCTGAAAAGATTTTTGCTGACCTTTGAGAGTTGTACGGCTGTGTTACCTTTAGCCCCCAAGGAAACCATGGCGATTGCAGCAGATATGCTAAGCGGTGAAAAAAAGATGTTGCCTGTTTTGTTGGCTTCACTGAACTTTTGGAAGAGATCAAGGGCAAAATGTGTGTTTGCGTTAGCCAGCTTCTCCATGGTGGAATCTGAAAAGCATGAAAAGGAAAGAAAAACCATGTCACTTATTACTTTTGACCAACACACACACACAATCTATACGCAGTCAGGAAAACAGGAACCTGACTTCGGCAGACGTGTCACAAAATAACAAATATAGTTATGGTCTCTCTCTGCCTCTGTCCACATCCTTTTTGTGATAGTAACGTGGGGCAACAGCCTGGTATGTGCAAAAAGGGCTCTTTCCCCAAATTCTCTTCAAGTTAATAAACTTTCTAAAATCTCCCTGCAACCACCAAGTACTAGATCCACATGACTGAGCTTTGGGAAGCTCAGCAACCTGTCTTGAGTCGCCTCTAAATGCAACTTTTAGGCACACGGACATCACAGGTGAGCGGCAATTTAGGAGGGGAAGCTGCGTTGCAGGCTCCCTTCCAACTCTATGGTTCTAGGATTTTATTATCAGCCTGGCAGCCAGAGAAGAAGGAAGTTCTGTTTGTCTCATTCATGCCCAGAGGAAAAACTCCACCTGCTGGTTTTCTGTTAAAGTGGTTAAACTCTGGACTCCTCCCTCTGCCAAACAAGAAACCTGAGCTTCCCAGCTCTTTCCCTGACAGTTTTTAAACAGCTGTATGATGGGGAAAAGATATCAACAGCAGGAGCTCTTCTCCATAAAATCTGCGGCATGCAGGATCTTAAAAACATTTTTAATATTTGATGATTTACTATGTGCTATAAACCGCCAGAGTGGCTGGGGAAAGCCAGATGGGCAGGGTAGAAATAATAAAATTATTATTAATAATAATAAATCTCTGCCTGCAGGTTTAATCACTAGTATATTCAGGCCATATGAAAGCCTCCAGTTCAGATCCACTACCAGGTAGTGTAGGCTGCAGAATGGGCATAGCCAGGGGGAGCATTTGCCCCATCCCCTAAATCAAGTAAATAAATAAAAATACTTAACTAAAAGTAGAAATCATGGAAAGATTTTGACAGATTCCACACCCACCCCAGAACTTGGGGTCAAAAGAAGGTAATTTGAGTGACTGGGGAAACCAATATGGGCAGGGTATAAATAATAATAATAATAATAATAATAATAATAAAAACAACTGTTGTTGAGACATTTCATTCCGAACCTGCTAGACAAAGCCAGACTGAGGGTGATGGCTGGTGGGTGTCCTAACCCCCCTCCAAACATAAATCCTGGCTACGTGTCTCTCTCTCCCCCCACCAATAAATTAATCCTGGCTACGCCCAAGGGCTGCAGTACTGAGTTTGATGACTCAGGATAACGCAGTCGCCCATGTTCCTGGGGTTGGATGACCCCAGGGCAGAGGCGTCCAACTCTCAAGAGACTGCGATCTACTCACAGAATTAAAAACTGGCAGTGATCTACCCCTTTTGGGGGGGTTCAGATCAAAGCTGTTGCGCTTTTAGGGAGGAAAGCCCCGTTTTTGTTGACCTGATTTTAGGCAGGAAATGGAAAAAGTCGTTCAGCGCAAGATCAATAAGGAAACAGCCTCACCGAGAAAACTCGGTCTGCCGTTCTAGCCACCATGCGCGAATGGAGGACGGGGGGGGGGGGGCGCACGGCAGGATGCTCTTTTGCAAGGGCTAGGAAAAGGAGCCCACGATCGATCGCGACCAGTAGATCGCGATAGGCCTACTGGACATCCCTGCCCTAAGGGAATCCCCTTCCATGGTTTACCATTGGACGAAACATCCTTCTGCCCCAAAGCGCAACTTCACCCTGCCGACGAGCTTGTCGTTTCTGTTCCTCCTCCCTCCCTCCCTTTCTTGGGAAATCCCAAGCCCCCAAGGATCGGATGTCAGCAGCTCCGCCCAATGCATCCCTGCTTTTCTTCTGCAAGAGTTTTCTAAGTACAGCTTTCCCGTCTTGCAGCGCCGAGAGGGGGCGAAATGTGGCAGCCGTCCAGGCTGTGCGCCCTTCGGAGCGCGCAGCGCCCCTCGAGGCAAAGACGCTGCGCTCCCTTCTCCTCCTGCCACGACTGGGCCAGAAATGGTGCTTTTTCTTACCTGGTGGGCGGCAAGACCCAGAGCCAAGTTTCCCGGGAGCGTCAGTCACCGTCGAGGGAGCCCCGCTCTACTGAAAGAGGCTGGAAGGCAGGGCGGAGGGAAGCGCCCCGGGCGGGTCTAAAGCTGCGAGGGGAGACTGAAAGCGGAGCAACGCCTTAGGCGCCGCCCTTCGACGGAGGGAACCCGGAGGGCGCTCGACAGGTGCGACGGTGCGGGAGACCAGAAAGAACCTTTCTCTTGATCAAGATGAGCAGGTGACAGCAAAGGTTGCAAGGTTTTTAGCCGGGGCAATCAGAATAAGATCCACTATTTGACTATTCAAAACCCTAAAAATGTATTTTATATAATTGACTTTTTATTTCTATTCTTTGTATATCGTATTGTTGTTTTCTTGCTACGGCCGATGGCTGAGGCAAATAAAGATTCACCTGGTCGCATGGGCGTGCCGATTTTTTTCCCAACTTCCAGGTCCCCAAAATGAGGGGCGGTCAAAGGCTGCGACTGTGCCTTGGGAATTCGGAAGACCTTTTTTGGTTAAATTAATGTGATTTATTCCTGCATTGCAGAAGGTCCCGCTTGATGAGCCTTGCGGGGATCCCTTCAAACTACGATTCTATGAATTTAGTTTTGCTCGGTAAGGAAAATGTGTGTAAAATGGCATGGAAACCATTACAAATGATAGCCAAATCCTTGCAGTTATATTACATATTATTAGTATGATGAGTTATTCTTCTATATAAATACCGGACATTTCCAGAAGGCAAAATTAAAATTATTTTGTTTCCCAAAAGCTTCATCAAAGGCAGAATTGATTGTGGGGGTGGATTTCTGAATGGTGTTTTGTCTTGGATCTTAGGCAAGTCAAGATCGTGAGATGTCCTGGTTTTTACTTTTTGAAATATGGCAGCCCTACTCATCAGACGTAGGCATACCAAGCAAAAATAATAGATCTTAATTCCTCACACCCAAAAACATGTTTTCCAAGACCCCACAATGAAGAAATTTGCAAATATTATGTTCTGCCCCTAAAATGACACACTCTAAATTGCCTGCAGGAATTAGGAGAAAAGTGCTGGAACTGAAGAGAGGTGTTAATTGCGGGTGCAGGGGTTTGTATGTGTACTATTGCAAGGCTTAAAAGTTGGTGTTACTTTGCATTTTGCTTTTGGTACCAGGAGATTATTTGGAACAGAAGCCATGACACCCTGTATGAGGAAGACTTTTGAAGAATATAATCGGTGGGCACACCTTGTGAGAAACAGCGCGTCATTTTTAAACTTTTTGTCAGAGATCGTTAGGATTGTCTGACGACATGGTAAATTAAGATAAGGTTACCAGACATCCCCGTTTCCCGGGGACAGTCGCCAGATTTACAAATCAGTCCGCTGACAAAATACATTTAAGTTGAAAAGGGTCCCCGGATTCATTGAAAAAAATCTGGTAACCTTAAATCAAGACATACCATAGTTTGCACAATCACGTTCAGAATCGATTTCCGCCTGGATCCTTATTAACTATGACAATTGTGTAAAACACTGTGACACAGGTCCAGTGCCGGATTAACCTATAAACTAAGCAAGCTATAGTTTAGGGCCCCACTCTCTTGGCCCCCCCCCCAAATCTGGATGTACATTTCCAAAATATAAAAAACAAATAAAATAAAACCTACATACAACAAGTGTTTTGTGTTGTGTAGGCTCCTATGATGTAAGTAATGGGTCCATAAATTACCATATAGCATATATTCAACACATAAAAACAGCAACAATTTGTTGTTGACAAAATGACAGCTGGACATGTAAACGGCCGCCTTACCTTCAGTAGCTTAGGGCCTCATCAAACCTAAATCCGGCCCTGCACAGGTCAGTGCCAAGGGTTTACCAGGTAAATACAGCCAGTGTTTTTCAGGAACAGAAATCCAGACACAGAAGGGGAAAAGTACAACTCAAGTTTTGCTGATTACTGGTGGAATGCACTGACTCCAGATTCCTCCACTTACTATGCAGTATACAGGGCATTCTCCCACTCACAGCCACAACAGGGAATAGAATTACAGGTAGGTTAAAGTGGGTTGTTGCCTAACTTGACACCTTCAGCAAGGAGGAAGGGCTGGTCATCTAGTTTTCAGGTAGTAGTAAGCCTTTGACTGGCAAGGCATCACCAATGGAACAAACACACTGATCAGCCTGATCATCTGTCAGCCTGATGATAACTGAAAATGAGGCTTTGTAGAAGTAACATAAGTGAGGCTCATTATGTTACATCGTTCACTCTCAATTACTGTGGACTTTTTTAGAACTCCTTTTTCACTTTGAGCAACATCTCTTCCCCACTCACTTGCAAAAAAAATAAAAGGAAAACAATTAATGGCCTCATTGGACCATTGTTCCTTTTTAGTTTCAAGCTGTAGTCACAATACGAAAGCTGCGATAATGCGCCTAAATGTATTGGGTGAAATAAAGCGTGCTCACATTACTGAATTGAACAGTGCAATGAAATTCTTTCTTCCAGTGTGTTACACAGCTCTTTCAGCACAGCTTCCAAAGCAGGGCAACGTTACTAACTTAGAAAAATAAAAAAGCACCCTTAAGACAAAGATTGATTAGTATATTCTACGACAGAGATGGGTACGGTAGAGGCATAGCCTCAACTCAAAACCCATTCAGCTGCACTTGTTTTGGAAGAATGCACCGACATTGTTTGTGTGCTTTTACACAGATCCAATTCATGCTAGCACATTTTTTGTGGGGGAGGCACCCCACTAAACTTTCCCAGGAGACGAAAACAGAGTCACATTGAAGAACAATTTGCCAGCGACAAGTACCAGGTACAGAGATTGTCCCTGATAAGCAGACTGCTGAAATGTTTCTGCAGTGCTTCACTCGTCTCATTTTTCCGCAAGTGGGTGCATCTCAAAGGTCATATGAAATTGCTTGCGTGCTAGAGAAGAGGCAGCATAAGCCACGTACTGTTGGCAGTTGTAGCACAGTCAGCTTAAGCTGAATGGATTGGCAAATGCCACACCCAGAGAGAGGACTTCACTTGTACTCATGCGGAAATTAGTTGACTGACTGTTTACACATGTTGTTGGCAACCAGTGTCTTAAGTGGGGAAGAGACTGGTGACGTTGGAGCTACGGGGTCAGAATAAATCTCGCCCTGAGCTGCTGTTTAATTAATTCAGTAGCAGTACAATCAGAAGACAAAACAATTCCATTTTTATTTTAAATCCAATAATACATGAATCGATATCCATTCATACATAAATGTCACTTACAGGTTGCCAAGTCAAAATTCTGTGACTACTTTTTTTTGCATGTAACGTCAAAGAATAATACACTGTAGACCGAACATCATTCATACTTCTGCTTCTGCACTGCATTCTTTGCAAGGCCAAATTTTTCTGTGTGTTGTAGAAATCATTGCACTTTTTCTGCGTTGCAATAACTAAATAAGGCTCTTCATTTTCACTTTGGTTACCAGTATCTTAAATTTATATGCTGGTGTGAACGCCAGAAACTGGTACTAAACAATTGTGTTTGTTTATCAAATGCACATGAGGTTATACGGTAGGATCTCCTTTGATAGAAGCTGGTTTTGGTGGTTGCTAATACCTCTTTAAGAACAAAACCACCTCCCCACGCCCACCCCGAAGTATCCTATGAAAATAAAGGTCCAGAACAAAATGGACCTCACAAATATTCGCACTTGAAGCAAAGCTGCCTGATAATAATAAAAAAAGAGCCCTCTACGTTTTTATTAAGAGCATGCAAAAGATGAAGAGGTGTGCAGTTAATAAGATCTGCTTCATCTTCACCAATATTGCTAATGGTCTGTGATACAAGTGCCTCCTATACTAAATAAGGCACACACAATGCATCAATGTACATTAGGAGTAGGGTTTAAGGAAGGCCACAGTTCTCAGTTGGCCCATTTTAAGATGTGATCCCCTTATGCACAACTGTTAATCAAATATGAATGGAGTTGGGAAAAGCTGTCTCAAGCAGAGGCATAGCAGTGAAGACTTGGGATTAGACAATATAACTTCGAAATAACAGGATGAGAAATCGAAAATTTGATATACTGCCAGCAAGCTGCGGCGGGGAATGTTTGTGCTGCACATACAGGACACCCATTGTTCAGGGAGAGCAAAACCTACCATAGAAGAGAAGGCTTTGTGTTTTGTTGTGCCGAATGAAGAAGAGAAAGGGATGGTCGGCTGTGACACAGGGCACAATCATAGCACACCGCAGCATCATAACAGCAGCAGTAGCAGCAGCGGCCTCAGTTCCCTCTTCATTTACCTCTACAAAGGATTTGTGAACAACCTCAGACAAAACCAAGTCATTGTTGGGAGACATCTTGGAGAAATCTGCCTTGCTTGGGTCAAACGCCTCAGCCATTCCCATGCTGCTCAGAACAGGCTTCAGGTCGTATTTTTCCTCCAGTTTAAATTTGGGCAGAGACAGCTCAACTTCAGTTAGGTCCATCATCTCAGGGTTAATCCATTCCTTGAGTTTCTCATAGGTCATTTCTCTCTCCAGCTAAAAGACGACAAACACAAGGCATTCAAGGAAAAAAGGAAATCCTGGCTGCATATATAAATCCTCACATTTCTTACATAAAACCATTTTCACTGGATTCTCGGTGAGTCAAATGACTCCATATACATGACTTAAACAAACTTGTTTCACAATTGCCCTGTCTGTCCAGGTAGAATTCCTTTCTGCTCCACTTGCTTTTATGCCTTCCATCTTTCTGAACAAGACAGAATGCTGGCAGACTTAACTATGCTTATAGAAATATAAACAGCTATATTACACATATATTGCTCCTTCTGGGGTAGTTTATCCACCTTTGGTTCCTACCCTGCACGCAGCTCTCACCTGTGGCTCCTAGAAGCCACAATCTGGGAAATGTCTTTGACTGGCCGGCTAAACCAGGTGAGGGTAGCCAATGGGTCTCAAACCCTCAGTGTGTTAGGGACTTGCCCCGCATGCAAATATAGGCTCTGGCAGATTGAGTGGAGAAGACCATAGTGGGTGCAGTGGTCGAGAAGGCAGTTAGTGCTGTAGAGGGAAATGAAGGGCAAATGCAGCTAATCACCTGGGAAAGTAGCCCATCTAGGAGAAGGGAAATTCTGATCCTAAACCTCCACTGTCTTGCAGGATAACTTCAGGAGAAGAAAGGCTAAGGAGTAGACTCTATACAAATCCAGAATGGAGTCCCTAAGATGCTTGGATGGTGCCTTGCACGCCTCTTTCCAGCAACTCCTGCAGCCAAACTGGTGCCAAACATATCACTCTGCTTTCCTTTGGACATCAGCAAGGACGAGAGGGGCCCCCTGTTGTCTGGGCAGCCCAAGATGTCTATACACACTGCCCAGGTTAACACCCCGGGGAGGTCACTTTGGCGCTGCTGGCATGGTGGTTTGACTTCACCCCTGGAGGCACACTCCATTCTCTCTCAAGACAGACAAATGCCAACAATGTAACATGTTACACTGGGCACTTGGAAGAATCACGTGGAAGCTGGAAGAATCTTTCTCTTGTCGTGTACAGCGACCAACAAGGGCAATTTTTACGGGCAAGAATTTAGATGGTTTTATTCTTATCAAAAATGCCTCACCTTTTCCAGGCCTGTAGAATTATCTGCAATCTCATCAGGAAGCAGGATGATCATGCTGAGCTCGTTATTAACATAAGGAATCTCGAGAATTTTGGTGCGAAGTTCTGATATCCATGTCATGTTGAATTTAGCTTTCTTGAACATCATCTGCACTGGTTTGCTTTCATTCTGCAAATGGAGAAGAATTTCGTTTTAAGCATATAATCTTTTCTATTGCTTGAGCTGCTTTGCACCTTGTTTACTGTTCATCCTCTATTGTCTCTGCAAAAGAATGTCCTTAGGACATGGTGGGAAGGGAAATCCTTGCTGGTCAACTGATGAAAGAAAAAAACAGAAGGAGGGAACACTCCAAATATCAGAATGTGTGTATTTAATCAAAACGATAAAGACTGTGTGCTCTGTGATGTGCTTCACATTATTTCCCACCTCATACCTTGCTAATTTTGAACGGCCTTTCCTGTGTGTGATCTTTGCGGAACTGATTTGCCCAGTTTCCCTTGAAATAGATAGCATTCACCAAGACCAGCCTTGTACTGGAGTCAATTATTCCTGGGGCGAGCAGATTTTGGATTTTACCTTGAAGAGGGATTAAAGAGCTGTTTTAATAAGAACATATTTTTTAGACACAAACTCATATTTTAAGAAGTGAAACTCAGACAATATGGAAGCCCAAAAATTTGCTACTCACTTGCTGTCTGTTCTTCCACCCAATTATTAATGTATTTCCTGGAATCGTCTGATGCTTTAATGAAGTCTAGTTTCTCTAGACCTGCTCGATAGAATTTCTGGCTGGAGTCTATGAATGACTTAAACAAATATGTTTCAGAATTAAAAGCTATATATAATCTATATATATCATATACACATAAACTTTGATTTCATTCAGGTTTTGTCCCACAGAAAAGAGAGGGAGAGAAGGATGTTTCTTCCATTTTCAGATACCGAAAGATGTGAAACACATATGCAGATGCTTAATTTAACTTCAGTTGATAAGAAAAAGCTCATGGCATGTGCAATAGATTCCTATCAGCCAAAACAGATAAACTGAACCGGACCCAAACAAACTTTTTTTGCTGAAGAATACACATAGCAATCCTTGTCTTGTTATTATATATGAGAGTCCTACATGAAAGGTCCTTATGCAGGATGCTAAATTCTTATCAAGATTTGCCCCTGTATCAATCCTGCTCAATGCAGGCGGGATAGTGAGTGCTTAGGTGCGTTTCTGATCTGCGACAGAACACGGTTCACTATCTGAACAGAGACCACTTCCTGTTCTCTAGCATATTTGTAAACCATGTAACTTACTGAAATAAACTCATAGGATGTTTCTCCAAAGAGCCTGTTGGCTAGCCTAAGCAAGTACTTGGTGTCTGGCTTGTTGATTTCAGAAATAAGTTTCTCGTATCCCTGGTGAAACTCGACGTCGTTGGTCACAGACAGCACCTGTAAGATGATAAATGGTTAACGGATAATGTTAAGTAATTTAAATACAGAAATTTATCCATGTACTCCTAAAAAACTGTTATCAGTTGAAAATCCACGTCTTTTAGCAAACAAGGGAGTAAAATATATAAAACAAACAACCATTGTAACAAGGATTTGTTGGGGGGCCTTACCGTTTGAGGAGGAAAAACAAAACAAAATCACAATGAGATTTGATAGTAATAAAAATGAAGAAGCAGAAAGCAGATTGTTCCGTTCCTGTTCAAGATTTCACAAGACAAATATCTGAAGCAGTTAGAACGGAAGCAGGCAAAAGAGAGTGACTATTAGTTTTCCCATATTCTTTTCAAAAAACAATAACAAAAACCACATACTAAATTGCTGGGTTTTTATCTTCCCCCTAACAATTTAACTTAACTTTCTAAATAAAACTGGGCTGTCATGTTTCAGCATGGGCCATGTTCTTCTGTGCAAGGACGGAGTAACTAAAATTTGATGATGCACTGAGAATTGAACTCTGGGCAGTGCTAACCAACCATAGCTAAGGAGCAACCTGCTTATCAGGAGCTCAGGAAAGATTTGGGACAGCCACAGCAGAAACAGATGCACGCAGCTGCCAGTAGCCTAAGAAAGACCAACAGGGCCAAAGAACCACTGCAATTACGGAGAAGAACCTCCCTGCAGCGGGAAGGTATTCTGGGTGTAACAAGAAATACTTTTCACGTAAGTCAACTTTATTCAAGACGACAAACTGGGCACACAAAACTAAGTGTCCTTTGTCTGGGGAAGAAAAACATGGAATCTAAATTTGCTTCTCTTTTTCCGTTATACTGGTAATACCTGCTAGACAAGAAAGAGAAAGCCCACATGTTCCATTGTCCTTCTTTGGTACTGTTTTTGTTGATTTAGCAGGACTGCCCCACTTGCAAGTATCAAAGAGACTGTAAATACGTAAGTGGTGGCCTTAATTTCCTTAGGTGGGCTGTGCAGGATTCGTCGAATAGGCGGCCACAAACTAAATTCAAGAATTCAAAGCATGGTGGTTTTTACTTTGTTTTGTGTGAATAGGAATTCTTCCCTATGGAACCATGACCTAAGTCCAGTTCATGTGTTACTTGCACATAAGGCAATTGTGACTGGGGAATGGGGCCGTGCTATTAGCTCCAACCCCAATTTGCAGACACTTCCCAGATCAACTCGGTGCATAAACTCTTGCTGGGATGTAGGAGTTCCACGAGACTGGGACATCCACATAAAACCAGAAGCTTGTGCGTCAAGGCTTCAGACAAACACATGCAATGCAGGGTGATTGCAGGAAGCAAAATGATGTCAGTAAAGTAGCTAAAAATGTGGCCCTGTTCCCCATTTACCATGCAAGTGCCTGACATGTGAGTAATTTGTGAACCGGGCTACTGCCTTACGGAGTTAATTGCAACTTGTGGAGAAACTTGTTAATTACAACTTGGGGTGTAGGATAATACAAACTCCCTATGTTATAAACATTCCAGTGGTGTGATAAACAGCAAGCAAAAGCTGTAAGAAGTCCCCTTTCTCAGTGTTACGTTCCGCAGAATTTTCTATTAGGGAACAGCATGTAACATTTTTTACATTCATTGTATTTAAAAGACACAACACACACATGCCCACATCAATACACCATGCACTGCAGAAGGCTCAGAGCACGCATCTCTCTGCTAGGCCTGTTTTGACTCTATGATTACAGGCTGAAAGTGAATCATTTTCAGATCACAGTATGTGTTACCTCCCAACCCCTTCTGTATGTCTAAATCACTCAATCCTAAACTCTAGATTCAGCGCAATGAGCTGTCCTCCTTTAGGGCCAAACTAAACTTGATGGCATTCGCACACCAAGTTGGCATTGGCTTTTTAAGAGTAAATAGTGCTGGGGTTGTGGGGAACATCTCGCTTTACCAGCCGAGGAACCTGGCATTTGTCTGCAGACAGTTTTTCCAGGTCATGTGGCCAGCATGACTAAGCCGCTTCTGGCGAAACAGAGCAGTGCACGGAAACGCCGTTTACCTTCCTGCCAGAGCGGTACCTATTTATCTACTTGCACTCTGACGTGCTTTCGAACTGCTAGGTTGGCAAGAGCTGGGACCGAGCAACGGAAGCTCACCCCGTCGCAGGGATTCGAACCACCGACCTTCTGATCGGCAAGTCCTAGGCTCTGTGGTTTAACCCACAGCGCCACCCGCGTCCCTTAGTAGCCTTAGGGGCCCGCTAATAAATGCATATTTCAGCCTGACCTGCTACAGAGAAAAAGATGCACCATGCATGCCTCATTTAAGAGTCAAAACTCAAGCTCCCCGCTCCCCTTAATAGTAATTATCTGGATATACCTTTGCCATTTGGGCTGCAGTGTTCCCTGCCGCCCCCAGAGAAACCATCGTCAAAGCAGAAGAAATGCTCAAAGGAGAAAAAAACATGTTCGCTGTATTATCATTTTGACTTAGCTTCTTGAACAGATTGAGGGCAAAGGCACTGTTTGCTGCAGTGAGGCGGTCCATGTCTTATAACCTACGAAACAAGCACAGATAAGACACTCACCCAGTTTGTCCGCTCGGAGGTCACTTTTACAAGAAAAACAAAACAAAAATAAGCATTTGTTTTCAGATCCCACACATGTGTCCTAAGGGCATATCAACCTGCAAGTCCCAAGCTGGAACATATTAATGCTCTCCAAAAGGCCACCCACCCACCGTTTTCTGGTGGGGGGGGGGAGGGGCTGCAGCCCTCAGAGAAACTGTCAATCACATGCTACATTTCTTTAGATGCCCAGGATGAGAATAACATTCGCCTTCACTTGATTTCTAAGAAGATCAGCTTTAAATTAAAAGTCTATTGCATCTTACATGCAACATTACCCGCTTTGGGACATAAAAAGAAATAGAGGGAGGGAAAGCATCATTTGAGAGCCTGTTGTCCCTCCCCACTGCATAATTCTAGCCTCAAAAACAGGACTATTAAAGCCTCAGGTCGCAGAATTAAGTTAGCAAGCCAACAGCTATAATAGCCTGACTTTCGCAATTAAGTCTATGTTTGATAAACCGAGTCCTGAACGGGATCAAGCTTGCATGAAGTCCTGTTTGATCCTGGGCACACTAAATCAACCCAGCCCCAGCCCCATGAAATTCACATCTGAACATTTTCCTGGCATGAAGATGCAATGGGACAAGCTTCGCCTGCTGGATTTATCTGTCTTGGAGGTTCAGAGACACAGGAACTCTGCCATATTTTTTCTGGCTGGCAGAGCTGCCAAGCCCAGGTTTTCTTGTTTTTGAAACAAAACAAAACAAAACAAAACAAAACAAAACAAAACAAAACAAAACAAAACAAAACACACAGCACTCTTGCCAAGCTAGCACACATTTCCTTGTTATTTAAAACCAGAATTTTGGCATGTGCTTTTTCTTCCATCACAGGGGAAAGGAAAGGAAAGTGAAGCCTTCAGAACTGCTCCAAGCTGTGAACCTATTTAAAGGCACAGAAAAAAATCCTTAGGGAAGCAATCCCAAATGGCTCTGATCTGTCTGCAAAACATTAGCAGTCAGGGAAATACACAACTCTCATACAGACAGGGCTAAGCAGGTAAGAAAAGCTATACAACACATCTGTTATATATAATATTTTTTACCATACGACATGGCTGAGGATTCACTGTAATTAAAATACATAAGGGTATAAACTTAGCAACCTAATATCAGGATTACTCAGGAGGTTCGTTTAGTTACCACATTGCCAATTTCAAGTCATCGCAGGTCATCTCTTTATTCTAGACAAAGAGGAAAAGCTATCTCTTGTATTCATTATTTAGAATGCTAATTCACTGTATGAAACAACGCATTTTTGGGCATGGAATATTTTCCACAGAAAAGTACAGTTGTGGAAAACTCTCTGCTTCACGTCAACAAGCCAGCCTGTAAACATACTGCGACACAATCCACAATGTGGTGCTTGATGCCACTGACTTGAAAAGAGCACTGATCCTGCAGAGTTGGTGTCAGCCGGCCTTTGTTTATCTTGATTCCTTTAAAAAATAATTCTAACATTCTAAAGAATACACACACACACACACACACGTGTAGAATAATTAACTTGGCACCACCTTGTGAATTCTGAGTGGTTATAATACCGTAAATAAGGGAACCATGAAGATTCGCAGTGTGATTTGAGCTTTTGAGTTACAGAATACATACTTATGCTGTATTTTATTTTTTTAAAGTGAAATCCTTTGCTATGTTATCCAGCTTCTTGTCCAATGCCTTTGAAAGCAGTCTTTCCCAATTCTTTTGGTACGTTTCCAGTTATAATATGTCTCTTTTGTTCATTACGAGACACAATGTTTTATACATTTGTATTGAGGACCGTTTAAAAAAGAACATGAAAAATATGCTTCTGGTTGAAGACATGGCATTAAGCCCTGTCTTCTGTTTGCTTTGCGTTGTAACAGAGACAGTCTTCTCAGCCTTGAGCCAGGCCTTCTACGAAAGATCTCCGATTACACAGAGGCCGCCTGGGACAGAGAAAGAACGGATGCTCTCTCTTTGTATTAGTGTATACACAACCAAGCAGTTTTCTGAATTGGTCTGCGGTGCTAGTTCTGCTTGGAAAGAACTCTAGCTTCAGGCATGGAATTGTACTATCCAAATTTGTTTGTTCCATTATTGAAGGAGGGTGGGTCACTTTCTTCATTCCCCAGAACACAGATCCTTCCAGGGAATGCCAGCGCTGGGTGCAGCCAGAGGCAAACGTAGGTGCGGCGACAGGTGTGACTTTTACCTTTGTACTGTAGGTTACATTCCAGCCACACAAAGTGACAGGGATTTCTACACCCATGATGCATTTGTCCAGGCAAGCAAGAGGCATCAATCATCACAGTCCAAGGACTATTCCAACCATGCAGAAGAACTCAAGAAGAGGTCCAGAGTGGGACCAGTGAGGGTCTTGGCCTACTGATGGAGGGAGGGCCGAGATATAGAGATGGTTGAGGGGCCACATTATAGGGCTCCACACCTCTGGTGTTATTTTACCACAATAGACCCACCAAGAGCTAAAGCACTCCAAACACATCCCTAAAGCTATTCCTCCCACCCTCAACAAATTACCTTACTTGACTGGTTGGTTGGTTTTGGCAATCAAGATCTATATCCAATTCAGCCACACAGCTACAAAGAGGCTTTGCAAAAAAAGAGAAAACCCTCCACAAAGCAATCAAATGGATAAAAAAGAAGCAAGGTGAATGGCCCCATCTGCAGTGTGTGCTTAAAGCAGTATCATAACACTTTAAAGGAGTCTCCAGCCCCATCATTCAGCCCGGACACCGAGGTCCTCCTCCAAGGGCCTTCTGGCGGTTCCCTCACCGCGAGAAGTGAGGTTACAGGGAACCAGACAGAGGGCCCACCCTGTGGAACGCCCTACCATCAGATGTCAAGGAAATAAACAACTACCTGAGTTTTAGAAGACATCTGAAGGCAGCCCTGTTTAGGGAAGTTTTTAATGTTTCATCTTTTATCGTGTTTTTAATATTCTGTTGGGAGCCACCCAGAGTGGCTGGGGAAACTCAGCCAGATGGGCGGGGTATAAATAAATAATCATCATCACCACCACCACCACCACCACCACCATCATCATCATTATTACAGCCATAGCTTCCATCTCCAAAGAATCAAAGAAACTGTACTTTGTTAAGGTTGCTAAGAGACCCCATTCCCCGCTCCCTGCAGAGCTACAAGGCCAGAATTCCTCAGGGAAGAGGAATTGATTGTTGAAGTACTCTGAGTGCTCTTCTGGACAGAATCTGGATGCTCTTACAGATGGTGGAGAGAATGTGGCCAAGTTCTGCTTCAGTTTGAAGGGCACAGCAGAGGAGGCAGGCTTTGCATTATTACCAAACGCTACAGGAAGAATCCTTGCTCAGTTGTGCTCAAGGGATGCCCACGAGGCAATCTTCATTTCAGCAGCAGTCATTTGCTGTTGCAATGATTAAAACACAAAACCTACTGCAAATAACCTAGAGATCTTACCAATAGATCTTAAGCTGCCTTCTGCCTATTCCTAGAGACGGCAAAGTATAAAAGACAAATAATTAGAAAGTCTTATGGTTGGTGGTTTTTTGTTTTTTTTTAAATGAACTCTTAATTACTATCCACCCAATGCTTGCCAGTTCAAAACTGCCTGATTAAAATAGTATCTGTACCATAAAGGGATTTCCATCTCTTGTTTACTCTGACAAATTGAATGTATTTAAAAACAGAAGTATTCCTTCCACATTCCACAGCTATTTAGAGATTTCGGAGCAAAAAGAAACAAAAAACAACCGGTTACTACTCCCTCCTGCCTTGAAAATGCACCAGTGTCTGAAGATCAGCTGTTTTGTCATAGTAGTATTTAATGATACCAGGATACACAATGAGAAGTTTCCCAGCCTCTCAGGGAAGGATAGGGACAGAAGAGGAGCCACCCTCACAAGGCTGGTGAATGCGTACACTGGAAAACTATGGCTCTGTGTTGGCACATAAGCTGCACATCCTTCCTGTGCTACAAAGTCGGTTCCTCTATTTGTTTCACTCCTGTGTGTTGGCAATGCAGTTGCTACACTCCTCAGCTGGGTGTCGTAATTGACAGCATGGCATGCCAATCTCTGCCAGGCACCCCACTCTTTCCTAGCTGCTGGGAGGCTCCCTGCTTAACCGACACTTTAGAAACCAGCCTAAGGTGTGGGCAGGAACACCAGGAATGCCCTTTAATTCATTTCCAAGGAACAGGTAGGAAGTCTGCTGCATCCTAATAAGCAAGCCAATAAAAGAGTTTTAGGAATTGGTTGCTGCACATGCACAATGAAAACTCATTAAAATCCACTTCTTCCATGCTCTGCAGGTGATTAAATTTTTCAGTGCAAATATAAAAACAAACAAACCCAACAAACGTCAATCAAGAACAGGCACCAAGGTGGGTTTTATCTCTCCCCCCACCCTTGCAAAGCTCCTGTGCGTTAACAGCTGTGCACAGAAGGCAGAAATCCAGCAGGTGAAGCCTTTCCCATTAGAGAAACACAGTATGGAAAGCCGCAACTATTGAATTTCTGCCTCGGTCATGCAGCTGTTCAAAGCACAAAAGCGCCAGTCCTACAGGTGCCAGTCTTGGACAACACCCTGGACCCACCCAGATTACTTTCAGCGCTCCACCTCAAGAAAGGAAGTCCCAGACGCTGCTGCCAAGCAATCCACCTGGCTTGCCCTTTGCAATCCAGTAAGCAACGACTTCAGTTAGTAGTTACCACTGACACACACACATATATATATTTACTGCAGCATCAATTTCTGAAGGCAAGAACCTGCTTTTATTAGTTATGGTACAACGTTTTTTTGCAAGCATATTTGATGTAATGGACTATTAAGTTCCTGGAAGTTTTTTGCGCGCAATAAAGCTGGCAGCCTTTAAGGCGCTCCAAGAACTTTCCTTGCGCGCAAGCCACTCACAGCACGCCTACCTTTCTGGAAGTTAGGATCAGATATTGATTTTCCTCCTCAGCTTACCAAAATAACAGCAGTCCAAGACGAGGCAGCTTTTAACCACACACACACAACATCAGGACCCCCCCTTCTTTTAAAGGACACGCAACAGAGACAAATGGCACCCCAAAGAGAAGAGGACTGTACCGGGAGGAATGGGCGCGGCTGTTACGCACGGATCGCAGGAAGGGCTCCGGCTGCGAGCAAAGAGAAGCACCGAGTGGCAACGGGAAACCAGAGAAGGGGAAACGAAACCATCCCGTCCTGCCAGGGGAGGCGCTCCTGCCTGTGACTCAGCCCCTGACTCAGCCGCTCTCCAGGAACCTAATAGGGTGGCGAGGGGAAGGAGCCGCAGGCTCGAGCCCCCCAAGTTTGCTGCCGGCTTTCATTGCCACTGAGCATGTGCAGAACGGCCCGCACATGCCCAGGAGGAGGAAACGAAGCCGCTGCCCGTTGCCTTTGCCGGGCGGCACGCCTTTTTCCCCATCGCCGCCTGCTTTTTCCTCGGAGCAGGAAGGTGGCGCTCCGAAAGCGCAATTGCGCCCTGCTCCGGTTGGTTGTTGGCGCGGCAGAAGTAATCCCCGCAGGCTTACTCCCGAGTAGCGGCGCCTGGCTGCGCAAACCCGGGGAGCCTGACATTAATACAAACAATGCAGTCATAGGGTAAAGTTTATATTCTTTTACTTTGTGTCAGCTTGGATAGATTCTCTTTCTATTCGGTGATAGTTAAATGTTTGGGAAAAGTCAGAAGCCCAAGGCAGCATAAGTTCCTCAACTAAGTTTATTCAACATTTGTCAGTGACAACAGCTCACTCATAGGAACACAAGAACCAAACTGACTGGACAACACCATAATAGTCCCCAGCATGAACTGACCGTTGACAGTTTGACAGTTGAAAGAGCATGCGCTTACTTGCCATTAGAACGTTCGTCCATAGCTGTCAACTTTCAGATTTGAAAATAAGGGATCGGCAGCCTCGAAAATAAAGGATCAGCAGCTTCACCTGTCCCTGGGACAGTCTACGGCATATCTAACAATCCTGGATAGCAGCGGGAAATGGTGCTGGAATAAGGGAATTTCCCGCCAAAAAAGGGAAGGTTGACAGCTATGCGTTCGTCTACCAACACTATACGATTGGTTAGAACGTGCCTTGTAACATAAAATGTGTTAAACCCAATACATAACACTGATTTATTGCATTTCCTTGGTAGTGAGAGAGGTTGTGTGTGCGGGGAGCCTAAGGTTATCCCACCAACACGAATGTCCAGCAACAAATACAACCTGAAAAAAGAGACGACACACGTACTTCTGTCAACCAAGGAACCACTATGATCTTAGGGTGAGATCACTTTGAGGTGTATGATATAGATATGCAGGCTTGAATTCTTCTGGCCATATTGAGTGTTGAAATATCCCGGACATGCTGGGTGAAGGATGGGAACATCCAGTCTGATTTTTTGATGACTGCAATATTCTCCGGAAAGGCTGGGTAAGCTTGTACAGTTCAGAGGAATCGCTGGGTATGTGGTGATTAAACTGTGGACTGTTCTGGAGAAGTGTTTTGATTTGGGTGTCCTGCCCATAAGAGTGTGTTTATGAGGAGTGTTGAAGGAGTCCCATCTCTTCAAATGAAAGCACGGCGGGACACTATTTGATCTACTGAAAGTGACCAGATTGTTGTTAACCATGTGGGGAACCTGGGTAAGAAACGATATTCATGCCTTCAATTTGTTGCCCAATACATACAATTCCGATGCCTAAAACAAAAGTCATACTACCTGGCTGAGATTACCATGCCGTGTTAGAACCATGTTGAGGCCTGAGAAGGAGATCCTGCTATAGTTTCTAAGACCATTGCTATTGGGAAACGAGGATGGGAACCAGTTAGGATTCTGACCCTGGTGATGCTGTGTTGCAACTGAGTAAGGTTAAGCATAACGGACAGTTTGTACATAAATGCAGAGGACAAACTTCTAATGCCTGAAATGCATGCAAGCCGTGAGGAATCAGAAGTACCAGAATGTGCCTATCAGTGATGCAGAAGGAGAACTCAGAGCACGATGCTTGAAGAAAACACGTATAGGAACATGAACCATTTCTGCAGAGCAGAGACTTGACTCAACTAGAACTTGTCAAAGGACTTTCTCCCAGAAGCCTCTGGATTTTGCATGCATTTCCCATACTATCCCAACTGGTCCGGAATATATCCTCCAGTTTGGAACAGGTTCTGTCTAATTGCTCTTTCTTTGTACTAACCAGCTGGTGAGATGATGAATATATAAAATAAATAAATAGAGTGTTGTCAATTATTTTAATGCAAGTGGGCTGCACTCCGTGTCATGTGGCACAGGGAGAGAAGACAAGAGCTTTAAAAAACTACTGTTTTGCACAGTGGAAACATAATTTTCAAAACTACATTTATTGCTTTAAAATGCATGTTTTACAGACAATGATGACTGGCATTTAGAGAATTAAGAATGTGATGCTGCACACTTGTGTACAGAGACAGATTTGGGCAACAGAAGGAAGGCAGAAAAGCTTATAGAGATAATGTCTAAAACAGCATTAGGCCTCAATGTGATGCCTGTAGTATTTCAGCCTGCTCCTAAGCATTTATATTCAGATTGCCAACCTTTTTGGAACAATGAGGAAATTTGGAATTTTGAGAAACTGCTATGGGCGCCAGTCACAAAATGGTTGCCATGGGGCGTGTGGCATGACACAAAATGGCTGTTGGCAGAGGAGAGAAAGAGAGGCAAAGCTGGTGTCAACATTAACTTGGCAGGAAGTTCTCTTATGCATTTTTTATTTTTGAGAGTGTGTTTACCACGGGAGGTACCAGTGGGTTCACTGCACTGGCAACCCCATTCTATGACAAAGAGAATCTGCCAATGAAGAGGGTGTTTGAAGATGAAAGGGTGGTTTGCTTCTAATTTTATGGGATGCTGAGATGACCTTATTGCAACGGTGGCTGCTGAGGCAGCTGCTGCCTCAATGCCCTCTTCATTGATCTCCACAAAGGACTTGTGATACACCTCTGACAAAGCCAAGTCACTTTTCTTTGACATTCCTGAGAAGTTAGCTTGCTTCAGGGAGAGCAAAACCTACCATAGAAGAGAAGGCTTTGTGTTTTGTTGTGCCGAATGAAGAAGAGAAAGGGATGGTCGGCTGTGACACAGGGCACAATCCTAGCACACCGCTTAGTCATTACAGCAGCAGTAGCAGCAGCGGCCTCAGTTCCCTCTTCGTTTACCTCTACAAAGGATTTGTGAACAACCTCAGACAAAACCAAGTCATTGTTGGGAGACATCCTGGAGAAATCTGCCTTGCTTGGGTCAAACGCCTCAGCCATTCCCATGCTGCTCAGAACAGGCTTCAGGTCGTATTTTTCCTCCAGTTTAAATTTGGGTAGAGACAGCTGAACTTCAGTTAGGTTCATTTTCTCAGGGTTAATCCAATCCTTGAGTTTCTCATAGGTCATTTCTTTCTCCAGCTAAAATAAGACAAATACAAGGCATTCAAGGAAAAAAGGAAATCCTGGCTGCATATAGAAATCCTCACATTTCTTACATAAAACCATTTTCACTGGATTCACAGTGACTCAAATGACTCCATGTACATCACTTAAACAAACTTGTTTCACAATTGCCCTGCCTGTCCAGGTAGAATTCCTTTCTGCTCAACTTGCTTTTATGCCGTCCATCTTTCTGAATAAGACAGAACACTGGCAGACTTAACTATGCTTATAGAAATATAAACAGCTATATTAAACATATATTGCTCCTTCTGGGGTAATTTATCCACCTTTGGTTCTCCCCACCCTGTACTCAGCTCTCACCTGTGGCTCCTAGAAGCTGTCAGCATGTTGAACAATGTTTATAAATTGTATACCTATATTTTAGCTGAAAGAATGAAGAAAATTCTCCAAACTATTATACAGTATAGTAATTTATGGACCTAAAAGGTATCTAAAGCCATTTGCACATGCAGAATGCAGGCACCATATATATAGAAATGAGCAAACCAGTGATATTTTAGGGAGCAGGCTGGCAGGCAGGACCCATTACTTACATTATAGGAGCCTATACAACACAAAACACTGTTGCTGTGTGTAGGTTTTATTTTATTTGTTTTTTATCTTATATTTTGGAAATGTACATCTAGTTTTTTTGCTTTACATTTTTTGGGGGGCCCCAAAAGAGTGGGACCCTAAGCTATAGCTTGTTTAGCTTATACATAAATTCGGCACTGACCCCAGGGAGGTCATTTCGGCGCTGCTGGCATGGTGGTTTGACTTCACCCCTGGAGGCACACTCCATTGTCTCTCGAGACAGATGCCAACAATATAATAAGTTACACTGGGCACTTGGAAGAATCATGTAGAAGCTGGAAGCTAGAATGCTCTCGTCATGTACCAACAAGGGCAATTTTTATGGGCAAGAATTTAGATGGTTTTATTCTCAGCAACAATGCCTCACCTTTTCCAGGCCTGTAGAATTATCTGCAATCTCATCAGGAAGCAGGATGATCATGCTGAGCTCGTTTTCAACATAAGGAATCTCGAGAATTTTGGTGCGAAGTTCCGATATCCATGTCATGTTGAATTTAGCTTTCTTGAACATCATCTGCACCGGTTTGCTTTCATTCTGCAAATGGAGAAGAATTTCGTTTTAAGCATATAATCTTTTCTATTGCTCTATTGCATTGCTTGAGCTGCTCTGCATCTTGTTTACTGTTCATCCTCTGTTGTGTCTGCAAAAGAATGTCCTTAGGACATGGTGGGAAGGGAAATCCTTGCTGGTCAACTGATGAAAGAAAAAAACAGAAGGAGGGAACACTCCAAATATCAGAATGTGTGTATGTAATCAAAACGATAAAGACTGTGCTCAGTGATGTTCTTCACATTATATCCCACCTCATACCTTGCTAATTTTGAACGGCCTTTCCTGTGTGTGATCTTTGCAGAACTGATTTGCCCAGTTTCCCTTGAAATAGATAGCATTCACCAAGACCAGCCTTGTACTGGAGTCAATTAGTCCTGGGGCGAGCAGATTTTGGATTTTACCTTGAAGAGGGATTAAAGAGCTGTTTTAATAAGTACATATTTTTCAGACACAAACTCATATTTTAAGAAGTAAACCTCAGACAATATGGAAGCCCAAGAATTTGCTACTCACTTGCTGTCTGTTCTTCCACCCAATTATTAATGTATTTCCTGGAATCCTCTGATGCTTTAATGAAGTCTAGTTTCTCTAGACCTGCTCGATAGAATTTTTGGCTGGAGTCTATGAATGACTTAAACAAATATGTTTCAGAATTAAAAGCTATATATGGATCTGTAGATATCATATACACACAAACTTTGATTTCATTCAGATTTTGTTCCACAGAAAAGAGGGGGAGAGAAGGATGTTCCTTCCATTTTCAGATACCGAAAGATGTGAAACACGTATGCAGATGCTTAATTTAACTTCAGTTGATGAGAAAAAGCTCATGGCATGTGCAATAGATTCCTATCAGCCAAAACAGATGGACTGAACCGGATCCAAACAAACTTTTTTTGCTGAAGAATACATATAGCAATCCTTGTCTTATTCTTATATATGAGAGTCCTACAGGAAAGGTCTGTATGCAGGATGCTAAATTCTTACCAAGATTTGCCCCTGTATCAATCCTGCTCAATGCAGGCGGATAATGAATTCCAATGTGGTGTTTTTTCCTTCCATTCCTCTATGGAGGAAAAAACGTTACGTAAGCCATACTTATTTGTCTCCAAATTTGGTTACTCTTTGGAAAGTGCCAACTACCTGTTGTATTACAGTTGTTTTTTTAATGTAATTATCATCTTGGCTTGATCTAGCAAAAGCTCCTCTTAGTCTAACATTCTGTCCCTGGAAGCTCACAAGCATGTCATAAAATTAACACACATTTCTCTATAATGACCTGGATTCAAAGGCCCATAAACAGATGGGGAAATGCAGCAGTGCTGGTCTGTGAACATTTTGTGCAAACGCTGGGGGACTTTGCCTTCCAGGTCCCATGGCAGATTACAACAATTCAAAATTCTGTACATATTACATATATTAAAAAGTCACAGCAATGGCCTGGGTCCTGAAAACACATAGGCGAAGGGTAAAGAGGTGCATCTTCAGAGTGGCCGACGAGACAGTATAACACCCGTCCTGAAAGACCTACATTGGTTCCCAGTGTGTTTCCATGCACAAGTCAAAAGTGTTGGAGCTGACCTTTAAAGCCCTAAAAAGCCTCGGCTCTGTATAGTTGAAGGAGCGTCTCCACCCCCATCGTTCAGCCCGGACGCTGAGGGCCTTCTGGTGGTTCCCTCCCTGCGAGAAGTGAGGTTACAGGGAACCAGGCAGACGGCCTTCTCGGTAATGGCATCTGCCCTTTGGAACGCCCTCCCTTCAGATGTCAAGGAAATAAACAACTATATGGCTTTTAGAAACATCTGAAGGCAGACCTGTTTAGGGACGTTTTTAATGTTTGTAGTTTTCTTCTGTTTTAATGTTCTGCTGGGAGCTGCATAGAGTGCCTGGGGAAACCCAGCCATATGGGCAGGGTATAAATAATAAATAGTATTACTATTATTACTATTATTATTATCCCAGCTAATGTCCTGGTGCCAAGTAAGGACAGGGAAAAAGAGAAAGAAATGAATCTATCCACCAAGTAGATTGGCTGGTACAACCTGCCACCTGGACTCAAGCTGATCACTGCTGCTAATTCAAATGTCCCTTTCAGTTTGATGGAAGGTTTTACTGGAAAGTACAGAAGGGATAGTGAGTGCTTAGCTGCGTTTCTGATCTGCGACAGAACACGGTTCACTATCTGAACAGAGACCACTTCCTGTTCTCTAGCATATTTGTAAACCATGTAACTTACTGAAATAAACTCATAGGATGTTTCTCCAAAGAGCCTGTTGGCTAGCCTAAGCAAGTACTTGGTGTCTGGCTTGTTGATTTCAGAAATAAGTTTCTCGTATCCCTGGTGAAACTCGACGTCGTTGGTCACAGACAGCACCTGTAAGACAATAAATGGTTAACAGATAATGTTAAGTACAGTAATTTAAATACATTTATCTACGTACTCCTTAAAAACTGTATTAGTTGAAAAATCCATGCCTTTCAGCAAACAAGAGAGTGAAGTACTGTAAATGCATATTTCAGCCTGACCTGCTACAGAGAAAAAGATGCACCATGCATGCCTCATTTAAGAGTCAAAACTCAAGCTCCCCGCTCCCCTTAATAGTAATTATCTGGATATACCTTTGCCATTTGGGCTGCAGTGTTCCCTGCTGCACCCAGAGAAACCATCGTCAAAGCAGAAGAAATGCTCAAAGGAGAAAAAAACATGTTCGCTGTATTGTCATTTTGACTTAGCTTCTTGAACAGATTGAGGGCAAAGGCACTGTTTGCTGCAGTGAGGCGGTCCATGTCTTATAACCTACGAAACAAGCACAGATAAGACACTCACCCAGTTTGTCCGCTCGGAGGTCACTTTTACAAGAAAAAAACCAAACCTAAGCATTTTTTTTCAGATCCCACACATGTTTCCTAAGGGCATATCAACCTGCAATTCCTACTTTTGAACATTTTCATGCTCTCCAAATGCCACCCACCCACCCACCGTTTTCTGGTGTGGGGGAGGCTGCAGCCCACAGAGGATCCGTCAATCACATGCTACATTTCTTTAGATGAAAGCAATGGCCAGCAGACAGTAATATGCAAAAATGCCCAGGAGGAGAGTAACATTTGCCCTCACTTGATTTCTAAGAAGATCAGCTTTAAATTAAAAGTCTATTGCATCTTATATGCCACATTACCCCCTTTGGGACATACAGTGGTACCTCGGGTTAAGTACTTAATTCATCCTGGAGATCCGTTCTTAACCTGAAACTGTTCTTAACCTGAAGCACCACTTTAGCTAATGGGGCCTCCTGCTGCTGCCGTGCCGCCGCCGCTGCACTATTTCTGTTCTCATCCTGAAGCAAAGTTCTTAACCCGAGGTACTATTTCTGGGTTAGCGGAGTCTGTAACCTGTAGCGTATGTAACCTGAAGTGTATGTAACCTCAGATACCACTGTAAAAAGAAATAGAGGGAGGGAAAGCATCATTTGAGAGCCTGTTGTCCCTCCCCACTGCATAATTCTAGCCTCAAAAACAGGACTATTAAAGCCTCAGGTCGCAGAATTAAGTTAGCAAGCCAACAGCTATAATAGCCTGACTTTCGCAATTAAGTCTATGTTTGATAAACCGTGTCCTGAACGGGATCAAGCTTGCATGAAGTCCTGTTTGATGCTTTTACAACTATATTGTGACTACTGGCATTAAGATGTACAAATCTTTCAAAACTCCTTCTACCAGTATTAGGGCAGGCATGTCCAAAGTCTGGTTCGGGGGTTTAATTCGGCCCCTTCTGTCCTGGGGTAAAATCCTAAAAAAAAAAAATGCTCAGCAACTTCAATCCTAAAAAAAAGCTCAACAACTTTGGTAGGGAAACACAGTATGGAAAGCCGCAGCTATTAAATTTCTGCCTGTGTTGTGCAGCTGTTCAAAGGACAGAAGTGTGCACAGAAGTGCAGGTCCCACAGGTGACAACACCCTGAGACCCTCCCAGATTAATTACTTCCTCAACAAAGGAAGTCCCAGACAACATCAGGACCCACCGCCTTTCCTTTAAAAGACACGCAACAGGTACAAATGGCACCCCAAAGAGAAGAGGACTGTACCGGGAGAAATGCGCGCGGCTGTTACGCACGGATCGCAGGAAGGGCTCCGGCTGCGAGCAAAGAGAGGCACCGAGTGGCGACGGGAAACCCGAGGAGGAGGTACGAAACCATCCCGTCCTGCCAGGGGAGGCGCTCCTGCCTGTGACTCAGCCCCTGACTCAGCCGCTCTCCAGGAACCTAATAGGGAATAAAAAAAAGGAGCCGCAGCCTCGATCCCCGCAAGTTTGCGGCCGGCTTCCATTGCCACTGAGCATGTGCAGAACGGCTCGCACATGCCCAGGAGGAGGAAACGAAGCCGCTGCCCGTTGCCTTTGAGGGCGGCACGCCTTTTTCCCCATCGCCGCCTGCTTTTTCCTCGGAGCAGGAAGGTGGCGCCCCGAAAGCGCAATTGCGCCCTGCTCCGGTTGGTTGTTGGCGCGGCGGAAGTAATCCCCGCAGGCTTACTCCCGAGTAGCGGCGCCTGGCTGCGCAAACCCGGGGAGCCTGACATTAATACAAACAATGCAGTTTATAGGGTAAAGCTCATATTCTTTTACTAAGTGTCGGCGTGGCTTGGATAGATCCTCTTTCTATTCGCTGATCGTTAAATGTTCGGAAAAAGTCAGAAGCCCAAGGCAGTGTAAGTTTATTCAGCATTTGTCAGTGACAACAGCTCACTCATAGGAACACAAGAACCAAACTAACTGAACAACACGATAATAATGCCGAGGATGAACTGACCGTTGACAGTTTGACAGTTGAAAGAGCATGCGCTTACTTGCCATTAGAACGTAGGTCCATAGCTGTCAACTTTCAGATTTGAAAATAAGGGATCGGCAGCCTCACCAGTCCAGGGGACAGTCTATGGGATATCTAACAATCCGGGATAGCAGCGGGAAACGACGTTGGAATAAGGGAATTTCCCGCAAAAAAAGTGAAGGTTGACAGCTAAGTGTTCGTCTACCAACGCTTCTGCGATTGGTTAGAATGCGCCTTATAACATAAAATGTGTTAAACCCAATGCATAACACTGATTTATTGCATTTCCTTGGTAGTGAGAGAGGTTGTGCGTGCGGGGAGCCTAGGGTTATTCTACGAACATGAATGTCTCGCAACAAATGGAATTCATCCCTAGAAAATACAACCTGAAAAAAAGAGACGACGCACGTACTTCTGTAAACCAAGGAACCACTATGACCTTTGGGTGAAATCAGCTCCTTTGAGGTGTATATTCTAGATATGCAGGCTTGAATTCTTCTGGCCATATTGAGTGTTGAAATATCCCGGACATGCTGGGTGAAGGATGGGAACATCCAGTCAGATTTTTTGAGGACTGCAATATTCTCCGGAAAGATTGGGTAAGCTTGTACAGTTCAGAGGAATCTCTGGGTATGTGGTGATTAATCTGTGGACTATTCCGGAGAAGTGTTGGGATTTGGGTGTCCTGCCCATAAGAGTGTGTTTATGAGGAGTGTTGAAGGAGTCCCATCTCTTCAAATGAAAGCACTGTGGGACACTATTTGATCTACTGAAAGTGACCAGATTGTTGTTAACCATGTGGGGAACCTGGGTAATAAACGATATTCATGCCTTCAATTTGTTGCCCAATACATACAATTCCGATGCTTAAAACAAAAGTCATACTACCTGGGTGAGATTATGATGCCCTGTTAGAACCATGTTGAGGCCTGAGAAGGAGATCCTGCTATAGTTTCTAAGACCATTGCTATTGGGAAATGAGGACGGGTACCAGTTAGGATTCTGACCCTGGTGATGCTGTGTTGCAACTGAGTAAGGTTAAGCATAATGGACAGTTTGTACATAAATGCAGAGGACAAATTTCTAATGCCTGAAATGCAAGCAAGCCGTGAGGAATCAGAAGTACCAGAATGTGCCTATCAGTGATGCAGAAGGAGAACTCAGAGCACGATGCTTGAAGAAAACACGTATAGGAACATGAACCATTTCTGCAGAGCAGAGACTTGACTCAATTAGAACTTGTCAAAGGACTTTCTCCCAGAAGCCTCTGGATTTTGCATGCATTTCCCATACTATCCCAACTGGTCTGGAATATATCCTCCAGTTTGGAACAGGTTCCGTCTAATTGCTCTTTCGTTGTACTAACCAGCTGGTGAGATGATGAATATATAAAATAAATAAACAGGAGTGTTGTCAATTATTTTAATGCAAGTGGGCTGCACTCCGTGTCATGTAGCACAGGGAGAGAAGACAAGAGCTTTAAAAAACTACTGTTTTCACAGTGGAAACATAATTTTCAAAACTACATTTCTTGCTTTAAAATGCATGTTTTACAGACAATGATGACCGGCATTTAGAGAAGAATTAAGAATGTGATGCTGCACCCTTGTCATGTACAGAGACAGATTTGGGTAACAGAAGGAAGGCAGAAAAGCTTATATAGGTTATGTCTAAAACAGCATTAGGCCTCAATGTGATGCCTGTGGTATTTCAGCATGCTCCTAAACATTTATACTCAGATTGCCAAACTTTTTGGACCAATGAGGAAATGTGGAATTTTGAGAAACTGCTATGGGCGCCAGTCACAAAATGGCTGCCATGGGGCGTGTGGCATGACACAAAATGGCTGTTGGCAGAGGAGAGAAAGAAAGGCAAAGCCAGTGTCAACATTAAATTAGCAGGAAGGGCAGGAAGTTGTCTTATGCATTTTTTATTTATGAGGGTGTGTTTACCAGGGAGGTACCAGTGGGTTCATTGCATCGGCAACCCCATTCTATGACAAAAATAATCTGCCAAAGAAGAGGGTGCTTTTTGTTGCCTTGAAGATGAAAGGGTGGTTTGCTTCTAATTTTATGGGATGCTGAGATGACCTTATTACAACGGTGGCTGCTGAGGCAGCTGCTGCCTCAATACCCTCTTCATTGATCTCCACAAAGGACTTGTGATACACCTCTGACAAAGCCAAGTCACTTTTCTTTGACATTCCTGAGAAGTTAGCTTGCTTCAGGGAGAGCATAACCTACCATAGAAAAGAAGGCTCTGTGTTTTGTTGTGCCGAATGAAGAAGAGAAAGGGATGGTCGGCTGTGAAACTCGGCACAATCCTAGCACACAGTACATTCATAACAGCAGCAGTAGCAGCAGCGGCCTCAGTTCCCTCTTCGTTTACCTCTACAAAGGATTTGTGAACAACCTCAGACAAAACCAAGTCATTGTTGGGAGACATCCTGGAGAAATCTGCCTTGCTTTGGTCAAACGCCTCAGCCATCCCCATGCTGCTCAGAACAGGCTTCAGGTTGTATTTTTCCTCCAGTTTAAATTTGGGTAGAGACAGCTGAACTTCAGTTAGGTCCATCTTCTCAGGGTTAATCCAATCCTTGAGTTTCTCATAGGTCATTTCTTTCTCCAGCTAAAATAAGACAAATACAAGGCATTCAAGGAAAAAAGGAAATCCTGGCTGCATATATAAATCCTCACATTTCTTACATCAAACCATTTTCACTGGATTCACAGTGACTCAAATGACTCCATGTACATCAATTAAACTTGTTTCACAATTGCCCTGTCTGTCTGGGTAGAATTCCTTTCTGCTCAACTTGCTTTTATGCCTTCCATCTTTCTGAATAAGACAGAACACTGGCAGACTTAACTATGCTTATAGAAATATAAACAGCTATATTACACATATATTGCTCCTTCTGGGGTAATTTATCCACCTTTGGTTCCTACCCTGCACGCAGCTCTCACCTGTGGCTCCTAGAAGCTGTCAGCATGTTGAACAATGTTTATAAATTGTATACCTATATTTTAGCTGAAAGAATGAAGAAAATTCTCCAAACTATTATACAGTATAGTAATTTATGGACCTAAAAGGTATCTAAAGCCATTTGCACATGCAGAATGCAGGCACCACATACATAGAAATGAGCAAACCAGTGATATTTTAGGGCTGGCAGACGCGACGCATTACTTACATTATAGGAGCCTATACAACACAAAACACTGTTGCTATGTGTAGGTTTTATTTTATTTGTTTTTTATCTTATATTTTGGAAATGTACATCTAGGTTTTTTCCCCTTACATTTTTTGGGGGGGCCCCAAAATAGTGGGACCCTAAGCTATAGCTTGTTTAGCTTATACGTAAATCCGTCACTGATCCCAGGGAGGTCATTTCGGCGCTGCTGGCATGGTGGTTTGACTTCATCCCTGAAGGCACACTCCATTGTCTCTCGAGACAGACAGATGGCAACAATATAATAAGTTACACTGGGCACTTGGAAGAATCATGTAGAAGCTGGAAGCTAGAATGCTCTCGTCATGTACCAACAAGGGCAATTTTTATGGGCAAGAATTTAGATGGTTTTATTCTCAGCAACAATGCCTCACCTTTTCCAGGCCTGTAGAATTATCTGCAATCTCATCAGGAAGCAGGATGATCATGCTGAGCTCGTTATCAACATAAGGAATCTCGAGAATTTTGGTGCGAAGTTCCGATATCCATGTCATGTTGAATTTAGCTTTCTTGAACATCATCTGCACCGGTTTGCTTTCATTCTGCAAATGGAGAAGAATTTCGTTTTAAGCATATAATCTTTTCTATTGCTCTATTGCATTGCTTGAGCTGCTCTGCATCTTGTTTACTGTTCATCCTCTGTTGTGTCTGCAAAAGAATGTCCTTAGGACATGGTGGGAAGGGAAATCCTTGCTGGTCAACTGATGAAAGAAAAAAACAGAAGGAGGAAACACTCCAAATATCACAATGTATGTAATTTAATCAAAACGATAAAGACTGTGCTCAGTGATGTTCTTCACATTATTTCCCACCTCATACCTTGCTAATTTTGAACGGCCTTTCCTCAGTGTGATCTTTGCAGAACTGATTTGCCCAGGTTCCCTTGAAATAGATAGCATTCACCAAGACCAGCCTTGTACTGGAGTCAATTAGTCCTGGGGCGAGCAGATTTTGGATTTTACCTTGAAGAGGGATTAAAGAGCTGTTTTAATAAGTACATATTTTTCAGACACAAACTCATATTTTAAGAAGTAAACCTCAGACAATATGGAAGCCCAAGAATTTGCTACTCACTTGCTGTCTGTTCTTCCACCCAATTATTAATGTATTTCCTGGAATCCTCTGATGCTTTAATGAAGTCTAGTTTCTCTAGACCTGCTCGATAGAATTTCTGGCTGGAGTCTATGAATGACTTAAACAAATATGTTTCAGAATTAAAAGCTATATATGGATCTGTATATATCATATACAAACAAACTTTGATTTCATTCAGGTTTTGTCCCACAGAAAAGAGAGGGAGAGAAGGATGTTTCTTCCATTTTCAGATACCGAAAGATGTGAAACACGTATACAGCTGCTTAATTTAACTTCAGTTGATAAGAAAAAGCTCATGGCATGTGCAATAGATTCCTATCAGCCAAAACAGATGGACTGAACCGGACCCAAACAAACTTCTTTTGCTCAAGAATACACATAGCAATCATTGTCTTATTCTTATATATGAGAGTCCTACAGGAAAGGTCTGTATGCAGGATGCTAAATTCTTACCAAGATTTGCCCCTGTATCAGTCCTGCTCAATGCAGGCGGATAATGAATTCCAATGTGGTGTTTTTTCCTTCCATTCCTCTATGGAGGAAAAAACGTTAAGTAAGCCATACTTATTTGTCTCCAAATTTGGTTACTCTTTGGAAAGTGCCAACTACCTGTTGTATTACAGTTGTTTTTTAAATGTAATTATCCTCTTGGCTTGATCTAGCAAAAGCTCCACTTAGTCTACCGTTCTGTCCCTGGAAGCTCACAAGCATGTCATAAAATTAACACACATTTCTCTATAATGACCTGGATTCAAAGGCCCATAAACAGATGGGGAAATGCAGCAGTGCTGGTCTGTGAACTCCTGTGCAAACGCTGGGGGACTTTGCCTTCCAGGTCCCATGGCAGATTACAACAATTCAAAATTCTGTACGTATTACATATATTAAAAAGTCACAGCAATGGCCTGGGTTCTGAAAACACATAGGCCATAGGGTAAAGAGGTGCATCTTCAGAGTGGCCGATGAGACAGTATAACACCCGTCCTGAAAGACCTACATTGGTTCCCAGTGTGTTTCCATGCACAAGTCAAAAGTGTTGGAGCTGACCTTTAAAGCCCTAACAAGCCTCGGCTCTGTATAGTTGAAGGAGCGTCTCCACCCCCATCGTTCAGCCCGGACGCTGAGGGCCTTCTGGTGGTTCCCTCCCTGCGAGAAGTGAGGTTACAGGGAACCAGGCAGACGGCCTTCTCGGTAATGGCATCTGCCCTTTGGAACGCCCTCCCATCAGATGTCAAGGAAATAAACAACTATATGACTTTTAGAAACATCTGAAGGCAGACCTGTTTAGGGAAGTTTTTAATGTTTGTAGTTTTCTTCTGTTTTAATGTTCTGCTGGGAGCCGCATAGAGTGCCTGGGGAAACCCAGCCATATGGGCAGGGTATAAATACTAAATAGTATTACTATTATTACTATTATTATTATTATTATTATTATTATTATCCCAGCTAATGTCCTGGTGCCAAGTAAGGACAGGGAAAAAGAGAAAGAAATGAATCTATCCACCAAGTAGATTGGCTGGTACAACCTGCCACCTGGACTCAAGCTGATCACTGCTGCTAATTCAAATGTCCCTTTCAGTTTGATGGAAGGTTTTACTGGAAAGTACAGAAGGGATAGTGAGTGCTTAGCTGCGTTTCTGATCTGCGACAGAACACGGTTCACTATCTGAACAGAGACCACTTCCTGTTCTCTAGCATATTTGTAAACCATGTAACTTACTGAAATAAACTCATAGGATGTTTCTCCAAAGAGCCTGTTGGCTAGCCTAAGCAAGTACTTGGTGTCTGGCTTGTTGATTTCAGAAATAAGTTTCTCGTATCCCTGGTGAAACTCAACGTCATTGGTCACAGACAGCACCTGTAAGACGATAAATGGTTAACGGATAATGTTAAGTACAGTAATTTAAATACATTTATCTACGTACTCCTTAAAAACTGTATTAGTTGAAAAATTCATGCCTTTCAGCAAACAAGATAGTGAAATACTGTAAATGCATATTTAAGCCTGACCTGCTACAGAGAAAAAGATGCACCATGCATGCCTCATTTAAGAGTCAAAACTCAAGCTCCCCGCTCCCCTTGATAGTATTTATCTGGATATACCTTTGCCATTTGGGCTGCAGTGTTCCCTGCTGCACCCAGAGAAACCATCGTCAAAGCAGAAGAAATGCTCAACGGAGAAAAAAACACGTTCGCTGTATTATCATTTTGACTTAGCTTCTTGAACAGATTGAGGGCAAAGGCACTGTTTGCTGCAGTGAGGCGGTCCATGTCTTATAACCTACGAAACAAGCACAGAGAAGACAGTCATCCAATTTGTCCGCTCAGAGGTCACTTTTACAAGAAAAAAACCAAACCTAAGAATTTGTTTTCAGATCCCACACATATCCAAATGCATATCAACCTGTAATTCCCATGCTGGAACATTTTCATGCTCTCCAAATGCCACCCACCCACCCACCGTTTTCTGGTGTGGGGGAGGCTGCAGCCCACAGAGGATCCGTCAATCACATGCTACATTTCTTTAGATGAAAGCAATGGCCAGCAGACAGTAATTTGCAAAAATGCCCAGGAGGAGAGTAACATTTGCCCTCACTTGATTTCTAAGAAGATCAGCTTTAAATTAAAAGTCTATTGCATCTTATATGCCACATTACCCCCTTTGGGACATACAATGGTACCTCGGGTTAAGTACTTAATTCATCCCGGAGATCCGTTCTTAACCTGAAACTGTTCTTAACCTGAAGCACCACTTTAGCTAATGGGGCCTCCTGCTGCTGCCGTGCCACCGCCGCTGCACTATTTCTGTTCTCATCCTGAAGCAAAGTTCTTAACCCGAGGTACTATTTCTGGGTTAGCGGAGTCTGTAACCTGTAGCGTATGTAACCTGAAGTGTATGTAAGCTGAGATACCACTGTAAAAAGAAATAGAGAGAGGGAAAGCATCATTTGAGAGCCTGTTGTCCCTCCCACTGCATAATTCTAGCCTCAACAACAGGACTATTAAAGCCTCAGGTCGCTAGAATTAAGTTAGCAAGCCAACAGCTATAATAGCCTGACTCTCTGCAATTAAGTCTATGTTTGAACAACCGTGTCCTGAACGTGGATCAAGCTTGCCACTGAAGTCCTGTTTGATGCTTTTATATTGCGACGACTGGCACAAAGATGTACAAATCTTTCAAAACTCGCTTCTACCAGTATTAGGCAGGCATGTCCAAAGTCTGGTTGCAGGGGTTATAATGCAATGGACCCTTCTGTCCCTGGAGGTAAATTTCTACAAAAAAATGCTGGCAGCAACTTCAAGCGCTCCTAAAACAAAGCGCTCAAGCAACTTTGGTAGGCAAACACAGTATGGAAAGCCGCAGCTATTAAATTTCTGCCTGTGTTGTGCAGCTGTTCAAAAGACAGAAGTGTGCACAGAAGTGCAGGTCCCACAGGTGACAACACCCTGAGACCCTCCCAGATTAATTACTTCCTCAACAAAGGAAGTCCCAGACAACATCAGGACCCACCGCCTTTCCTTTAAAAGACACGTAACAGGTATAAATGGCACCCCAAAGAGAAGAGGACTGTACCGGGAGAAATGCGCGCGGCTGTTACGCACGGATCGCAGGAAGGGCTCCGGCTGCGAGCAAAGAGAGGCACCGAGTGGCGACGGGAAACCCGAGGAGGAGGTACGAAACCATCCCGTCCTGCCAGGGGAGGCGCTCCTTCCTGTGACTCAGCCCCTGACTCAGCCGCTCTCCAGGAACCTAATAGGGAATAAAAAAAGGAGCCGCAGCCTCGATCCCCGCAAGTTTGCGGCCGGCTTCCATTGCCACTGAGCATGTGCAGAACGGCTCGCACATGCCCAGGAGGAGGAGACGAAGCCGCTGCCCGTTGCCTTTGAGGGCGGCACGCCTTTTTCCCCATCGCCGCCTGCTTTTTCAGAAACGGAGAAGCCCCTCGGAGCAGGAAGGTGGCGCTCCGAAAGCGCAATTGCGCCCTGCTCGTGCTGGTTGTTGGCGCAGCAGAAGTAATCCCCGCAGGCTTACTCCCGAGTAGCGGCGCCTGGCTGCGCAAACCAGGGGAGCCTGACATTAATACAAACAATGCAGTTTATAGAGTAAAGCTTATATTCTTTTACTTAGTGTCAGCGTGGCTTGGATAGATCCTCTTTACAATCGCTGATCGTTAAATGTTCGGAAAAAGTCAGAAGCCCAAGGCAGTATAAGTTCCTCAACTAAGTTTATTCAACATTTGTCAGTGACAACAGCTCACTCATAGGAACACAAGAACCAAACTGACTGGACAACACGATAATAATCCCCAGCATGAACTGATCGTTGACAGTTGACAGTTCAAAGAGCATGCGCTTACTGTGGTACCTCTGGATGCGAACGGGATCCGTTCCGGAGCCCCGTTCGCATCCAGAAGCGAATGCAACCCACGTCCGCACGTGCGCGGGTTGCGATTCGCCGCTTCCGCGCACGCGTGTGACGTCATTTTGACCGTCTGCGCATGCGTGAGCGGCGAAACCCGGAAGTAACATGCTTATTACTTCCAGGTCACCGCAGCTCGCAACCCGAAAATACTTATCCCGAAGGTACTTCAACCCGAGGTATGACTGTACTTGCCATTAGAATGTTAGTCTACCAACACTTCTATGATTGGTTAGAACGCGCTTTGAAACATAAAATGTGTTAAGCCCAATACATAATACATAATACGTTCGTCCATAGCTGTCAACTTTCAGATTAGAAAATAAGGGATCAGCAGCCTCACCAGTCCAGGGGACAGTCTATGGATATCTAACAATCCGGGATAGCAGTGGGAAACGGCATTGGAATAAGGGAATTTCACACAAAAAAAAGGGAAGGTTGACAGCTAAGTGTTCGTCTACCAACACTTCTGCGATTGGTTAGAATGCGCCTTGTAACATAAAATGTGTTAAACCCAATACATAACACTGATTTATTGCATTTCCTTGGTAGTGAGAGAGGTTGTGTGTGCGGGGAGCTAGGGTTATTCTACGAACACGAATGTCTCCCAACAAATGGAATTGATCCCTAGAAAATACAACCTGAAAAAAGAGACGTTACACGTGCTTCTGTAAACCAGTGAACCACTATGACCTTCGGCTGAGATCAGCTTCTTTGAGGTGTATGATACAGATATGCAGGTTTGAATCCTTCTGGCAATAGTGAGTGTTGAAATATCTTTTTCCTGGGCATGCTGGGTGAAGGATGGGAACATCCAGTCTGATTTTTTTGAGGACTGCAATATTCTCCGGAAAGATTGGGTAAGCTTGTACAGTTCAGAGGAATCTCTGGGTATGTGGTGATTAATCTGTGGACTATTCCGGAGAAGTGTTGGGATTTGGGTGTCCTGCCCATAAGAGTGTGTTTATGAGGAGTGTTGAAGGAGTCCCATCTCTTCAAATGAAAGCACTGTGGGACACTATTTGATCTACTGAAAGTGACCAGATTGTTGTTAACCATGTGGGGAACCTGGGCAATAAATGATATTTATGCCTTCAATTTGTTGCCCAATACACACAATTCCGATGCTTAAAACAAAGGTCAGACTACCTGCGAGAGATTATGATGCCCTGTTAGAACCACGTTGAGGCCTGAGAAGGAGATCCTGCTATAGTTTCTAAGACCATTGCTATTGGGAAACGAGGATGGGAACCAGTTAGGATTCTGACCCTGGTGATGCTGTGTTGCAACTGAGTAAGGTTAAGCATAATGGACAGTTTGTACATAAATGCAGAGGACAAACTTCTAATGCCTGAAATGCAAGCAAGCCGTGAGGAATCAGAAGTACCAGAATGTGCCTATCAGTGATGCAGAAGGAGAACTCAGATCACGACGCTTGAAGAAAATACGTATAGGAACATGAACCATTTCTTGAGACTCGAGTCAATTACAACTTGCCAAAGGACTTTCTCCCACAAGCTTCTGGATTTTGCATGCATTCCCAAGTGCAGCATAGTGTCTCAACTGGTCTGTAATATATCCTCCAGTTTGGAACATGTTCCATCTAATTGCTCTAGCTTTCTACTAATCAGCTGGTGAGATGATGAATATATAAAATAAATAAATAGGAGTGTTGTCAATTATTTTAATTGAAGTGGGCTGCACCCCGTGTCATGTAGCACAGGGAGAGAAGATAAGAGCTTTTAAAATACTATTGTTTTGCATAGTGGAAACATACCACATTTTTCTGTGTATAACACGCCCCCATGTATAAGACGCCCCTTTTTTTGGTGGACTCAAAATTTAGAAAATTGGGGGAGATTGCCCAGAATTGTTGAGCTTTTTGGGGGGAGGATTGGAGGATTGCCAAAGTTGTTGAGCTTTTTTGGAGGGCCATTGCCCATTGCCCACAGTTTTTAAGTTGTTTCGGGAGAGGGGGTTTAACGACAAACACTCACTCACCGGAACAACGAAAACAACCACTCACACTGCAGAAGAAAATCTTCTGCCCGCACGCCAAAAGCAACAGCAAATCGCCTGCCCAGTTGACGAGGCAGCACCAAATTAAGAGCAGCCCTTGATGCAGCAACCAATCATCAGCCAAAATGGCTGCTGAAATGCTCCGTGCCAGCGACCAATCCCATGTCCCCACTCAGCACTACCCATGTATAAGACGAGCCCCAATTTGAGAGATTCTTTTATCTGAAGAAAAGCTCATCCAATACACAGAAAAGTACAGTAATTTTCAAAAATAAATTTATTGATTTAAAATGCATGTTTTACAGACAATGATGACTGGCATTTAGAGAAGAATTAAGAATGTTATGCTGCACACTCTTGTCATGTACAGAGACAGATTTGGGCAACAGAAGGAAGGCAGAAAAGCTTATATAGGTTATGCCTAAAACAGCATTAGGCCTAAATGTGAGGCCTATGGCATTTCAGCCTGCTCTTAAGCATTTATATTCAGATTGGTCCAACCTTTTTGGACCAATGAGGACATTTGGAATTTTGAGAAACTGCTATGGTGCCAATCACAAAATGGCTGCCATGGGGCATGTGGCATGACACAAAATGGCTGTTGGCAGAGGAGAGAAAGAGAGGCAAATCCAGTGTCAACATTAACTTGGGAGAAAGGGCAAGAAGTTCTCTTATGCATTTTTTATTTTTGAGGGTGTGTTTACCATGGGAGGTACTGGTAGGTTCATTACATTGGCAACCACATTCTATGGAGAAGAGAATCTGCCCAAGAAGAGGGTGGTTTTTGTTGCCTTGTGCTTGATAAAGAAGATAAAAGGATGGTTTGCTTCGAATTTTATGGGCTTCTGAGATGACCTTATTACAATGGTGGCTGCTGAGGCAGCTGCTGCCTCAGTGCCCTCTTCATTGATCTCCACAAAGGACTTGTGATACACCTCTGACAAAGCCAAGTCGCCTTTTTTTGACATTCCCAAGAAGTTAGCTTGGCCTGGAATGAAAGCATCCTTCATCCCCATACTGCTTAGGGTGGACTTGAGGTCGAAACTCTCTTCCAGTTTGATCCTTGGTAAGTGAAGCTCCACCTTCCTTTTCTGCATCATATCCGAACTCGTCCATATCGACAATCTCTCATATGTTAGTTCTTTTTCCAGCTGTGGTCGTATAATAAAGCAAGTTAGACAGCAAAATGAAAACAAAAGTGACTCTTAAAAACAACAACCCTACAACCAGTAACTCTTCTCACCACAAAGTTATGAGGGCTTTCGAAACAAAGCCTGCTGTTTACTTTGCTAGGGAATGTGATGCAAGGAGAAAAGGCAAGTGACGTGGGACATAAAATAATGTTTGAAGACTGGGAAAGGTTGTGGAGGAAAGGGGTCAAGTTCACTGCATGTACTGTTAGAGGGGGATTTTCCACTGGTGGCAGATGACAGAAGACTGTGACACCACGAGACCGGTGTAAAACCAAATCAAATAAGGACTTTATTTCAAAACAAAAAAACAGCAAAGCTTGTGGGTGTTTTTCCTGCAGGCAGAGTTCGAACTGCAGCTTTTCTCCTTTTGTAGCCATGGCCAGCTGCAACCAATGAGCCCAGAGCTCACAAAAACTGTTCTTAAAGGTACAAACATCTTTACTGTTTCTGTGCAGAATGTTTCTTTCCCAACATGTACAGTGTTAAAGGAAAATATTATGAAAATGATGTATAGATGGTATTTAACCCCTGTAAAATTAGCAAAGATATATCACAATAGTGATAATCTATGTTGGAAATGTAAAGAAAAAGAAGGTACCTTTTATCATATGTGGTGGACCTGCCCCAAGGTGAAAGACTTCTGGGAGAAGATTTATAATGAATTGAAAAAAATGTTGAAATATACATTTATTAAAAAACCAGAGGCCTTTCTTCTTGGAACAACAGGTTTGGAATTGCCCAAGAAAGATGTTAGATTGTTTTTGTATGCCACAACTGCAGCTAGAATTTTGTTAGCCAAGAATTGGAAAACACAAGAAGTGCCAACACTGGAGGAATGGCAGATGAAGGTGATGGACTTTTCGGAGCTAGCCAACCTAACCGGAAGAGTCTGCGACCAGAAGGAGGAGGAGTACCAGGAGGAATGGAGGAAATTCAAAGACTATTTGGTTAAATATGCTAAGATAATTTAAATAGAAATACTTGCAAACACCAGATAGGCTTAGGATTTAAATATGTGATGTTATAGAATAACATGTTTAAATTTAATATGAAAAGAAAGAAAGACATTAATTGATTAAGTAAATTTTATGAGAAATTTGTTTTGGAAAACTGTTACAATGATATATATTTAAACTCAACCAGGGGGATTTGAGGCAGTCACGTAAAAATGTTATTAAGAGTGGAATAATTACAGTTAGGATTTATGTTTGTTTGTTTGTATAGAAATTTTGGAAAATCAATAAAACTTTTGAGGGGAAAAAAGAAAAGGCACTTCCAAGTTTTAGGGGCCCATAGTGCTTTCACCACCCCACTCCACCCCCAAATCTGGCCACTGTACCTGCAACCCACTCTGTCGCTGCTAAATACATAAGGTTACTGCATGTTATTTTCTCTTTTTTCTTTTAAAATTAGGTGATTATTTTGCTCACAATGCAACAAGCCCTTCTATGCTGACTCATATACAGTTGTACCTTGGAAGTCGAATGGAATCCATTCCAGAAGTCCGTTCGACTTCCAAAACATTCGCAAACCAAAGCACAGCTTCTGATTGGCTGCGGGAAGCTCCTGCAGCCAATCAGAAGCCACAGAAGCCCCGTTGGACATTCGGATTCCAAAAGAACATTCGCAAACCAGAACAATCACTTCTGGGTTTGCGACATTTGGGAGCCAAAAGATCCGAGTTCCAGGGCATTTGGGATCCAAGGTACAATTGTATGCACTTGAGATTAAGCCCCACTGATCACAATGGGAGTTCTGAGTAAACAAGCAAAAAATTGTACTTTCGTGGACTTGGGCTAGCCTGTGGTTTATAAGGCTCCATCACATTCACACCTTACATTTAAAGCACATGGCTCCCCCCAAAGAAACCTGGGAACTGTTGCTCTTTGGGAAATAACCTGCAGTTCCCAGGATCCTTTGGGGGAAGTCATGTAGTGATCAGGTGGGATTGCTATGAGGAATTATAACAATAGAGTAAGCCATCTGTGTCAGCAATGAAAGCATTGCGTTGACTGGGTTTAAACTATTTTGATATGTTTTTTGATCAATCCACACCTCTGCACCCCTGTTCCATTTCTCTGGCTTGACAAGTCACGTACACAGCCAGGTGCCAGTTGATGCATCATGCATCCTGGGCTGTGGAAGATAGTGGGCAGCTTCTTTGAAGTAGCCTTTCCAATATGTTAATCTCAGGATGTTGATCTTAGGGTCTGGAAATAGTTTCACAGGAAGGTGATAAAGATGCCTATCTCCTTGCCATCCTTCCATCCTCTCCTGTTTACTCCTGTTGGTGATCTCCGGAGTTTCTCTAGTCCTCTTTTATTTACTCTCAGATTATGTATGCATGCTCAGAGTAGTCTTTGTAGTTAAAAGAATTTCTTTTGATCTGACTTTGTCCCCACATGGGGTTTGTTGAAATGCTCAGAAGAAATCTGATTGGTTCTTACGAACACTCTGTAAAAAGTTCTTTTGTGAATAAAACGACATGGGCTGGAGGGTGGAGATAAATATTATTATATGCACCCTTCCCAGAGTCTTGCTGGTTGAAGCCTCTGTGCGTACTCTTATTAATCAGAGTTCAATCCTTCCTTTACTTTGAGAATGCCTCACAGTCATGTGCTTTAAATGTATGGAGGTGGATGTGACAATGCGGGAAAAATCAGACAATGTTTTGTGCATCTATCTCTGTTTATATAAATCAGGGGTGAGGAAATTGTGGTCCTCTATGTGCTAGTGAACTACAACCCCTCCACCCCATCATCTCTGTCCAAATGTTGTCCAGGAACATTTTGGAGGCTCACAGATTTCCCCACCCCTGATTTATTTAGGGATGAAATGAAATGTCTAACAGTCTCTGGAGACATGAAAGCAAGTATTTTACCATTTCCAGACCAGTTGACTCATCTTCAATGTCGTCTGGAAGCATGATGAACATACTGACATCATTGTTCTCATATGGGAGCTCAAGAATACGAACCCTCAGGATATCAATGTAGAAGGTTGGCAATGTACCTTTTAGAAACATCATTTGCACAGGCTTTGACTGGGTCTGTAATAAAAAACACATGCGATCCTTTTCCCAACTGAAATGAACTGCCATTCAGATGTGCCATTCAGACCAAGAAGCTTGAAGCATTAAAACTAAATAAAAGGCCTTTCTCTCTCAAACACGGGCAACTTCCCCCCCCACCCCTCATTACTTTTCTTTGGGGGGGGCGGTTGTTATGGGAATGGGAACAATGGAATAGTGTTGTTTCCACCAGGGGGCAGCACTGAAAAGCTAAAAACAAGCACTCGTATCTAAACCTGGGGCAGATCTACACGCATGGTTTTTAACGTTAAGGAATGGTTTTCCTAACGTATTTGGACACATGACACTTTACTTTTTATGTTCATAATGTTTTATTAAAAATGGGACACCAGGTGGCACTACAGAACAACCAGCAGTAGGGAGACAGTGTTTTGATGGGGGGGGGACAAAGGTAAGAAACACTTTGATTTACAAGTATGCCCTGTTTTAGAATGATGTACCTGGTATCATTCTAATTACATTAAACAGGGCGATGTAGATCTAGCCCTGGGCAATCTGAGGTGGCTTTAGATTAGTCCAAAAGGTGCAGAGGGAGTGTGGTTGAGTGGGTGACATCAGGGTTTTCTGCCGCACTGGTGATTCTTTGGATAGCAATGAGAGCATCTGCTGGTGCACAGTCCTTCTGTGTTTGAATCCTACTTGTTTCACTATATTTTGCTTTGCTCCTGGCCACTTTAATTCAGAGTGCTATATCATCACATGTTTATTCCCCCCCAACCAAGTTTCACCATCATATTAGTAGCAATTAAGGTAGGCATAAGTCACAATGCCAGATTTAAGCAGAATTCATTACAGTAGCAACTTTCTAAGTTTAATAAGAATAAAGCCACAATCTAAAACACGCTTTACCTGGGAGCAAGCCCTCATTGAAATCAGTAGGACTTACTTCTGGATAGACATGTTTAGAATTGCACTGTAGCTTTTCAAGAGATGCACTCAATTAACGACAACACTTTCAAACCAAGAATAAACCCACAATTCTCTTTCTTAATATAAACATTTAGTGGTTTTCCTTGTGCACAGAGCTCTGAATAATTTTACAGAGAATTGATACCAGCAGAACGTGTCATATTCATGGAAAAACACACCTTTTATTTTATTAACACATGCGTACCTTACTCAGTCTGAAAGGCTTCTCAGTAGTGTTTGCTTTCTCAAATCTTTTCTCCCACTTTCCTTTGAAGTAAATGGCATTTACTATGACCAGTGCTGTTTGAGCACCAACTGAATCTTTAGGCAGAAGATTCTTGATTTTGTCTTTTGGAAAACAGAAGGGTGTTGTTAATGTACTGGCATCCCAGTGTTGCTATACAAATAGGAAATGGCTCTAAAAGGAATGCTGTTGTTCTGAGTCAAGCCTAGGAGTCACTCATCTGAACTCTTTCCCAGTTCTGCTATAAATCTCACGACTGCTTTCCCCATGGCTTGTGGGTTCTTCAGGTGAAATGGAAAAGTGAATTTCTGTCATTAAAGAACCTTGCTTTTCCCAGACCCAGGCTCTAGCTGGCTGATTCACCTGCATGAATATTACTTGGAGCTGTAAAGGGGAAGCAGCTAGCATGATGAGAACCAATTATTAAGCCATTACAGGGAGAAACTAAATAGAACAAATGGATTTCAATATTTAAGCAGCTAGGGATTGCACATTATGCCCAGAAAGTCACTTCTTCTTTTTTTCAAAACTCAGAAAAATGTGTCAGTTCCTCAAATACATTTACATTGGAATTGCACATGGTTTCCTGTACAAATGGGATGATTTGGATGTAGAACTAGCTTTAGCAAACCTCAGTTTCATGCACTTCCCTTGCCCCCGGTGTACCTCCAAGGAGGAGTTAAGAAGCTTTTATTTAGATTACTGCAACTTGCTGTATCAACTAAACTCAGACAAGCAGAGAACTTTAGTTGAAACATAAACTGCACTTTTTGAAGCTGACTTGTTTCAGCTGACTATAGTTAAGATTAACCATGGTTCAGGGTTTGGATAACACACTAACCCACGGTTAATCCCAATTGGAAGTGCAAGCTTCTGATCTCACAGGTGCATCAGAGAAGATGGGGGTGGACAAACCAGGGCCGTCTTACCCATAGGCGCTAGGGGTGTGGGGCACCTGGACGCTGGGCTTTCAGGGGCGCCAGGCTGAGAGTCCGGGGAAGAGCCCACTTGTCAGTTGGAGCACCACCGTGGGCTCTTCTGCTGCGCACAGCTCTGCTCCGCGAGTTCGGAGGCAACAGAGCCAGCGAGACACTGAGGCGGCTGGCTGGCTCTGCCCTTCTGTACGCCTGGGACTGGGCAACCTGGGGGGGGGGCATTGGGCAGATCTTTGCACCCTGGTGCTGCATATGCTTAAGACAGCCCTGGGACAAAGCCAAGATTCGCTGTGGCCCTTTCTCATAACGCTCAACAAGGGTATCCTCTAGATGTTTAAGATTAAAACACATGTCATCCCTGACCATTGGACATGCTGGCTAGAGGTGATGAAGCATTTTCAGGGTACCAGAACTGGGTCATTGTATCCCTCTATAGAAATCAGAATCCAGTTTTCAAGCCTGGAGATACAGTAGATTTTGTAAATCTTTAATTAACTTTAAAACTGTTTTCTCTGCTTTTCTTGTAGCTTAGGGTTTACAGTGGTACCTCAGGTTACATACGCTTCAGGTTGCATACGCTTCAGGTTACAGACTCCGCTAACCCAGAAATAGTACCTTGGGTTAAGAACTTTGCTTCAGGATGAGAACAGAAATCGTGCTCTGGCGGTGCGGCAGCAGCAGGAGGCCCCATTAGCTAAAGTGGTGCTTCAGGTTAAGAACGGACCTCCAGAACAAATTAAGTACTTAACCCGATGTACCACTGTATTCCCTTGACTCCCTAAGTGGTTCTAAAGACATTAAGACTCAAGGACAGGTCTGGAACTGAGCATTCAGTAGAGTAATACTTGGAATTACAGTCTGCAGTGGCTGAATAAATAAGCTTACTGTCAGTTTGTTTTTCAACCCAAACGTTGATCTGGTCTCTGACTTGTTCTGCAGCATTCAAAAAATCAACCGGTTGTAGTTCTGCATGGTAGTACTTCTTAGTGAGCTGAAGGTACTCCTGAAAATTATAACGGCAAAAATATAAATTGTTATGAGTTTCTCTCTTTTTTTGGGAAGGGGGAAGGGGGAGGTGGGTTGCATGCAGAGAACCTTCTAACCCCTGGATCCAGAAAGTGTCAAAATAGAACACAGCTTTCTATTAAGGTGATAGCCTGGGTGATGGGTCATTGGGGGAACAAAGGAAGTGGATTTGGGTGAGGCAGCAAATGGGTGCCCACCCCTGTCCCTCAACTGGCTGGTAGAAAAAAGACAAAGATGAGAGCTGAGAGTCTGCAGTGATGTGGGCCAGATATAAACCAGCAAGCTGAGAGAATGCAGAGAGACAAGACCAATGTTTGATTTTGGTTGAATTTAAGGCAGAAGTTTTATACAATCTGAAGAGAAACCAAAATGTCTAAGGTTGCGGCTATGAGAAAAACATGACCCATAGGTGTAGCTGTCAACTTTTCCCTTTTCTTGGAAGGAATCCTATTCGGAATAAGGGAATTTCCCTTAAAAAAAGGGAAACGTTGACAGCTATGCCCATGGGGTGTTGATGCTGTGAACCCCTCCATTTTAGGCTAAGGTTGCAATATGCGTAAATAAACCATATATCATAAAGACGCCACAGTCTGTGCAGTGTCTCATTTCCAAAGGTAACACAACCCCTGGAATCTCCAGAATCTCACACCGCTCAGAGATTGGGGTGGTGTGCAACATTTTTTAATCCACATTCACCACAGAGCAGGATATCAGACTGCAGTGGAAACCCAGGTTAGAATCCGGACTCATTTGTGGCTGCTACTTATTGTCTTTGGAAAGCCCAACCTATTTTACAGAATGGTTGTAAACACAAAAAACGAATAAATCCATATATATCATCCTGAGATCCTTGTAAGAAAGGCAGGATACAAACATGTTGAATAAAAGTAAATGTTTAAATTGGGGTTGTGAAATTATTACTGTGAAAAACAGATCTAGAAATAAGCACCACAAAATAAAATGTATATTAAATTTAATAATGATCACCCTTTAGCTCAGTATTATTGCATCATATACCGCATACAACACTTTCAGTTTTTCTTAACACCATATTATCTAATTATGCTATGTGGAAGTAATCTTTGTGATTAGAACTATATTTTTATATATGTAACTATTTTCAAATGAAACATGGCGGCATAGTATAAAATACTCACGCTGTTAAAATCGAAAGTCTTTTCTCCATATACTCTATTAGCAGTTTTCAGCAGGTAGGTGTTATTGGGTTGGTTGATTTTAGAAATCAGTTCCTGGAATTGACTGTTGATGGTTTCATCTTTACTGAGTCCTGGTTCCTTTACAGGGAGACACCATTGCATATAAAAATCTCAGTTGCGTTAGAGTTGATGGTACTGCATAGGTAGATAACCATTCTTGGAAGTCAAACAGAATCCGTTCCGGAAGTCCATTTGACTTCCAAAATGTTTGGAAACCAAAGCACGGCTTCTGATTGGCTGCAGGAGGATCCTGCAGCCAATCGGAAGCTGTGGAAGCCCCGTTGAATGTTCTGCTTCCAAAAGAACATTCAAAAACAGAAACACTCACTTCTGGGTTTTGATTGTTCAGGAACTGATTTGTTCAGGAGCCAAGGTGTTTGAGATCCAAGATATGACTGTAGCAGTTTAGTTGGGGGGGGGATTGCCAGGGGAAAATTGAATGTACCACAGCTACTACTATGCCATAAGATCCACTGTCTTGTAATATCATATATTTGCTTTAACTACTGATGAAGCCCAGGACGGCGAAACAAGGCCAATATTCCGGAAATCCTTGTCTAGACTCTGTGAAAGGATTTTGGGGAACTGTAACAACCTTTCATGTGGATTGTTTGGACTTTATGAACAGACAGGTGGAATAGAGACCATTACACGGATGGACCTTATTTATGCATGAACTGACTAGAGAATGATCTGATCCACTGGGTCTTCTGCTTTGTTCGTTTGTTGAACTTTATGAGTTATTTCTGTTGAAATTTGATACAAATTTATCTACCTTATTTATCTAAGAACACAGCCGGTTACATCTCGTGTGTTTATTGAGGATGCTTTATGTGACCATAGGTTTATTTGTTGTTGTTTTGTAAAATGACAATCATGCAAAACTAGTTGCTGCCCAGAGTTTAGCTTTTTTCTTCCATCCTCCTTTGGAAAATGACTAAACTTTGGCATGCTCAATGCAATAATTTATATTATGATCTAATTAACATGTTATGTTATGTTATGTTGTTATGTTATGTTATGTTATGTTATGTTATATATTATGTTCTACTTGGACTGGTCATGTTGTGCGGATGTCTGATTATCATCTTCCAAAATAACTATTTCATTCCAAACTTTAAAATGGAAAGCGCAATGCTGGTGGTCAACAAAAGAGGTTTAAGGACTCACTCAAGGCAATTTTTTAAAAAAATGTAATATAAACACCGACAATTGGGAAACACTGGCCTGCGAGCACTCCAATTGGAGAACAGCCTTTACCAAAGGTGTCATGGGCTTTGAAGACACTCCAACTCAGGATGCAAGGGAGAAACGTGCTAAGAAGAAGGCACATTTGGCAAACCCTCACCATGATCAGCTCCCGCCCAGAAACCTATGTCCCTACTGTGGAAGGACATGTGGATCCAGAATTGGCCTCCACAGTCACTTACGGAATCACTGCTAAGATAAGGTTACCAGACATCCCCATTTCCCGGGAACAGTCCCCGGATTTACAGATCAGTCCCCTGACAAAATCCACTGAATTTGACTGAAGTTGAAAAGCGTCCCCAGAGTCATTGGAAAAATACCTGGTAATCTTATGCTAAGACTGCGTTCATGGGAGACAATCTTACTCAGTTACAAGTGATCGCCAAAGAAGAAGATAGAGAAATTTAATTTTATGTGTATTTTAATGAGAAGCTACCTAACTCCTACTTCTCCAACCAATATGCTAACCTGAACACAGCTATCCTTCAAAATGTCCACATCTCCAAATTTTGCAATGCAGCTCTTCAAAGTGTACAAAAACACAAATATTGGAGGGGTTGTAAATTTCATAGGACTGCTGCCTTACCAGTAAATCCCATGGAAGGCAACATAACTTACTTCCAGAGTGTTTAGGATTGCCAAACCTGTTATAGAATGATATTACCTGTGAAGGCCTTTCAGACTCTTCTGATGATGCATTGAAACGAAGCACCTGTAAGCAGAGTTGTAAAGATTTATTTTTAAGATAATTACATAAAACAGATACATACAATAATTTCTTAGTAATTCAGCAATTGAACCTAGATTGATAAAATATTTACATGGCATTCAAGATTACGACCAGCTTGTTTTCAACACTGAAATGTTTTTCTCAAATCGTAGTTTTAATTCTGACAATTTCAAATTATAGTTTCATTTTCTTCTACGGCTAGGCTGTGGATTTGTTTGCACATGCATGTTGACATTATTAGTATCAGTTGGTTATCTGGTTTCCCATCTTCCTCCTGTTCGTGTACACAACAATGTTCTTCAGATCAGTGTTCTTCAATCTTGGGTCCCCAGATTCTGCTGGCCTACAAAACCCATCAACCCCCCAAAACTTAATCAATGGTTAAGGAAGATGGTAGTTGTAGTCCAATAACATCCGGGGACACAACGTTGCAATAAAGCACTTTAACAGATGCCGTATGTAGCAACAGCATTTATTGTACAGTGGTACTTTGGTTCCTGAACGGCTTAGTTGTTAAACAAATCAGCTCCCGAACGCTGTAAACCTGGAAGTAAGTCTTCCGGTTTGTGAATGTTTTTTGGACGCCGAATATTCAACACAGTTTCCGCTTGAGTGCAGGAAGCTCCTGCAGCCAATCGGAAGCCGCGCCTTGGTTTTTTAATGGTTTCGGGAGTCGAACGGACTCCCAGAATGGATTAAGTTTGAGAACCAAGGTACCACTGTACTATATCTCCAAACTATGTGCAAGATTGAAATGTGCAGTGGTCGCAGACAAATTCAAGAGCCTACCTCAGCCATCTGGCTGGCAGTTCTACCTCTTGCTCCCATGTGGACCATGGCTAGAACAGATGTGATGCTCCAAGGAGAAAAGAAAATATTGCCTTCGGATGATTGGATCAGCTTTTTGTAAAGATCTAGAAGAAAGCTGCCGTTGGCTACTGAGAGGGAGTCCATTACTGCAACCTGTGAAAAATGCAATAGACAGGACACATCATTGCTTTGACAAAAGAAGTGTTTCTTTCTTTCCCACAAAAATAGCACTTTCATTAGTTTGTCCCAACGTTGGATGCTAAAGCATTCATGCAACTGGATAAAAAATAACCCCACCCCATACATTCCCAATCAATCCATGCGCTCTGTATATGACACCTAATCCTAATGTTCTGTAAACCTCATTGAACTCTAGATTTGTTACCACACATAACTTGGCAATATTGGTGCCTTAGGGCCCAATTCTCTGCATGTTAACAAGGAAGAAAGGCTAGCTGTGTTCAGTGGGATATTCTCCCAAACAATTTTTTAAGTTTGCAGCCCCAATGAAATATTATGTGCTGTGCCCGCAATTTGTATGTTCTTAATAAATTGCAAGTACATTTCCAACAAAGGAAGAATGGATACAAGAACGTATGGAATATACAGAAACTTACTGGAAGAATAAGAAATCAAGACAACAAACTTTTTATAAAAGAATGGAAATGGTTTATTGAGGATTTACAGATAAATTGTAAACAGATAAGAACATTGGCAGGGTTATTGCAATAACCTGCAGTTTTATGAGTATACAGTGGTACCTTGGTTTAAGAACGATTTGGTTTACAAACTCCGCAAAACTGGAAATAGTGTCTTGGTTTGAGAACTTTACCTTGGTCTAAGAATGCAATCCGAACGGTGGAAGGGTACCGGCAGCGGGAGGCCTCATTAGAGAAAGCGCTCCTTGGTTTAAGAATGGTTTCGCTTTAAAAACAGACTTCCAGAACGGATTAAGTTTGTAAACAGGTACTACTGTATATTTAAAGAAGATGAATAAAAAAGCAAATTGAGTTAATTTGGATATGCAGAAGATATTAAAAATAAATTTAAGGAACCACAGAAAGAAGGGGAAGGAAGTCAAGTTTTGAAATGTTAAAATAATTGTAAAATTAGTAAAATTTATAATTCTGAGAAGCATAAATAAAACAAATAAAATAAAAAAATTGTAAGTTCAATGCAGTGTACCTTAAGAGAGGTGAAGGAACATACCTGGTCTGTAATACATAGAATTACAGCGCATTAAGTTCATCAAGGAGGTTCTGAAGCAGTTAAAATCTTTCTTTTGTTTGGTGATGCAACGTGCAACCATATGTGTTACCACATCCTTTGAAAACCGCCTGAAAATAACTGTCTTGGTTTCTGCCTGCTGTGTGCATGAAGAATGTAGTTGATCTGAGCCATATGGCAAGACTTCCATGTTATTTATTAGCAATTACCAGCAACCTCTGGTGGTAGCACAAAGAACCTACACGGTGTGGATGATCCATATGGTAAGTTAGAGACACTTTCTCCTTTGCAGTTGCAGCCAGGGCCAGCCTGAGACATTTTTGCACCTGATGCAAACCACAAAATGGCACCCCCCACCCCCCGCCAGGGAAGAAGGGGTGAGTGAAGATCTACATCAGGAACAAAGGGAAAATAAAGATCTACGTTGGGTTCTGCTGCCCTGCGGATCCTGCCACCTGAGGCACCTTGCCTCACCTTGCCTCATGGGTGCAGCGTGGAGAAGTAGGGTACACAGAGCCTTGCAGTTGGTTCAGTGAGCTCAAGGTCCTTGTATTTTGCAATCTACTGAACAGCAACAGCCTCTCAAGTCGTTTGAGAAATTGTGTTGAGAGGCTAGTGGGAGTTTGAAAAGCAGTATGTTGCAGATCATAAATAGCTGTTTGGTCCTATTTGGCACATATATTTATCCGGGGAGCTGCAGTGGGGACTGTCAGCCCTTACCTAGAATCCCCCTGCATCCCCCCAGAAAAAGCACTCTATCTGTCTATCTATCTATCAATCTTTGTTCATTTGAAGTTTCACCTTTCTACTTATAATGCCCAAGGCATTCTGGTCACCCTATATCCTTGCCTAGCATTATCTACTTGACAAATGAAGGCACTGTTGCCAATTGTTTATGCACTTTTAATAAGCAAATTAAATCTTGCTCTTCCGTTATAAGCACAAGGAATATCTGACACTTGCAACGTTGCTTTTTTTCACATTTATAGATAGCAATCTTTTGCCCTTTTGACCCAAGTTTAAGATTTCGTGGCAAAACAAGTTATACAAGCTTAAAATGTCACAGTACCTGCAGCTGCTACGCTTCCGGTGATTCCTCTGACAGGTTGTGGCGTTTGTGAAGACACAGTTCTGTAGCAATCAATACAGAGCAACCTTCACTTCTCCTCTTTTATATCCTCCATTTCAACATCTTGCCCATCCTCTCTGCCTCTATCAACCGGCAGCATTGTCTGCTGCGAAGCTGAAAGACTGTCAGCTACGTTGTATTATCAGAGCTATTACTAAACTATTTTGTTTGTTTGTTATAAGAGCAGTTCTGCATTAGTCTGAAAGAGGAAAAAGTTCTTCAAATAACACATCAATCCTATAGCAAGATCTGCTGGGATGAGAGGGTTGGAATCTAGTGAATATCCAGTTGACCTGGGAGGTTCCTGGCACAATCAGACTAAACCAGATTAAATCCCTCATCTTTGACACAGTCAGAGAGATATGTCAACATATCTCCTCTATCTGAGCTCAGATGGGACAAAGCAAATCATAAACTGGCATAAGGCTTGGGAAAGGGGGATTCTGGGGTTGGACCAGAGAGGGTGTGGTTAGGCTTGATCCTAAGCCCATTCAGGTAAGACCTGGAAATCCAGTGTAAATTAATCTGGCAAAAAAGGTGGTATAACTCAAACACTATTTTAAGGACTTGTTTTCCCTCTGCCAGCCTTAGGCCTGCTCAGCCAGCAGTACCCCCACTACTGAACAGAGTTTGGATCCACTGTAAATATACATCGGCTTAACTTATACTGACTTGCTTTACACCAGTGTCTTGTGGATAGGATTGTTCACTTAGCTGGATCAAATGTAGGAGTAGGATAGCAAGCTTTGGAATCCCATAGAACTCTTCTTTACTGCATGAAATATGGGAATTGGATAGCAAGCTTTGGAATCTCGTAGAGCTCTGATTTACTGCATGGAAAATGGCTCCCTGCTATTCAAACCTTGCGTGCTATTTGCTTCCTGGTGCATTCCCCCCTGAATAATTTTGGGGGGCTGCCCCCCAATGTTCCCTACTGTCGGGGTAGACGAAGCTGAGTTGAGCGTGGCTTTAGTGACTGGCTCCACCTTCTGCCATGGAAAACTGCATAGCGTGAGACAGGAAGAGCCCTCAGCCTCTGCATTCAGCTCCATCCCCTGGGTCCTCCCAAAACATCATGTGACATCGCGCGTTGCACGCCATGTGGGTGACGCCACCCAGCCCCCTCGATCTTTGGCGCAAATTGGCACCTCTGTGTAGGGTAGTGGTTTGTATCACAAATCGGCCTGGCATTTCTGAATCTTTCATGAAAAGGAGAACCAGATTCAACTTTGTTTGATTTGTAAACACGTATGGAGTTAGGCAAGGGTTCAAGCTGCAAAACTAAGCAACCAGCAGTGTTTCCTAAGAGCTGAACTGAAAAGAGGGGAAGAGGAGGGGTGCAGTTTTCATTGGTGTGTTGTGGTTTCATCTCCCTCTTCTACCCCATCCTCCTTTCAGGCGCGACTTAGCTGAAAAGTGGCAAGGCCCATCTCCAGTACCAACCTGCCATTTGGATCCACCATTTTGTTTCAATTCCCGCGTCTACCAGAAATGAAACATTCTGCATTCCTGATGGTGTAGTAAAATTAATTTTATTTGCTATATTACACATTCTGTTTCTCTATATATGTACACACACACATTGCAACATGGGAAAAAATGACACGTCATCACCACGCACAATATAAATGACAACCCTACGTTTATGGTATTTAATGCAACATTTATACATGAATGCAATGCAATAAATCTTCTTCTTTGTACACCTTTAGGTGCGAGGTGAAAACGTTCCTCTTCAACCAGGTGTTTAGCTGATTAATATCCCATAGCATGGGTGGATCTACACGGGGGGGGGGGGGATGCTATAAATAAGTCAGAAATTAGATAGTTATAACAAAAGGGGGGAAACCTATGGAAAATTGTGTATAAAAATGTCCTGCTCTCTGGCACCACCTGGTGTTGCACGTTTATAGAGGATTCAAATTGCTGTTTCTTTACTAATGTAGCCAAGTCCCAAGTTAAATATGTTTTTAGCAAAGGGGGGCTTATTGTTTTGTTTTTGTTTTTATTATGTACCTTGTGTCACAGGTGCCAGCTTGAATAAAATATTGGTGGGCAGGTAAGCCCTGCCCCACATAATCACATGATGTAGCACATGCACACCATTTGAATGGCAATGCTCTTTAACTTGGGGGGCAGCCCCCTCAAATATTTTATTGGGGGGCTGAAGACCCCTTGGCCCCAATGAGTTGGCTCCTATGCTTTGTGTTCTTTTATCTTGTATTTTTATGCTATGAACCGCCCTGAGATCTTCAGATGAAAGGTGGTATACAAATTTAATAAAATATTTTTTTAAAATATATAATTACTAGGGTACAGGTCCACTGACAGCCATGGTTTGAGAGTGAGTTGACTTCTTGCTGAGCACATGTCAGCTGTGGCCATAAGCACTCCCCCTGCAAGCAATAAAGGAAAGACAGGCGAGAACACCATATTTAGACATAGCTTTGGAAAACGGTGCCTCTGTTGTGCCACATTCCTGCTGCCGCAAGATCCTTCCTGTTTGCTAAGAGAAAGCTGAAATACTTTAAGGGCAACAGAATCTGCCCCAGAAGAGGATGCTTTTGGTTTCATTATGCCGGATGAAAAAGAGGAAAGGGTGGTCAGCTGCAAACAAAGTCGCCCCCCCGGTACTTCGCCCATCTATAGTAGCACCTGTCGAAGCAGCAGCCTCTGTGCCCTCTTCGTTAATGTCAACAAAGCACTTGTGGAAAACTTGGGACAAAATCAGGTTCCTTTTTTCAGACATTGCAGTGAAATTGGCTTGGCCTACAGTGAAGGCGTCTGTTATCCCCATGCTGGTCAAAGCTGCCTTTAACTCATAGTGATCTTCTAACTGGGTCCTAGGAAGATACACATTTGCTTCAATTTCTTCCATTTCTTCTGGGCTGGTCCACTTGGATAAGGCTTCATAAGTCAATTTATTTTCCAGCTGCAGACACAAAGAAAACCAAACAATCAGTAAGTTGGAAAAGTTCTCCAGGTTTGCTAAATTAAATGTACAGCTGTGTTTGAATGTCGTTTTGGGGAATATACACTAAACTGACTGATGAACAGCAAAACACTGCAAGTATTATTATTTCTTGAAGTCCAGGCTAGTTTACAGAGCCTTTCAGCTATGATGCAATGCATTCTTCTAGCACTGAGTGCAATGTCAAAGGTTTTCAACAGTCAACACAGTATATCACAAGATGAAAAATACGTGTCTGCAAAAAAAAAAGAGGTGAAATGGAACAGGATTTTCATCTACAAATATCTATGGGGTTATTAAAGCAGGATATGACTAATTTAGATGAGAGGCTAACACTTGAACAAGCCCAACTGAATACAGTGGTATCTCAGTTTTCGAACATAATCCTTTCCGGAAGACCGTTCGAGTTCCGAAATGTCTGAAACCCGAAAACTGAAGGAGTGTCTCCATCCCCATTGTTCAGCCCGGACACTGAGGTCCATCTTCAAGGGCTTTCTGGAGGTTCCCTCATTGCAAGAAGTGAAGCTACAGGGAACCAGGCAGAGGCCCTTCTCGGTAGTGGCGCCCGCCCTTTGGAACGCCCTCCCATCAGATGTCAAGGAAATAAACAACTATCTGACTTTTAGAAGACATCTGAAGGCAGCCCTGTTTAGGGAAGTTTTTCATGTATTCCTGATGTCTCTCCCAAATCTTCCAGCAGTCTGATTCATTGGGTCCCCCAGGTCCAAGTAATATGGGTGGAGGTTTCCCTTTCAACTTTCTCCACACAACACCGGCTGCAGAAATGATTACACAAAATCTGTATTCTTGGCCCAAACACACGAACGTCTGTTGAGAAATCAGCGTGCAACACCCATATCCACCCATCACCTTTAGACGTGTAGAAATGTTCTTTGAATGTTATGAAAACACACTCATTTGCAAAACCTTCGGAAAGACAAGCTTTTTCTCTCAATGTTCTTGGGTTTTGGATAACTAGAAATTAATTTTCTCTTCTGAGTTTTGTGTGATTCCCCACATGGCATGATGAATGAACCCATTTCCAATACATCAAGGGTCATTTTCAATCAAGACAAAGTTCCAAATCCCTATCTTTCTATATCCTAAGCAATTCAGTCATTTTCCCACAAAATATGCCAAAAGAAGCACTGTCTACACACACAGTGAATAACTGGAATTAAAAAAATAAAAAAGCAACCCCCCCTTTTAAAATATTCTAAATAGTACTACTTTTCTTTACCATTTCCAGGCCAGTGGTGTCATCTGTGATGTCATCAGGGAGGAGTATAAACATGCTGAGGTCATTGTTGACATATTGGAGCTCAAGAATCTGAGTCTTCACTTCTTTTATGTAGTTCCAATTGAAGTTACCATGCTGGAACATCATCTTCACCGGCTTACTCGTTCGCTGCAATATGACAAATATGCTTTCATGTCCATGAGCCTTAAACTTCATGGGGGAACCAGGAAAAAATGCATTTTATGTATGCTATTTGGAGAAGAGATCTCTCTCCCTTACATTACTTCACAGTGCAGAACAAGGTACATGATACCATCATAGGCATGGCAATGGACTATAGTAGCTTGAAGTGCCTTATTGCCTTTTTTTTATTCAGCAGTATGAAATTATTTACCTTGTTAAGTCTGAAGGGCTGCTGTGTTGTGTCTTGTTTCTTAAATGGCTTTGCCCAGTTTCCTCTGAAGTACAGTGCATTTACCAAGATCAGCTCTGTAAGCGAATCGATAGACCCTTCATTCAACAGATTCTGTATTTTACCTTGTTTGGGAGAAGAAATAGGAGAGAGAAAGAAGTCATCATATGTTTTGTCAGCTGCACACATCTGAAAAAGTGTAGGGTTTTCTTTAGATAACAAGATATGTGACTTTACCTTAAAACTTTCTGTGGACGTGCCCCAACCTATCTTTCTAATGTTTTGCTAAATATACACATTTTTGCACAACATTTCCCACTACAAGAATGCATTTTCTATTTCACTAATATGTGTGTTTTTGCCAACCTAGCAGTTTGAAAGCACGTCAAAGTGCAAGTAGATAAATAGGTACCGCTCCAGTGGGAAGGTAAACGGCGTTTCCGTGCGCTGCTCTGGTTCGCCAGAAGCATCTTAGTCATGCTGGCCACATGACCCGGAAGCTGTACACCAGCTCCCTCGGCCAATAAAGCGAGATGGGCGCCGCAACCCCAGAGTCGGTCACGACTGGACCTAATGGTCAGGGGTCCCTTTACCTTTTTACAGCGGTACCTCGGGTTACATACGCTTCAGGTTACAGACTCTGCTAACCCAGAAATAGTGCTCTGTAAAACTGCTCGGCTGAGGCAAGGGCAGCTGCACGCTCCTCAGCCAAGCAGCTTAAAGAAGCAGAGGAAGAAAGAAGCTGTACTGGCACATCACCGATTCAGCTTGATCCTCCCTCTGCTGGGGCAGAGTGCAATGGCTGTTTCACCAGCGGTATATTGCTGGTGAAACCGGCACTGCTCTTGAGTCCCGCTGCCTCCAGCTCCCAGCTAGTTTCTTTGTCCCTCAGCACACTGGGCACTGGAGACAGAGGGACTCAAAAGCAGTTATGGTTTCACCAACAATATACTGCTGAGTGAAGTTGTCATCACAGTCTGCACCCACATACCGGTCCTGGGCGATATATCAATATATCGCCCAGGCCTATAGCAGAGCAACCATTTTGTTTTTGTTTTTTCCAAAAAAAAAAAAAATTGGTTTTCTCTTATAATACACAAACATAAACACAGAAAAGAACATTACATTTAACACAACATAAAAACTTAACAACAATAAAAATGCAAAAGATAAAATAAGATCCCCCCCCCTTCTTATTCCCTGGTATATTTACATTGCTAGAAGACTTCCTCAACACCTTCCAATCTGAATTTCATCATAACACATATTTAGCAGTTCCCAATTTCGAGGAGAAGCCATTTTGAGCTCACCTTCTGTCTGGTGTTCAACCCAAGAATTGATCTCTTTTCTGACTTCTTCCGCAGCTTCTTGAAAGTTTACTGTTTGTGGCTCTGCATTATAGTATTTCTTCATTGACAATATGAATTCCTTAAAGGTAAAAAAATACTCTTAAGGCATTGCAGCCATGCCAATGAGGGTGAAACCAAAGTTTACAGGATACTAAGATCATCCTACACACACAGAAGCAAATTAAAATTTTGAATACACTCCTATTGTTGTAATAGGCAGTTATTCCATGTTTTTATTAAATTCTCAACTCTGATCCCAGAGTCACATCTACAGGCTCCACTCACTTTTTGGAAAGGCACCGATTTGTCTGCATATAGCTGGCTGACACTTCGAAGCAGAAAATGCTTTGTAGGTTTGTTGATTTCTTGACTAAGTTCCAGGAATCTTGAATGTATGTTGCTTGATGTTTTAGGAGAGGGCTTAAACAGAGAATTGCAACATTGATTAATCCCACATTCAGCCATTACCTCTTACTGCAGTTTGTTTTGTCCCCGCATTACCTCTCATTTATCCCCCTTAGGCCACACATTTATGTTAACCCGCATTGTCAACACATCTTGTCTCCTTTCCCCTTTCCCCTTCTTTTCCCGTGGTCTGAATTTGAAATTCACAATTCTCTGGATTTTGTGATTCACTTCTCCAACCAAAGAAGTGTTCATAGCAGCGGTAAATTTGCCTAAAATGCAGATATTAGTAAAAAATAATATCAGATGCATTGAGTGAGGGGAAATTGCCTGCAAAAAAAGTATGTGAGAGGCAAAACTGCATCTAAAAAGATGTATGTTAGGAGAATGCCGATGAGGCGGACTCATGAAAATCCCAAGCAGATGCAGAAATGTGGAGAACTTTATCAAAAATTGGAAAAAATTAGAAACCAAAATTGATAGATTCTCCTGTCTCCACAACAGATGCAATAAGGAACCACTGCTGGAATAGGGTGTTAACATGCAAACAGCTCCACTTGTGTGAAGGCTCTTAATCTTTTCCTTGTTAGCTACAAGATGAAGCAAACAGTTCTCCAAAGTTTGTCTGGGGAGGTTAATACCTTTTTAAGTTTCCACGTGGAACTGGGGTGTGGTCTGCGCCAGTTATTTCCCTTGGAATATATTCCAGAAAAGCATACCCAGATACCCATATCTAGGTTTCTCCATGACAAGATACATCCGGAGAGACTTAAGAATGCCCAAGTCATATTCATTGCAATGGATGTAAATGGGAATATATGCTTAAGTTCCACTGTTCTTTTATTGCAGCTTATATTTCTGTTGACTCTAAGACATCCAGATTTCTGTCAAGTAACAAAGCAGTGTTGTTAAAAGAGACTATGGCTGCTTCCCTATGCACACTTAGCTGGGAGTAATTTCTTACAATCTTGCTTGCCAGCAGTGGCGTAGCGTGGGGGGTGCAGGGGGGGCAGCCGCACCGGGCGCAACATCGGGGGGCGGGGGGCGGAAGAGACTCGAGTGCTAAAATCCACGGGTTAGGGTGCGCAAATTACTTGCCTTGCCCCGGGTGCTGACAACCCACGCTACGCCACTGCTTGCCAGTAAACATCCATATATTCAAGCTGCATGTAACTCAATTGCCAATGAATGTACATTGCATGGTATTTTTAAAGGGAGGGCAGATGTGTCATGGTTGCTCTGTCACATAACAGTGATAACTATTTTCTCTGTGCTTATCCACATACTTGATGGTTTAAAGTGTTGGTTTTTTTGAAAGCTAAAACTTTGTATCAGCTAGGACATTCTTTCCAAATCGCCAAGTGAACTGGGACAAAGTAGGCTGGAAAAGAAGTTAACACCAAAGTCTGTTTTAAAAAACAAACAAAAAACCTGGCCTGCATACATTCGTCTGAGATGAAATTTGGTTTTTCCAAAAATTACCTTCCGAATAGCGATGCAGGGGTTATTCAACAGCTCCTCCATTTTGGAGTACACGCGTGGGTGTCTCATAGCATGGGCAGCCTCACTTCTCCCAGATTTGTTAAAGTGAAGCACCTGCAATTCAAAACAAACCCAAAGAAAAACATAAGCAATAAGAAGTTGTTACGTGAGGCGTATAAAGTCATGCGGTTACAATTGCAGTCATTAACCGTGGTATGTAAGTTGATTTATAAACATTAGTTGATGTTCACCATAGTGAACCCTCCCAAAAGCTAAAGATATCTCAGCTTTATCTATCTCCAATTGTCTCCTTTTTCCAAATTAAGCTGTTCACATTTCTGTACAGTGGTACCTTGGGTTACATACGCTTCAGGTTACATACGCTTCAGGTTACAGACTCCGCTAACCCAGAAATAGTGCTTCAGGTTAAGAACTTTGCTTCAGGGTGAGAACAGAAATCATGCTCTGGCGGCGCGGCGGCAGCAGGAGGCCCCATTAGCTAAAGTGGGGCTTCAGGTTAAGAACAGTTTCAGGTTAAGAACGGACCTCCAGAATGAATTAAGTACTTAACCCGAGGTACCACAGTATTGGTTTGCATTTTTAAACAAAGGGTTCGCCTGAAAATTTCCCAGAATTTTGTGTGAATTTCTTCCATTACACCTATTCTTGTATGCAATTTTGCCGAATATACACATTTTTGTAAAGCAATTTTCTTAATATAAAGTATTTTTCTGTATTGTTTTCACTAATATATGCATTTTAAAGCAGACCTTAAGCTAGAATGTGCATTTCTGTAAACACTATAGTTTAATTAGTTGACCACAAAATTCAGATGAGTGCAAATTTCAAAGGATCATTGTGTTCTCATATTGGCTCTTGCATTACTCTGGAAAGTTGAAATGGATACATTGGCCTGTACACACAAACTAAATCTAATTTCTCCCCAGCCTCAAATGTTAACTACGGCTTAGCAATCTGTGCAAAGCAGGACAATGCAATTCCAGGCACAGCGGGATCCAACACTGCTGGTAGGATTTACATGCTCCAGAAACTATGCAAGTAGATTGAGTTAGGCCTCTGCTCTTGAGAGTGCATAGAGAAAATGACATTACACCCCGGGGACCAGGAGCAAGATTGAGCACCTGTTTCTCTTGTGTGTAATTTATATATACCACTTCACCCCATATGAACATGCCCATTTCCCACAGTCTTAATATGTGCACTCCGCATGAGAAAAGTGTGGAAGGTGACCACATGAGAACAGGTCTTTTCAGTGGTGGCCCCCCATCTATGAAATGGGAGATCTACCTGGCGCCATCTCTGTCAGTTTTTAGGCACTGGGCTAAGATTTTTCTGTTTACCCAGGCCTTTGCTTAATGGAGGTGCTCATCTTTTTTAGAGGGGTGGGTAGGTCTTGGTTCTTATCCATCCTTTGCACAATGGGTCACCTGATGTCATTGTGAGATCAAGTGGACGACAGGTGGAGATAATCTCACCCACTGTCAAACTTGACCCAAACTTATCTACAGAGATAAGACTCTAGCTCGTTGGCCACACCCAGTTCCCTAACCCCGATTTAAGTTATTAATAGCACAAAGCTTACCTCTGCTATCTGCTCTGCAGTATGGCCTTTAGCCCCAAGATACAGTGTGGCCATAACAGACGAGATGCTCCATGGTGAGAATAGGATGTTTTTGTTGCTTTGAGCCTTGCACACGTGTTTGAAAAAATCAATGGCAAAACCACCATTGGCTGTACTCAGTTCCTCCATTGCTATTTAAACCTAGTTAGAGAGAGAGAGAATAAGCTTTAAAACTGTTCGCATGTTCACCAGGGACCGTTGTGCATGCCTCTTTCCTACTGAAGAAATTCTGGAAGCTTTTGATGATCAGGCAACTGGCCTGAAAGATAAGCAGTCCGGAAAAAGCCATCAGTCATTTGGACCACAGAAACTGTCTTCCTGCCTGTCTTGCGTTAGTTTTCTAGCAGTAGATACTAGTAATGTGGTTTGAAGTCTTTCTTCTGCCAAAAGTCTTTCATTATGGCACATTGATCCTGACTTAAGAAATTAAAAAGGCCAAGCTTTCGGTTTAGGAGAGTTGCAAATAATTCATTTATCTGTTCAGTTCTTAATTACATCATATATGTGGATGCAACTTGAACAATGCATTCCAGATGTTTCTGCACATTTTGTCAAGGGCAGTTGCCACATGACTTGGTGACGGACTGTTTACACAAGCAAGTGCTAAGAATATAGAACCCCTCTAGCACAGTATGCTGGCAGTGGCTCTCCAGAATTTTAACCCTACCTGGATATGCAGATATTTCCCAGACATATCTGGAATACTGCATTTGGAAGCAGTGTCCGGGCAGAAATCACAGAAATGTCCTGGAAAATCCTAACGTATGCCAGCCCATGTCGGCAGTGTCGTTTTTGCCACTTTTCCTTTAAAAAAGGTCTAAAATGCCTTCTTTTGCAAAGTCTCCAAAATAGTTCAACAACTTTGCTCAAAAATGCAAACAAATTAAGCTCAACAACTCCCCCCCCCCAAAAAAAAAGCTCAACAATCTATCTGTCTGGATTTTCACTGATTGAAATATGGCAACCCTATCATGACCCTACCAATATTCCATCTTGGTGAGAAAAATATACATTGGCTAGAAAGTTCATATTCTCTCTGCAAGAAGAGATGGACCAGTGTTTCAAAAACTTTTAAAACCCCAGGGCACAGTTCTTTTCCTGCATAATAAATGGAAGCTCATGCCATTATTATTCTCAGTTGTCTACCTGAACAACTGGGTACACATTCTCCTTTCAATGATGGCCCTTCCCTTTCCTCATTCAAGTCAGGTTTCAGGGTAGGACCATGCTTTCCAGACAGTGGTGATATTTCTAGAGTTCCTCTGGGCCTGCCAGCTTAGTCCCACATCCTTTTCTCACAGTAGCCAGCCAGGTGCCTATGGGAAGCCCACAAGCAGCACCTGTAATGATCTCTGGCATGCAAGCAGCTTGAGAAGCAGTAACGACTCTCCATCAGTTTTATGCAAGTTTATTTACAAGAAAAACACACATTCAGAGCACGGCCTCCTGGATGCTCTCATTAACAGTAGTTGCTCAGTCTGACTCACCATCTCTCTCCCAATAACAACAAGAAGAGTTTAGATTTGACATCCTGCTTTATCACTACCCAAAGGAGTCTCAAAGCGGCTAATATTCTCCTTTTCCTTCCTCCCCCACAACAAACACTCTGTGAGGTGAGTGGGGCTGAGAGAAGTCAAAGAAGTGTGACTAGCCCAAGGTCACCCAGCAGCTGCATGTGGAGGAGCAGGGAAGCGAACCTGGTTCATCAGATTACGAAACTACCACTCTTAACCACTACACCACACTGGCTCACAGGAAGAACGCCAAAATATCTCCTTTCTTCTCCTTCCCTTACGTCGTTCACTGAGCTTCTTCCGCCTCCTAGTACAGGGACTGAATGTCTGGTCCGTCTCCTCCTCACTCCCAGAAGACGCAGCCTCAGACTCTGGCTTATCTGCTAGTTGCCTGGCAACACTCGGGCCGACTTCCAACTCTTCCTCTCCTTGGTAGCTAATAGCTTTTTCGCTGGGAATGAGGAGGGCTGGGCTGTCCTCTCTAAACTCTTACACACAGCTCTCCTCTGCCCCTTGCTCGCTTAGCTCAATTTCTGCAGCTGACTCTTCCGCTGTGCTCTAGTGGGGCTACGTTCCTGACAGCACCTGAGTGCAACAGCACTCCTCCGATTCCCACAACTAGTGTACAGATGCAGACTGTCTTAGACAGTGGGGTCAGAAGAAGGCCATCACGACTAGAATGATGGGGTTACTCACCATGTGTGTTTCTCTGATTGTGAGGCAGGGTATGCAATTGTGCCACAGGGTTAGGAAATCACAGCAGTGGCAGACCTTGGGGTCTCAAATTTCAGCGCCACCCTGTACAATGCCAAAATCCAGCACCTGCCTGCCTCTCGCCTTCCGTTATGCATCATAATTGTGGCACCTGCTGCAGTGCCCTTGAGACTGCACCCAGTGTGACCGAACCAGTCGTGCTCCCCTAAATCCGCCTCTGACCATAGCCCACAGGAAACTGTATCCTGTTCTTTGTATGAATATGTCAAGCAAAGAATTGCTTACCACATACTTCCTGTTAACGTAAGATAGCATTTCCTAGGTTTAATCATCTTGGGACACATGTCTTCATGAACCTAGCACTTTTGTAAACACCAGGCAGCTTGCCACTGTTCTTTCCTTGACAAACACTTAGCTCAGGCACACCAGAGAGGTTGTCCCAAGCTCTCAGCAGAATTTGCCCTGGAGAACTTTGGGCTGGGCCGCTTTGGAAGAAGTGTTGCCATCCGTAGTGCTTGGCAGATTCCTTTGTTTCATGGCTTATCTATCCATTTGAAGCATCTTGTTCTTGTCCTGTCAGGTCTAGTTTTGCCTCTCATGCTCCTTCTAGTTTTCTAACAACAGGTCTTGCCATTCACAGTTCAGTTCCACCCAACTAAGCTGGCTATGTACTGTATTGCACTCTGCCCAACCTTTCACAGGTTAAGTCTTGTAAGATGCTTGTGGGAATAGCCCCTGTTATAGGCTAATGGCATGAAGGAGGCCCACGTGCAGTTGGCCCTGCTTCTGAGGTTGTATGAGGTTTAGGGTGTGGCTCAGTGGTACAGCATCTGCTTTGCATGGAGAAGGACACAGGTTCAATCCCCACAGTCTCCAGGCAGGGCTGGGAAGAGCTCCTGATAGCTCCATCAGTCAAGCATGAGACTCTTAATCTCAGAGTCATGGGTTTGAGTCCCCCGTAGGCAAAATATTCCTGCATTGAAGGGGATTGGACTAGATGATGCTCGTGGCCCCTTCCAACTCTGCAATTATATGATTTCTGCCCTGAAACCCTTGAGAGATGCTGCCAGCCTGCGTAGGCAAAACTGGCAATACTGACTCACACACTTTCCTATATGACCCCCTCACCCTGAACCCCAACATCCAGGGGGTTGGATTAGATGATGCTTAGGTGCCTTCCAACTCTTATGATTCTATGATCCATGTGTGGACCTCTGAGTGGGGGAAGCCTTTGCACCTAGATCTCTCTGTGTGTTCATTTCTTCAGGACTCTGGGCTCAGAGGCTTCATAATCCCAAAGTTCTGAGGTATCTATGAAACCTTATCCAGAACAAAATGAAACACCATCCACACACAAGAGATAAGTACTAGCAGGCTTGGCAGAAAACCCCAGCTTGCAGAAGTGCAAAGCTTATTTAGTGGAAATCCCTAAAGGTGTAGGAATCCCAAAACATCCCAACGGGGACTGAGATTGCTCAGTGGGCATGGAATATTCACTATCTGGGAGGAGAACCAGGTGAGAGGCAGAAGGAGGAAAAGTATGGAGGAAGGCATGATTGGAGAAGTCAGTGAGTACATTGTGCTGAAGGTCCCAATTGTATAATCTATTTTCTCTCTTCTCTTTCTAAAGGCAGGTTACCTTTGGCTTGCTGCCTTTTTCTGACTGAAACTGGACCATACACCCTCTACATCATCATCATCATCATCATCATCATCATCATTTATTATTTATACTCCACCCATCTGGCTGGCTTTCCCCAGCCACTCTGGGCGGCTTCCACCAAATATTAAAAAGGCTCATGGAGAGAAAGCTCACCATCCCTCTGTGCCATTGGTTCCCTTGTCAAATCACTCTTACCATCAAGAACTTTCTCCTAATATTAACACCACTTAACTCTCCCCTGCTGTAATGTAATCTCATTAGATCTAGTCCTGAGTTCTAAGTCATATTCATCTCTAATAGAGCACATTTTGATGTGGTTTTTATGATAGTTCCCTGTTGAACTGCCGCAATCTTAAGCATATTTACTTGGGAGTAAGTCCCTTTGAACTCTGTGGGGTTTACTTCCGGATAAATATGCACCAGATTCGATTGTAAACTCTGTCTCTGACACAGATTGATCTTAAGACATGCATAAACCTCAGCAAAAACAGAGAGAAGATGAGAATTGTAGTTTTACATACCTTGTTTAATCCAGCTGTTAAAGCAGGCACTCTCTTCACCCAAGTGTAACTCTAAGTGCAGGTCAGGCTGATTATATAGGATTTCTCACCACTCCCAGTGAAACTTTCCTCAGTAGGTGTGATGCAATATATATTTGCCCTAAGGCTGTGATCCTATGGAATGATTGAAGCATCTTAGGCAAGAGTCGGTGACCTTAAAAAAAAAAAAAGAATGCAAGCATGACATCACTGTCATAGAAATATCAGTGTTTTCCTGCTGCTATGCTGTGGGGCTGATACACAATGTATCACCGGGTCTTTGAGCAAGAGCTTTCAAAGCAGTTTCCCCCCTCTGTGAAATGTGGAAAATCTCTTGAATTTGTCACCTATTAAATATTGAGATGGCAGTCCTCAAATACACATGGATATGTCGATACATGCAACAAATATGAACATTTCTCACAGGTCATTGTTGTTTAGTCATTCAGTCGTGTCTGACTCTTCGTGACCCCATGGACCAGACACGCCAGGCACTCCTGTCTTCTACTACCTCCCGCAGTTTAGTCAAACTCATGCTGGTAGCTTCGAGAACACTGTCCAACCATCTCGTCCTCTGTTGTCCCCTTCTCCTTGTGCCCTCCATCTTTCCCAACATCAGGGTCTTTTCCAGGGAGTCTTCTCTTCTCATAAGGTGGCCAAAGTATTGGAGCCTCAGCTTCATGATCTGTCCTTCCAGTGAGCACTCAGAGCTGATTTCCTTCAGAATGGATAGGCTTGATCTTCTTGCAGTCCATGAGACTCTCAAGAGTCTCCTCTAGCACCATACAGTGGTACCTCGGGTTACATACACTTCAGGTTCCATACGCTTCAGGTTACAGACTCCGCTAACCCAGAAATAGTACCTCGGGTTAAGAACTTTGCTTCAGGATGAGAATAGAAATTGTGCAGCGGCAGCACAGCGGCAGCAGGAGGCTCCATTAGCTAATGTGGTGCTTCAGGTTAAGAACCGTTTCAGGTTAAGAACAGACCTGCAGAACGAATTAAGTTCTTAACCCGAGGTACCACTGTAATTCAAAAGCATCAATTCTTCGGCAATCAGCCTTCTTTATGATCTTATGCTCACATAAAAAAGAAAACTGAAAATAAATCAGACATACTAAAGAGAGAAATCCATGGACTGAGTGGGACAGGTTTTGAAGGCTAGTCAGTAGCAGGCAGTTTGATGGGATGGCGGCGCTCACCTGACCTCCCAAAAGGTGAGTCTCTGCATCTTCATGGGAAGGGGAGGGGCAAAGCTGGTACAGCTGTAGCATTGGGCTGTCTCTGTCAGTGTGTTTGTTCTGTTCTGGCCTCCTCGCCACCTACCACCTCCTTTTCCTGCTTCCCCTCTCCCAGGAAACAGAAATCACCTCCTGCTGAGAAGCTAGCTTAGCAGCTCTACCCTACCTGACTTCTGATATCAATCCTGCAGAGGTAAGCCCCCCAAATATCCATTCAACAGAGGTGCCAAGTTGCCCCCAAGATTGAGGCGGCCCATCGCACATCACACACATGGTGCGCATGGAATGGAGGAGGCGGAGCGCTCTGGAGGACCTGTGACGTGTGTTATGCATAGCACCCATGACGTCTGTACATGATGCACTCTGGGCTGCCTCAAGATTGAGGGGGTCCAGAAAGATGTTAAATTATTTTTGTATGCCACAACGGCCGCCCGAATATTACTTGCTAAAAATTGGAAAACACAAGAACTACCAACAGTGGAAGATTGGCAGATGAAGATGATGGACTTTTAGGAGCTAGCTGACCTGACTGGAAGAATCCGCGACCAGGTATAGATAGATTAATAGAGTATTAAAGGGGAAAATAAGGTTAGAATGTGTTAAGATAATTATAGGATAGAAAACAGAGGAAGATGGAAAGGAATTGCTGAAACAATTAATAGAAGTGGAATACAAAAAGGGAGGTGTGAGGAGGTCGTGGAAATAAGTGAATGAAAGATAAGATATTGAAATTGGATTGTGTTTTAAATGGTTTTTGTTTTGTTTTGTTAGTTGTTTGTGTTAGTGTTTTGTAGTGTTTTTTGTATTGTATTGTATTGTATTGTTGTATTTTTTTCCTCTTGGTTTTCTGTAGTGTTGTGTTTAAATTGTTGAAAAATTAATAAATATTATTTTTTTTTTAAAAAAAAGAATCCGCGACCAGAAAGGAGTTTCAAGAGGACTGGAGGAAATTCAAGGACTATTTGAATAAATATTGTAATATAAAAAATTAGAAATTACTTGAAAGAAACAAATAGGCCTAGGATTAAATTAAGCTATAATTAAATAAATGGGATTTAGAATGTTAAGAAAAGTGAATAAGATGGATTATAATTGGAAATTGTTTTAGTTTAATAATGATATTGGAAAGCTGTTACCTTTAATTACAAGGAAACTCAGAAGGGAGGGATTTGAGGAAGTCAACCAAGATGTTTAAAAGGTTGGATTTGTGAAGAATTAAGTTTGTTGTTATTGTTTATCTGTTTATTGTTTCCCCCCTTTTTTTTCTTTCTTCTTTTTTTCTTTTTCTTTTTCTGTTTTTGTGTATCATTTTGCTTTGTGGTTTGTGTTATCACTGTGGAAAATCTAATAAAAATTTATTTTAAAAAAAAAAGATTGAGGGGGTGCAGCCCCCTTAAATCAAATACTGAGGGACCCAAGGCGCCTTCAACCACCTAGAGTTGACACACCTGCCAATCAGTCAAACCCGATCTTTATGAGTTTCAAATCTGGGTATGATACTGTAATTTGACATGTGCTTCAATGGTTCTTAGAATCAGGTTTTCCTGTGAAGAGTGTTTGTTCCCTTGTTGCTAGGTAACAAGCAGGCATCAAAGACACATTCCATTCCATATATAACACACCTTTCATCTCTAAGAAACATGACAGAGGCCGGTTGACTTTCACTTTGAACACCTCAGCACTAAAAGTATGCACACGCTATGTTGTTAATATCCTTTCTGAGCGGCTTTCTGTGATTCATACATACATAGAAAGGCAGGATTTACGTACCAAAACCTCATTCCTAATCCTGAGCAAATATTTCTGTAGGTGTGGCTTCGTGGGAGCTGCCTCCATGCTGCTTCAGAAACCTACGTGTTGTGTGAATAAGATTTAATTTTGATTTCTCAGAGTTGATTCACTGAGTGTGTGACTGGTCCGTTCTTTTTTAAAACTGTCGGGAGCTTGCATGGAGAGAACCAGTCAATATGCTGTTTTCACTATGGACTGAGTTTGCTATTATTATTATTATTATTATTATTATTATTATTTGCAAATGCTCCTCGTTTTCCCAGGTGAGACTCACCTGGCACCTTCATTACATATCTTTAGGCACCAGGCAAAAACATTCCTCTTCTCCCAGGACTTTGGCTATTTAAACAATCTATAACCTTTTAAACTGTGTGCTGTGCGGGGGGGTGAGTTATTGTTTTGTTTGTTATTAAGTTATGATTTTTTAAAAAAAACTGTAAACCACCAAGTGACCCTTGAATGAAGGGCAGTATTTAAATTTAATAGATAAAATAAAAATAAATAAGTGGGGAGAAGTTCTGCTTTTATTAGATGTTGCAACAGTGGAAATTTGTGAAATTGCTTAATTTACAAATACATCAGCAGATCACATAGGATGCAAAGAGATGCTACTTCAGCAGGAAGCAATCACCCACCAAGAACTCAGCTGATATGCCTCAACCCTTTTCTCTTTTCGCTGCCCCTGCTACTTTTGAACTCTTCACTGTTTCTCAATCTGATGATGGGCCAAATCAACAGGAAAGTGAAAAAAACCTAACTATGACCTTTTAAACTCCTTCAAGTTCCATGTGGTTCATGCATTGTGCTGCAAGTTCCTCTTTCTCTCTCTCTCTTTTTAAAATAATTTTTATTGGAATTTTATTTACAACATAACATAAACCCACCACCTACCCCAATACACAATCCACCCTCATTAAACGTGAACATAGCATACAGTCAGCATAACATACAACAAGACAAACAATGAAATAAAAAAACTTCCTTTATCCTGTATCTGGCTTCCTTATTTACTTCTTATAAACTGTTTCCTTTATGAATAATTACAGTGGTACCTCAGGTTAAGTACTTAATTCGTTCCGGAGGTCTGTTCTTAACCTGAAACTGTTCTTAACCTGGAGACCACTTTAGCTAATGGGCCGGCTCTGGAGAACATATGTTCAAGCAGAGATAGCCGCCCCCGTTACGCCGCCGCCGCAGGGGAGAGCAATGACGACCTTTCGGCGTACGGTCAAAGCCTCCCTTCAGAAACCCCTTTAACAGGGAACCCTGGTATCGCCGCCGCAAAGAGGAAGATGGACTAAAGGATTCCTTTTTTTTTTTTTTTTTTATTTTTTTTTTAAATCATATTTATTAAAGTTTCCAAAAATATAAAAATACAAAGAAAAAGACAAAAGAAATAAGATATTTAAAAACCTTACTTTCATTCCCTACTTTCTGGGACTCCCCCCTCCCCCCCCCAATTGTATTCCCCTTTCCTTAATTTGGTTCTACAAGCTCTCACTCCCAATTTAAAGCTTAATTTGTTTAACCCACTATCCAGATTGAATTGTACAAATCTTACCACCGTCCCACATCATTAACAGAAAAAGAAAAAGATTTTCCCCAAGATCCACCCCAGTTCCTTCCACAAATTCCCTTTTTTTTAAACACGTCCGATCAAAGTAAAATAACATGCGTAAGTTATGTAAAGAAATAGAAAATAAGAGATATAGAAAAATTCAAAAAATAGTTACACAGCCTTTGGATTTCAAATCTCCCCCCTTCCCGGTTTGAATTCCCCATGTCCATCAGTCTATACATTATCAGCTTGGAAGTCTCATTTCATGACCAGATTTCTCCCGATTCCATCTTGCCGGTTTTCTTTTAGTTTATTAATTTAAATAATATTTGACTTCAAATGTCCAATCTAACAAAGGCCTTTAATTTCCTTGATCTTTACCACTCCTCCCGTTGTTCTTTCCGTGTCGTAATCAGTCCTTTATTCTTCTTATTCCTCACTTTCTCAGGTTTCTTGTCCTGTTCAGCTGCTAAAACTTTCTAATTCAGAAATCTAGTGTCTCTGCAGAGGTTTGTTATTCAGGAACAAAAACTTACGTCCAGTCCCTTTCTTTCTTCAATAAAAAATTCCATTGTCTTCCTCTGTAGACAAAATACTCTTTCAGTTTTGCAGCTTTCCCAGAAGATAACAAATCCTGTGCGAATCCCAGGGTATTTTTCCACTTACGACCGTTCTTGTAGTATCCCGAAACCCCTCTAGGGGATTGTAATAACTTTGTATCCTCTAATCCAAAAGTCAAATTGTTGCTTATTTTCCAACAGTTTATATCCATATTATAGCAAATTGTAACAAAATTAACCAGCAAGGTCCTCGTAAAGTCCTCTTTATATTCTCCAGCTTTGACAGCCACTTTGACAGCTGTCAAAGTCTCCGTCTCTCTTCACCAAGCTCCACGGATCGCCCGGTTCCCAGGGGGGTTGCATTTTCTTCTCACCCTCCACTCTTCTCCTCCAGCACATTTCTTATAATTTCCCATCGTGAAATTAATGATTTTTATCAGAGACATACTTCCCTTTGGACCTTGGTTACCCAGTCCTTGTTTTGGAATGTTTACAATAGGGGGGGGGATTGACTTCCTTTTTAAATCGCCCCCCGCTCGTGCCAAATCCAAAATTTTGAACCCGGTTTCCCAATTACTCACGGGTTGTTGTTAATAGTCCAAATTTTCAATAGAAGAAGTCAGCGCTCTCCGCCGAATGGCATGCGGCTGCGCTCGGCAGGGAAGCAGTGGACTCAAAGCACCACGCCACTCCCCGGCACCCGATCCGAAGCCTTTAAAAAGGCTCCTTCACGAGTCGGGAGGGCGCTAATGGTGCAAGCCGAGTCACCCATGTCCACGGACTCCGTGCCCGTGGTTTTAAGGGTCCCCGCGTCGCCGGCGCGGTAGGACCCAGCCCCTGCCGAGCAGACTCCCTCCGGAGCTCGGAGGGAGTCCGCCATTCGGCGATGGCGCTAACCCGGAAGTCCTGGACTAAAGGATTCCGCCCAAGGCCTTATACCGTCAAAGTTGTGACGTTTTGCTACGGGAAAGGCAAAACCTGCCAATGCAGGGAAATCCCTTTCCGGCCCTTTAACAGCGACCTTAACGTAGCAGCGCCCACATACCTGTGAAGAAAAGTTAACCTGCAAAACCTGTGAAGAAAAGTTAACCTGCAAAATAAGACATTAACTGAGGGTGGGTAGGGTGGGAGAAGCTCTGGAGCCAAGTGAGGATTCCCAGGTAAGATCCTCCCTCTATTGTGTGGGCAGGTAATCCCTCCCTACCTGGCCTGGTCTCCTTGGCAACACTCCCCCAGGTGGGATTGGACAGCTGACTGGGGTAGGCGGAGACCTCCAGGTATCCCACCTGAGGGAAGGCAAAGCCAAGCCTTTGCTGATGGAGCCACATAAATTTTTTTCCTTTATTTCCCCCCCAAAACCAGGTTGGGGAACAGCGGTATGGCGGCGCTGCACCTCCCCGCTGTCCCCCGAGCTTGTGGGGCTGGCTGATGTCTGCCCGGTGCGCGGGGCGCTCTGCTTCAGGGCGCCCCGCGCGCCAGGCGGCAGGCTGCTATCCACAGCGTGGGGAGCCCTGCGGGAGTTCCCACAGGGCTCCCCTCGCTGCGGATGTCTGCCCGGCGTGAGGGGCGCTCTGCTTCAGGCCGGCCCGTGTACCGGGCGGCAGGCTGCTATCCGCAGCGTGGGGAGCCCTGCGGGAACTCTCGCGGGCTCCCCAGGCTTGCTGATAGCTTCCTGAAGCTTGGAGAGCGAGAGGGATCGGTGCGCACCGACCCATCTCGCTCTCCAGGCTTCAGGAAAGCTTGTATTCGCCCCATAGGACACACACAGATTTCCCCTTCATTTTTGGAGGGGAAAATGTGCGTCCTATAGGGCGAAAAATACGGTACTTAATTCGTTCCGGAGGTCCGTTCTTAGCCTGAAACGGTTCTTAACCTGAAGCACCACTTTAGCTAATGGGGCCTCCCGCTGCCGCTGCGCCGCCAGATCACGATTTCTGTTCTTATCCTGAAGCAAAGTTCTTAACCCGAGGTACTATTTCTGGGTTAGCGGAGCCTGTAACCTGAAGTATATGTAACCTGAAGCGTATGTAACCTGAGGTACCACTGTATGGAGTTAAGCCAATAAGAAAAGAGATGAAGAAAGTTAATTGAAGGAGTTACTTGTATTAGAAAGATGAACTTGGAGAACTGCTACAAAGGTGTCACAATGAAATTCAGTTAGAGGAGATTTGAGGAAGTCAGATAACAGTGAAAGTTAATTTGGATTTTAGAAGTAACAAGTGTCTTTATTTTTCTTCCTTTTTTCTTTTAGTATCGTAATGTGTTTTGTTTTGTGTCTACTATATGTTATATTTGTTATAAATGTGGAAAATTAATTTTAAAAATTGAAAAAATAAAATGTGACACCGGAGGGTGCTGCAGAGCTATCCCATTCCAGAAACTGGGTAGTTTCACCTTGTGAAAAAGGGAAAGAAGCCAAATGTCCGGGTGTTTTAGAACAACGTTCAAAAGGTGAGTGTAGCTCCAGCCCGTGTCTCTCTCTTCCCACCTGAATGAAAACCAATCATACTCGCTTGACCGATTTCCATTCCTGATCACAGGGAAACAGGCAAACTGCAGAATTTCCTTTTCCTTTTCCTTTTCCATTTACATTGGTATTTTCCGACACCCCTACGTGTATAGGATTGCAATGGAAGTTGCTTTACTCCCTGGGTAGGCAAACTAAGGTCCCGGGGCCAGATCTGGCCCAATCTTCTTCTAAATCCGGCCTACAGACGGTCTGGGAATCAGCGTGTTTTTACATGAGTAAAATGTGTGTTTTTATTTAAAATGCATCTCTGGGTTATTTTTGGGGCATAGGAATTCGTTCATATTTTTTTTCCAAAACATAGTCCGGCCCCCCACAAGTTCTGAGGGACAGTGGACTGCCCCCCTGCTGAAAAGTTTGCTGACCCCTGCTTAGCAACTAGTGATGGCATATCATTGAGAACATAACATAGGACTGTCTTCTTCCCTAGTGCCACCTTTAGCCTTCAAAGCAGTCGTGAAGATCTGCTAATTAGTAACAAAATAAAATAAGGTAGGAAACCCTGGTCATAATTCTTCCACGTCTGCCTACGTATTGCCTTTCCCACTCTAGCAACAAATTAGGCCATGATAGGTTCACATCAAGGAATTATTTCCTGCCTTGCCTTTGTACATTTACTACCAGAACTGAATTTGGAGCTCAGTTCAACATGGCTCAACAACATAATAAAAGTCTGCTAGATGAAGCCGATAGCTCACTTAGTCCAACTTGTTATTCTCAGATGGGAAGCACGAAAGCAGGAGCTGAGCAAACAGCACTTTCCCCTCCTGTGGTTTTCAGCAACTAGTATTCAGAGGCATACTGGGGGTAGAACATAGCCATTTTGGCTAGTAGCCATCGATAGTCTGAACTTGTCCAGTCGCACTCTGCCCCATAGTCCATTTTTTTGTGAAGTAGGATATGACTAAAGCCTCGGCCCAGCAGAGCAAGGTGGGTGCGGTCCGCCCCAGGTGTCATCCCTGAGGGGGTGACATCGCTGCCCCGCCCCCTGGGACGCTCATCGCGGGCGGCTCACCCCTGAGATGCGCACCCCCTGGGACGCTCGCCACGCCCCTGGGATGCTAGCCCCGTCCCCGGATGCACGCTGCTACAGGTGCCGGAGCAGCTAGCTCCGCCACTGCGGCCCAGTATACCTGAAGGAGCGTCTTCACCCCCATCGTTCAGCCCGGTCCATCGCCGAGGGCCTTCTGGAGGTTCCCTTGCTGTGAGAAGTGAGGTTACAGAGAACCAGGCAGAGGGCCTTCTCGGTAGTGGCGCCCGCCCTGTGGAACGCCCTCCCATCAGATGCCAAAGGAATAAACAACTATCTGACTTTTAGAAGACATCTAAAGGCAGCCCTGTGTAGGGAAGTTCTTAATGTTTGATGTTTTATTGTGTTTTTAATATTCTGTTTGGAGGCGCCCAGATGGGCGGGATGATGATGATGATGATGATGATGATGATTTGCATTGAAAGGACTGGCCATCCAGTCTCTGCCAAGCACTTTTCATGGAACTGACTGCTGCTAGTCTATAGGGACACAGAGAAATACAGAACAGAGCCTAAGGACAACCTCTCCATTGTAGAGACAAATCTGGTTCAGTTTCTCACTGGTCCTGGGGCTGCTGAGGGGAGAGGTAGGACGCCGCAGCCCCAGTCACTGGCCAGAGGACTAGTGGCTTCAGAAAGGCCATCTCCCCTCCAAAGCAATCTGGCTCCAACTAGTCTATCTCTCATAATATTCAGAGGATTCCTCTTCTACTTTTCCCTTCCACTGCCCTTCCCTTTTGTTCCTGTTCTTGTAATCCTGAGGGAGGAACCCATGTCTTTATTTTTGATATATTATTAAATAATAATAATAGAAATTCCACCCAGCCTATAGGATGGTCTTCGCAGAAGATTGGGTGTAACTGACTCCCAACTGGAAGGAACAATGCAATTATTTCTGGCAGGGCCTGTCCAAGGACGGTTGCCGAATACGTTTGCGACATCCGTGTCAGATTTGGAGCAAGAGTTTCCCATGTGATGTATCTGGGGGGTGGGGGGTGGAGTTGGCTAATTCTTTTATTTATGGCCCTGCAGGTTGGATGGAAAGAATGAGTGCCTTTTGTGAGCATGTTGAAAGTACAGTCATACCTTGGAAGTTGAACGGAATCCGTTCCAAAACATTTTAAAACCAAATTGTGGCTTCTGATTGGCTGCAGGAAGCTCCTGCAGCCAATCAGAAGCTGTGGAAGCCCTGTCAGACGTTTGGGCTCCAAAAGAAAGTTTCACAAACCGGAACACTCACTTCTGGGTTTGTGACGCTCGGAGTCAAAATGTCATGAGTTGCAGGGCGTTCGGGAATTTGAGCTGGCTTATGCTTTACTGTAGGGACGCGGGTGGCACTGTGAGTTAAACCACAGAGCCTAGGGCTTGCTGATCAGAAGGTCGGCAGTTCGAATGCTCGCAATGGGGTGAGCTCCCGTTGCTCAGTCCCTGCTGCTGCCAACCTAGCAGTTTGAAAGCACGTCAAAGTGCAAGTAGATAAATAGGTACCGCTCCAGCGGGAAGGTAAATGGCGTTTCCGTGCGCTGCTCTGGTTCGCCAGAAGTGGCTTAGTCATGCTGGCCACATGACCCGGAAGCTATTGGCCGGCTCCCTCAGCCAGTAAAGCGAGATGAGCGCCGCACCCCCAGAGTTGGCCACGACTGGACCTAATGGTCAGGAGTCCCTTTACCTTTACCTTGATGCTTTACTGTGGGTCATGCTGCACATCAGGGTTGACCCCAGATTTCAGGGAGCACTCGGCACAGTGCCCCGCAAGCCAAACTTTTTTGGGCTGCATCAGCTTTTAGCTCAGAGAAGGGTGTGATGCACTGCAAGGCACTTTGCATGTTTAGAATGAATCATGGTTTGAGGCTCTAAGGGAAACCTGTTCTTGTGACAGCCGATGAGAGGCACCTCCTTTGAAAAAGCAACTTAAAAGAGCTTGCAACAATTGCCAGGAGTGACACTTAAACCTGGAAGTTGTAAATTCTTTGGAGCTTTCAGCACTAAAGAAACCACCCCATTTTGTAAGAGGAATTTTGGCCCTTTTTTGAGGACTATGAAGGAGGACTGAAAGAAATGGAAACGTCTTGAGTTTTCCTGGTTGGGTTGAATCACCACTCTTAAAATGATGATCCTTTATAGATTTCCCCCTCTCTATTCCAGACCCTTCTCAAGAGTATCCCCTTGCATAATTTTCAATGCTGGCAAAAAATATTTGATACTGTCTGTTATGTACTGAAGTTCTCACCCTGGGCCAACAGGGGGATACTGTAGATAGTTATGCAAATGAAGGATCGAAAGTGATGTTCAGTGATGGGATAGTTTTAGAAAGTTGCTACAGTAACGTTGTACTGGAGCTCTGTATAAGCAGGCTGACTGAGCCCTTCAGCTCAGTTCTGTTCTGACCTCTGAATAAACAAGAGCTGTTTGAAGAATCGCTGTGTCGTCTGATATGTTCACCCACAACCTAACACTGTCGGTAGGGCAGGTCACTCTGTAAATTGACAGTTCATGACAGTACGGCTGGCTGAATGCAACATCACGGGATTAAGGAGGGGGAATTTGGTATGCCTCATTTAAATCCAAATCATGAGGCATTCCAACTTGAGCAATTAATCCACCCCATCAGTTGAACTGGGACTCAGTTCAGGGATACTGTCCACCAATGCCCTCTTTTTCCTCCCTCACAAAACAGAATCTCAAGAAAATATCCATTTCTGCACTTGAAATCTGGACACAGTAGTCTAAACAGCTCACTTTCCCCTCTTGTTCCCTTTTGAGATCACCTGCGGCTTATGCATTTGTTTAAACATCAGCAACATGTGGATTGAGAAGCAAAGGGTCTCTACAGGGTCCAGGACCTACGTATTTAACAGAAGAAAAATCCTGACAACGCAACGATAATCTAAGTAAAGAAATCAAAACATACATGGCTTCAGAAGATTCAGATGACCTCATTTTCCTCAGAGTGGCTTATGGTTCAGTGTGTGCTACAGTCCCTCACTATATTTGAAAAGTCGTGTGAAAATAGATGTGTGAAAGCATTGGCTCTGGGAGACAGATCTTAAAGTGAGGAACATTGAGAGGGAATTGGCATATTTTTATTGTATGCTTCCATTGAAAACCATTTCTGCAAACATTAAAGAATGAGCACTGAAAATAATCTGTAGGTAGCATTGGATTTCTGTACACCTCACCACTCATTAAGGACCCGGAATCACACAACAAAACCAAATATTTTGAATAGCTCACTTTATTTAGATTGTTGCTTTGGGTTTCGTTTTTCCTTCTTTGACACTTTGAGATTCTTCTCTTTTGGTTTTTAGATATGTGTTTTATTTTTATTTTTTGAAGCGGGGCTGCTCCCTCCTTATCTCCCTCTCCCCATTTCCTCTGTTTAAAGCCCCATGTTGTAAATTAAAGTGAGTCTGCCTACATAAGCCGAAAGAGGTCCATCTTAGGTATTCGTACTTTTTTTAGGAGACGAAAACCCGGAAATATTAGCTAAACAGAATGTAGAATATATGATTTTTGTTTCGTCACTTCTAACACCCTGGGCTTGCAACAAATGCAAAGGGCATGCATGTGATCATTTAAGCACCTGTTAAGGTGAATTATACCTGCCCAAAAATAGGATGCTCTGGGTTTTGTTGTTTCTTATAAGGAAAATGAAGGGGTGATCAGCTCTGATTTGAACTGGCATGCTTGTGGTAGAAACGCCCACCCCAGTGGCAGCTGCTGCCTCTGTGCCTTCTTCATTGACCACGACATAAGATTTATGAATGGCCTTGGACACAAACAGGTTTTTGCTTCCTGACATGCCGGACAAATCAGCCTTTCCTCGTGTGAACACATCTGTCATTCCCAAAGCTACCAAAAGTTTGTTGAGCTCATAAGTTTCTTCCAGCTTGAACTTCGGCACATAAATGTCTACCTTTTGCTTTTGCATGTTTTTCGAACTGGTCCATTCTTGAAATTTTGCATAGGTGAGTTCCTTTTCAACCTGTCAAGTAAAAATAATAATCAATGCCAATTAAATATCTGCCCCCAGAAAAAGACGTGGGAAAAAGAGAAAGACAAATGTTTATTTATTAAAGCGTAGGCAAAGAATATGTCTAAAAGCTCCAATATTGTTTACACCCTCCCCCCAAAAAATGTTTTGGAAAACCATTAAATTTGTCTGTGAAAATGGTGGTTTCTTTAAAAAAATATCGGTGGAAATGTTTTAACTAATGAGGAGAGGAGAATCCTTAAGTTCAGCAGCATGTACATAGCACACTGTAATGTTGATTGTCTCTGCTTTAGAGTCCTTGATTTAACTTCTGTTTTAAAAGACACAATGGGCACATTCTGGGTCGTCCTATGCACATTTCCCAGGGCATAAAGCCCCAAGGAGAACAATGGGATTCTATGAAATTGCACAAGAAACATAGCAATCCAAACCTCCTTTGTGCCAAGGGTGTGGTGTCCCTCTGTCCCGCCTATCAGACAGAAGTTGCAGAGTAATCAAGAATATGGTTGTTAATAAGTCCCATTGTTGCATCCAAAGATGGTAAAGGTAAAAGGGTAAAGGACCCCTGGACTGTTAAGTCCAGTTGAATTCGACTATGGGGTGTAGTGCTCGTATCTGCTTTCAGGCCGAGGGAGCCGGTGTTTGTCTCCAGACTGCTTTCTGGGTCATGTGGCCAGCAGGACTAAAGCGCTTCTGGCGCAACGGGACACTGTGATGGAAACCAGAGTGCACAGAAACACTGTTTACCTTCCCGCTGCAGCACTGGTATGCTTTCAAACTCCTAGGTTGGCAGGAGCTGAGACAAAGCAACGGGTGCTCACCCCGTCATGTGGATTCGAATATAATAATAATTTATTATTTATACTCTGCCCATCTGGCTGGGTCTCCCCAGCCACTCTGGGCAGCCCCCAATCAAGTGTTCAAAACAATACAGCGTTAAATATTAAAAACCTCCCTAAACAGGGCAGCCTTCAGCCTGTCTTTTAAAGATAGGATAGCTGCTTATTTCCTTCACATCTGAAGAGAGGGTGTTCCACAGGGTGGGTGCCACTACTGAGAAGGCCCTCTGTCTGGTTCCCTGTAACCTCACTTCTCGCAATGAGGGAACCGCCAGAAGGACCTCGGCGCTGGATCTCATGGAGGTGGAGACGCTCCTTCAGGTATACAGGACATCTGACCTTATAATCTGCAAGGCTTGATGGTTTAGACCACAGCACCACCTGTGTCCCTGGGCACATCCAAAGATAACACTAGTATTAACAGACATTGACAATGCAGGCCTACTGGATTGCACTGCTCTATGTCTGTTAAAATTACAAAATAAAACAGAATTGGCAACTGACAGGACAAAAGCTACAGTTCATATATCTCTATATTTCTCCAAGATTTCTTCAGTTGACTAATCAGCTGAACAATTTATTCTCATAGATCAGGTTTTGTTTTAAAGCAATGTATGTATGTATGTATGTATGCCCGCTACAAAGTTTTGAAAGTTGACTTCAATTCCTTGATCCTTTTCAGAAATCAAAGCAAATTACCTGGTGTGCACCTCCTTTCTTGTCTGGCAGTAGAATGAACATACTCATCTCATTCTTATCATAGGGAAGCTCAAGTATTTGCAGTGATGGATTTTGTATATAGGCCACATTGAATTCACCTTCCTTATTCATCATTGGCACATTTTTGCTCTGATTCTGTAGTGAATAAAGCAAGTAGTTAAGCATAAAATGTCATTTCTCGTGTGTGTAAAAGAGGTGGCTATAAGCCATATGAAGTACTGAGTATAGTAGGATAGTTGCAATGATTTCCAGTGTTGTACCTTTTTTGTTTAGCACCTTCGAACATCGGACCACTCTGGTATAAAACACAAATGTATTCTGTATCCCCAACGTACAATGCAATAGTCAGAGCTGGCCCACCAATGAGGCAGGATTATTATTATTATTTATTGAATTTTATACTGCCCTATGCCCAGAGGTCTCAGGGCAGTTCGCATAAAAAGATCACAGTATATAAAATAAAAATAAAAGCAATAATACCCCCCCCCAAAAAAGAGCCACATTTTAAAAGGGCATAGGATGTCAATCAGATCAACCAAAGGCTTGGTTAAAAAGGAATGTTTTTCCTGGTGCCTAAAGGTGTATAGTGAAGGCGCCAGGCGAACTTCCCTGGGGAGAGCATTCCATAGACTGGGAGCCACTTCAGAGAAGGCCTGTTCTCATGTTGCCACCCTCTGCACCTCTCGAGGAGGAGGCACACGAAGGAGGGCCACAGAAGATGATCTCAGGGTCCGGGTAGGTTCATATGGAAAGAGGTATTGCGGTCCTAAGTTGTTTAATGAAGGATGAAGAATCTTGCCTTCCCCACTGCCTCTGCTGCCTTTTGACATGCTCCTCCCTCTCACTGAGATCAGCAAAAAGTGGGAGCATTCCAAGTCTGGCAAGAGAGGGGAGCATTCTGGTGAGCGGTGGAGGTGAAAGGGGCATGGGGACAGCGGCAGAGGGAGGCACAATCCCATTTTATCTCAGGCGGGAAGTTTGGATGGACCTCCAGTTATTACTTTTGGACAGATAAAGGTAAAGGGACCCCTGACCATTAGGTCCAGTCACGGACGACTCTGAGGTTGCGGCGCTGATCTCGCTTTATTAGCCAAAGGAGCCAGCGTACAGCTTCCGGGTCATGTGGCCAGCATGACTAAGCCACTTCTGGTGAACCAGAGCAGTGCACGGAAACGCCGTTTACCTTCCCACCGGAGCGGTACCTATTTATCTACTTGCACTAACATGTTTTCGAACTGCTAGGTTGGCAGGAGCTGGGACCGAACAACGGGAGCTCACCCCCTTGGACAGATAGCTGTCCATAATAAATGGCATACCCATCTCCACCAACCTTTCGGCATATTATACCTCGTTAATCCAGAAAGGTGCTTCCTTGGTGAGTTTCTTATCAAATTGGGACTTCCAGTTTCCTTTAAAATATATAGCATTCGCTAAGACCAAGATAGTTGTTGTGTCAATAGATCCACTGGCCATCAGGTCCGTGATTTTACCTTTTTAAAAGACAGATTCAAGGCAAAATATTTAATCGTCAAAATGACAATGAAATTTTCAACCGTGTAACATCTAAAACATGAAGCTTATCCACCATGTGCAACACACCATTAAAAGGTTCATTACTTTTGTACATATTAGAATTCTGAGGGCTGCTCAGTTCTTCTGGGAATCAAATCTTTCAATGCCATTCAGTTTCTCAATCTTCAATTACTTTCCCGCCATTTTAGCATTTAGCTTGTGATTTATTTGTTTAATAAAGACCACATGAACATTTGTATGCATTTTTTTGCATGGAATTTTGCCTCATACACTTTTTTGCAAGCAATTTTCTTCAATAGAACACTTTCTTGTATGTCATTTTCACTAACTTGCATTTTTTTTTGCCCACCTTTCCTCAATATATATGCTTTTTCGTATGCATTTTTTGGAATGGAAAACTGCAATCAAAAAATTGTAGATGCGTGGATTTCAAGTGCTCAATGCATTTCTGGTCCACATGTTTGCATCCGAAGTGTGAATTAGGTAAGTTCACATTAAAATGTAAAGTGAACAAATTTCTCCCATATCCCTTTCCTTAGCTGATCCATTTCCAAATAAGTGAGACGTAACTTCTGTTCCTTTACCATTTGTTTGCTTTTCAACCCAAGTGTTAATCTGATTTCTAGCTTCCTCTGTTTTTGTCTCAAAGTCCACTTTTTGCAACTCAGCATGGTACATCTCCTTCGTACAATGTAAGAATTGCTGTAAAGAATAATAATAAAAAAAATTAATGCAATTATTATTATTTAAACAATTTCATTGAATTTGTATGCCATCCCTTCCTCCAAATCAGCCCAGGGCAGCAGAAGCTATGGCTGTCATATATATGTAATAAATGGGAATTTATTGTTTGGTATGGCATATGAATTTCCCCATGTTGCTCTCCTACTACTAATTGTTTAGTGCCTGCTGTTGAAGAGAAGCAGAAAGCTTAGTTAAAAAGAAATATAGAATACAGTCATACCTTGGCATCTGTTCCGGAAGTCTGTTTGACTTCCAAAACGTTCGAAAACCAAAGCACAGCTTTTGATTGGCTGCAGGAAGCTCCTGCAGCCAATCGGAAGCCATGGAAGCCCCGCCGGATGTTTGGCTTCCAAAAATAGTTCACAAACCAGAACACACACTTCTGGGTTTGTGAGGTCCGGGAGCCAAAACTTTCGGAAACTAAGCTGTTCAACTTCCCAGGTACGATTAATACTGTGGGATTTACGGAGCCATTTCCCTATTCAGAAGAAGTAGGTGGTTCCTTTGCTTTTCCAGAATGTTCCTCAAGGAGGTGCCTTCTGGACACTGAGCGCCGCTCAGTTCTTCTGGTAACTGACAGTCTGGAGGTGAGACACATGGAGCTCACTGTGGTGAAGCCATAGGTCCATTCTGCTTCTTCTGCTGCACACCAAACTCTCCGTGCCTTCCCCTCCCTCTCAGGAACCACCAATGTTGCTCAGTGTTCAGAAGGCAGGTGAGTAATGCTCTCCTATCTGAGCCACCCCATTAAACGCTACTGTGCTCTTCCTGACTTATGTCAGCCTTCATTTTCTTTCATGACACTTCCCCCTCTTATGTTGAATGTCAGACAAAGATGGAGTTGAACTCATCTGTTGATTTAATATATTTGTGCCCCACCTTTCTCTCAAGGAGAGAAACTTGTTGAGCATGGGCTCAACAAGTTTCATTTGTACAATATAACTTCCCCTGTGTCTCCTCTCCCCTCTGTGTTTCCCCCACAGTGCTTCAGATCTGCTTCAGAAATTTGGGGTAACTCCCAGAGCAGATCCGAGGTGCAGAAGGGAGGAGAGACACTTCTGGTGCACAAGTGTGAATCATGCACTGGCTTTGCTGAATACAATGCACAGCCTATTATAGATCAATAATAACAAACATTTTTATTATTTAAATGCTGTCCATCGGACTGGGTTGCCCCAGCCACTCTGAGTGGCTCCCAACAGAATATTAAAAACAAAATAAAACGTAAAACATTAAAGACCAAACTTCAAGGTCCCCTGGCCAGAACCCCTCTGACACGATTGTATATCTCCTCGCAGACACACATAAGTATGTGAGCTGGCGTGTAGCACTCTTTGCAACTGCCGCTAGGAAAATTAGAGCAAATTATATAGCCAAGGTAGCCAACTGTAAAGGAGATGAATTTATTTGACCCTATCTACATCAAGCTATATTCTATCTTTATCATCAAACTCTGAATATAATTGCACATTGTATTAATTAACATTTTTAATATATTAGTGGCCATGTGATAATTTTAGCTTATAAATTTTATTGTTTAATGTCTTAATTTGTATATTAAGGTACTTTTATAGCTCTGTTTAGAGTAGATAATGTCCTGATAATATAAATGTTAAGTTTTTTGTATCAATTCAGTATATTTTCTTTTAATTGTTGAATGATTCTGTGTACATTGCGGCAGCCTTTGGCTATGTGCAATAAAACTGACTGACTGACTGACTAAAGACCAAACTTCAAAGGCCCTACAACTGCTCCCATGTACCATTTAAAACACCCTCCACTGTCAAGAAAAGAGATACTAAATAGGCATCAGTAAAAGGAAGTGGACTCATTGCTATCAATTTCATGTGGTCTGTGCTGCTCATCCAACAGCAATGTGTCTACACAGGGAGGAGCATAGAAAGTGTTCTTCCTTACCTGTAGAAATGTGTATTTCTCTTCTCCATAAAGCCTATTGGCAATGCTCAGTTCGAAATTTTTGTCATGATGGTTGATAGCTGCTAAGAGTGCTTTGAATTGGATGTGTGGTCCTCCCGGTCTGTCACACTGTGTATCCTTTAAATAGCAAAGGCTGTTTAACAGTACATCGACATTCTCATAAATATGGCTCCCAACACCCTCCAAACCATTACATGGACAAATCCCAAATCCGGAGTCAAAGTGAGCAGATAATGGAGAAATTGGGGGCTCTTCTGAGTGGAAGCACGTGCCCCCCTCCAAGGCATCCTGAACCAAACTGAATTGCTCCCAGAACTCCAAGACTGCCATGGAGCAGTCTTTGAAAGTGTGTATATTTCTGTTGGGGAATTATGTTCAAAGTGCTTTCCTTCAGTAGGGGTCAGCAGGGCAGGGCAGTATACCCCTGAGCTCTAATAATAATAATAATAATAATAATAATAATAATAATTTATTTATACCCTGCCCATCTGGCTGGGTTTCCCCAGCCACTCTGGGCGGCTTCCAACAGAATATTAAAATACAATAGTCTATTAAACATTAAAAGCTTCCCTAAAGAGGGCTGCCTTCAGATGTCTCCTGAATCGCTGCCTGCTGACCAGAAGGTAGGAGGGGGAGGGGAGACTATTGGGTGCACAGCACCCACCTCCTCGCTTCCTTCCCTTCCCCCCGCTAACTCTCGGTATATAGTAGCTATCTGGTGAACAGGAACAGCATGTAGCTGACCACAACTGCTTTTCATATATGACTTCAGTTATCCAAATTGAAGCCTTTTCAACTGCGTTATAATCTCTGCATTGCAGATGAGGGTAGGGCCTGGAGATGGGAAGAACCATACCTAAGAGCTAAACCATGGTTTAGCTAAGGTGAGATTTTGACCAGGCCTTTGCAGCTTGAATTCTTAGTCACTACATTACACCAGCTTGACTTCCAAGAAAGCTGAGCCTCACAGCTCCACCCAGGGGTGCCAACTTGAATAAAATATTGGGGGTGGGGGTGGGAGAAAGGTAAGTCCCAGCCCACATAATCAGTCACATGCTGTGGTGCATGCACACCATTTCTCTGTAAAGTTTGGTGCCCCCTCAAATATTTTATTGGGGGGCTGAAGCCCACTCGGCCCCTAGGAGTTGGCTGCTATGGCTGTAGCTGTTTATGATTTCAGATTATCTCACATTTTGAAAGGATCATCAGCTAGATCCATATTAAAGGTAAAGGGACCCCTGACCATTAGGTCCAGTCGTGGCCGACTCTGGGGTTGCGGTGCTCATCTTGCTTTACTGGCAGAGGGAGCCGGCGTACAGCTTCCGGGTCATGTGGCCAGCATGACAAAGCCACTTCTGGCGAACCAGAGCAGTGCATGGAAACACCGTTTACCTTCCCACTGGAGCAGTACATATTTATCTACTTGCACTTGACGTGCTTTCGAACTGCTAGGTTGGCAGGAGCAGGGACCAAGCAACGGGAGCTCACCCCGTCGCGGGGATTCGAACCGCCAACCTTCTGATCGGCAAGTCCTAGGCTCTGTGGTTTAACCCACAGCTCCACCCGCATCCCTAGATCCATATTATTCCCCCCCCAAAAAAAGAACCCTTAGTGAAACAGAAATGATATGCCAGTACTTTTTCAGCCGAGCCTGGAGAGCTTCCAGATCCAGTGACCTCATTGAAGTGAAGGACCTGCAACACAAAATGTGGAATGAGAAACCACAGATCTACTCCAAGTCACTTTGCCATCTTCTTTTCATCCTCCTCCAGTACAATGAAAACACTTCATTTGAGCAGGGGGCTTATTGGAGTTTAGGACAGGGGTTGGGAACCACGTGTCCCTGAGCTGTGATAACACATCTTGCTTAGCTTCATGGAGAAATGTGTGTGTTTGTGTAGAAATCTCTGGCTTTTGTGGGGCTGGAATATCGCCTACGGTACAGAGTGTTGGGATACTGCCAGGGAGACGGAGGCATCAGGCAGGCCTCCAAGTCATCTCCAGACCATCCCGTGGAACAGCATCAGTCAATTAGCAACACGAGCCTCAGAGACATTCCAAGACACTCCACACCCTTTCAGCAGAGTCTCCACAACGAAAGGATGCAGACAGGAGAGCATATTTACAGCTTTATTCAATGTAGATCAGAACAAAGGAAAAACATGACCGCTTGCCTCCGTGTCCAGGAAAACAGCCGGAACAAAAGCTATATACAAAACGGAAGTTCCCAGCGAGAAAGTAAACAGGCATGTGACACACAACAATCATGCCTGACTCTTTTAAGGTGGAACAAAAATTTCCTAACACAGAGGACAGAGTCGCATCTATCACCCTGCCTCCTTTTCCCTCTGACCCCGCCCACTTTTGTCTCTGGCCACACCCAGCACTGGCATGCAACCCCTCAGAAAGTTTCCCACAAGGGAATGCTGCACTTGGACTGAAAACCACTTCCCACAACTGCCAATGGGTATCATATAACTAATAGTTGGTCCTTCACCCGACCTCAGATTTTTTTTGGGGGGGAGACTCTTTTTTGGGGGGGAAGCCAGTGTGGTGTAGTGGTTCAGAGCGGTGGACTCGTAATCTGGTGAACCGGGTTCGCTTCCCCACTCCTCCACATGCAGCTGCTGGGTGGCCTTCGGCTAGTCACACTTCTCTGAAGTCTCTCAGCCCCACTCACCTCACAGAGTGTTTGTTGTGGGGGAGGAAGGGAATGGAGAATGTTAGCCGCTTTTTATCGGGTAGTGATAAAGCGGGATATGAAATCCAAACTCTTCTTCTTCTTCTTTCTCAGAGTCAAAACTAACACATTTCCTTTTTATCACAAAGGAACCTAATGAAAGCCATCAAGGAGGAAGAGTGGCTAGCAGGAGAAGATTCCACATGGTTCAGGAGAATCGGGTGGCCATCTTTTCCCTAACTTCTTTAAATGGGTCTCCTCTGACTGGGACTCAGTCAACTACCACCCATTGTATTATCTGATCTTTGAAATAGGAGGCATTTGCATAATATGACACTTGGCATACACACAGCGGTGGTGGTGGGGTGTTTCCTACCTTCTCCATCTGCTTAGCAGTGTCTCCTCTGGCTCCAAGAAAGACCATGCCCAAAGCGGCTGCAATGCTCATGGGGGAGAAGAAGATGTTCCCCGAAGTGCCGTCAATCTTCTTGTGTAAATCAAAGGCAAATTTGTTGATTGCATCCACAAGGGTAGTCATGGTGCTGATTGTGATATCTGGGACAAATATCATCAGGTTAATTCTTCTGGTGGACTCCTTTGTATATAGTCCCTTCTTATTGGTCTTATTTTTGTCTAAAGGATGAATAGCTCCATAGAAAGGTATTCACAGTGCCTTCAATACCACGTTACTTCAATTTTATTTAAAACGCCTACACCCCACCTTTCTAAAAAGCTCAAGATAGAGAATACGATCTTGATGTCAGTGTGGCTTCTAAACACTGACTTGAAATGTTCCTTGAAAAAGTTTTGCCCTTAACAACAGGCTTCTTTATAAGGCGTACAGGCTGTTGCTCTGGCCAAGATGGCTGAAGAGCAGGGCGAGATAGAATGATTCTCTGTATATAGTTTCATTTTACTTTATTAGACCAGTAGTTACATAAGTTAGATAAGCTGTAGTGTGAACTTAACAACGAATACTCTAAGAAGGACCTGTTTTAGCAGGACTTTCAATGCCAGTCAAGTTTTGAACTGTCAACAGTTCCAGTCATAAGATCCATATTATTTCCTTATTATTTAGTTCAGATAGGTTTCGTGGAGCTTAGGGGCAAGTGAATGAGATTCCCTGACCTCACTGCCATATTACTCCAACTCATTCCCATCCCAGGGAACACAGTGTCACGACCACAAAGAAGACACTGCTTTTTGGGGGGCTACATATGTTGCCCCCTTCCCCCATACAAATAAACAAATAGATGAGCCTATGTATAAAGTATCTGTGCTAAAGTGATGTCCACCTTTTTGGGGGTGCTGTGTTGATAATTTTTTTAATTGACTTATAAAGTATGTATGGAGAGGTAACCAGAATAAGTGCTCTTAAAATACATTTCTTGAATTTGGTTCCTCTCCATGGAAATCTAGCATTGTACCACCACCCCAAGCCTGTGTCCCTTAGATGTAAATATGGATGTTCTAAAATTGAAAACCCTTCCTCAGTTAACAGAAGAGAGAAAAGTCTGTATGAAGCTTACCTTTTCCTCTGTGGAAGTGATTCCAATGCAGCTGATGCACCTTCTTTCGAGGCTCCACTATTTAAAGCTGGAGAATTGCATAAATCAAAGAATTGTTTTTGTTACGCACAGGTGCAATTTGGGAACTTCCTGGAAAATGAGTTCGTGGTGCCGGAAATTGCAAATGAATCTGCAATAGCAAGCCAGATTGTCTAGAGCAGCAGACTGAGGAATCCTGGATCTACTGGTGTTGCAATTTGGGAATAGAGGTGGGGCAGGAGCTCCTGCACCTTCAATAGAATTTCAGAAGGTGTAGCTTGTCACGAAAAGGTCATCTGAGAAGCATTTCCAAAACAAAACAGAAAACCCTTCCTCAGTTAATAATCTACTCGTGTTGCAACTTGGGTTTAGATTTCAGCTTACTTGGCACATCAATTGCAGAAGAAGTTGAAACAGACCAGAAGGTTCTTGAAAATAGGAAGGTTTGGAAAATAAGACTGAGAAGACATTCTGCCAGGTCAATTCCCTCATCCATTATCAAATCATGGATGGTGTTGGTCTTACTAGTCATTGACCTGGCTTTGCACAGCACTACCTTAAGGTCATGTGGGACACCCTTGTTGATACCTGTATCTGCCTGGCCAAGACCTGACACAGAGGCAAGGGTAGTCTTCAGATAGTGACTAAACCCGACTCCTGAGTAAAAACATAATCTGATCCTAGTGTAACTCTTCCTCCTGCCCATGATCACTGAGATTGAGTGTTCCATTGTCTCTGCCCCAGTGGTGCCTGTCCCAGCCATTATATTGGCTAGGGTCCACTCCCGAGGAAGCCCTGACCCTCTCCCCTTAAAAACAAACTTAACTTATACAAAGGTAATGAAAAAATGGACATATAACAATTTTTAAATGATTTTTTAAAAAATCTCCAACCCCATTCAATCATTCAAACTGGGAGGTGGTGGGGAAGGGGTTTGCTGATCTCAGATCAGATGTCTGTATAATTTTATTTGTGTATAATGTTGAATGAGTGGACAAGAGGGTTTTTGGCTTGTATACAGTGCTGTAGGGCCATGAGACTGGGAAGTGGCCGCCATCTTGGCCCCCTTAGCACTCCCATCCTAAATCTAATTTCTCTCAAGTAAGTGTACCACAGAGACACACACTAAAGCATGGCAAACGTGTGGTGAATACCAGAAGTCTCTAGAAGTATGGCTTTGCAGCACTTCCGGGTTGGCGCCTCCAGGCAATGGCAGAGTTCCTCCGATCGGGAGGAATTTGCTCCGCGGAAATTAGGGTCTGACCGCCACGGCGAAGGCGGAGACCCACTGAAATCACAGGCGGGAGAAGCCTGTGAACTTGGGATTCGGCTGGCACCCTTTGCGCCTCCCCTACTCGTGGGGAAACCCTGATTTGGGGATCCGGAGCGAAGTGGGGTGAGTGGCGCGGTGCTTCGAATTGACTGCTTCTTTCACGGAGTGAAGCCGCATCGCTGTTGCCGGAGAGCGCTGACTTTTTCCTGTGGACAATTGGATTTTAAACAACTACCCGTGAGTAGAACGGAAAATTAGATCCTTAAATTTGGCATCGAAACGGGAAGGTTCTAAACAGGAAGTCCGCCTTCCTTTTTTGTAAACAGATTAAAGCAAAGAAGTTGCAAGTTAAAGCCTTGGAAAGTTTATTTTTGTAAAGGATTAAATCTCCATTGGTTAAAACTATTAAACCCCCCTTGGAAGCAGGAGAAGAGGGGGGAAATTTTGGACCTAGTGAGCCTGCAGGAGAGAGTGAAAAACCAAATTACCACTGCTCCGAACCTGGAAACGGGCTGCCAGAAAGAGTGACGTTTTTTGACAGCTAGCAATAAGAGAAATATATTGTTTCCATTGTACTCATCTGCGTTTAAAAAGTGGGAAAAGAAACTAACTTTATAGTTTAAATTGTGTTTGAAAGGATTGATACAAGTGGAGACTGTTTCCCTCTAGAGGAGCTTTTGAAACTGTTACAAGAGTGGAGCTGGGGTTTTCCAGTCGCAAGATAAGAACTGTGTGAAATAGAGATTGACCTTGGACTTTAAGAATGTTGACAGAAGGAGCCTTAGTGACTGTATTATGTAAGATAAGCTATTCGTTGGAACAGCTCCACAAGAAGACGGACACTATGAATACCAAACTTGAGAACTTGGGACAAAAAGTGACTAATTTGGAACAAAAAGTGACCATTAATACAGAAATTGTTCAGGATTTGACACAGGAACCTACCTTGACAGGACAAACTGGGGAGAAGACGAAGGAGAATGTTGGTGCTGTTAAACCTAAAATAATACAAGTGGAAGCCCCAGTTTTACAGAGGCAAACTGAGGACTATAAGTGGAGGCCTTTTATGAATGAATATAGAAAAGTCAGAATTTGAAGATTGGAGCCCTGCTTGGATTGAAGAAGGAAGGTTGGATAGACTCTTTCAAGCAGAGATTTACTGACCCTTGGGTCCTGAATCTGGGTGAGGAGGTGATTGGAGTTGTGGGGGCCTTTGGATCTGGAGGAGCCTTGAAACATGATTTGAGACATTGTATGGACACTGGTTTTAGCTGTGGAGAGTTGGTTGGTCTGTTGAGAGGGAATGGGGGCATGGTTGGATTGGGGCCCCCCCAAGACCTGCACTTCAGCACCCTCAGTATTAAAGAATATGAAGAAAAACTGCAGAAGGGACTTGGAAAAGATTTAAGAGCCTCGGACAGAAGATCTCCAGGTTGATGAACTATATGGAATGGACGGAAATGACTGGCAGAATCCGAGACCAGGAAGAAGAGATAGTGGTAGAAGATTGGGAAAGTTTAAAGTTTATATATAGAAATATTGTAAATTTAATGAGTGTTAGAAAATTGTTGGAATGAAATTTTATGGCTTTAGCAGAAATGTTATAAGGAGTTAGGTATAATTAAGTATTTCAGTATTAATGGAAAATAAGGTACAAAATATGTTAAGATATTCATAATGATAAAAATAGAGAAAGATGGAAAGGAATTGCTGAAACAAGTAATAGAAGTGGAATACAAAAAGGGAGGTGAGAGGAGGTCAATGAAATAAGGGAATGAAAGATAGAGTAATGAAATGGTATGGTATATGTTTTTAAATTGTTGTTCCTTTGCTTTGTTTAGGTTAATGTGTTAAGGTTGTGTTTTGTATTGTTTATTGTATTGTTTTTTCTTTTCTCTCTTTTTTTCTTCTCTGTTCTATTTTGTCTTTTTCTTTCACCTATTTTCTTCCTTTTTCTTTTCTTGTAAGTTTTAAAAGCAATAAAGATTATTTTTTAAAAAAAATAATAAAAAAATAGAAGTATGGCTTTGCTGACTGGGGCTGTGTAGGTGTAGTCCAAAAAGTACCTGAAATGCACCAGCTCCAAGACGGCTACTGTCTGGTGAAATATGGTGCCAGCACTTTATTTACTCTCTGACACAATATCAGAAGTGTTAATGAACAGTAAGCTCAATTAGTTGGGCCAGGATGTTTGCAGCCTGAGGTCAGAGAAGCCAGAATTACTTCATGAGGAAACATAGGAGCCATCTAAGCAAACAACTGCCTCTCCCCAAGCTGAAGAATATCACTGCTCATTGGTGATGCCCACTGGTAACATTCCCAGATGTCTTTGGGGGACACCAAGTCTGCTTAAAGTTGTATGGTACTGTTTTAACCTTAGATGGATCCATGGACTGGCCAAGCCTAACAAGTTTGGTTTGGTTCTCCTTCATCTTGTTTATCCATGAACTGGCAGGCAACACGTTCCAAACAGTCCTCTTTCTGGAGAGACTGTACACACTAAAGAGGCTTCATTTACTCGCCACGTTCTAGGTGACCACCCTTCCCTTTCCCTCCGGTGTGTTTACTCACTCAGTAATTTTACACAAAACCTAATATCGTTTATGGCTTTTTCATTGGTCTCTTTCTTGTTTGATATTCCTCTTGTCTAAAACCAATAAAAATGATTTTAAACAAGATTCCAGATTTGGAAAGATTTCAGATGCTTCCAACAGTTTGCTTCAGATTTTATCCTTTTGAATAGTGCAGGGATGAGGGAGAATTTGAGCTGGCTTATGTTTTTGCTGTGGGTTCATGCTGCACACCAGCTTTTAGCTCAGGGAAGGGTGCGATGCACTGCAAAGCACTTTGCATGTTTACGATGAATCATGGTTTGAGGCTCTAAGGGAAACCTGTTCTTGTGACAGCCGATGAGAGGCACCTCCTTTGAAAAAGCAACTTAAAAGAGCTTGCAACAATTGCCAGGAGTGACACTTAAACCTGGAAGTTGTAAATTCTTTGGAGCTTTCAGCACTAAAGAAACCACCCCATTTTGTAAGAGGAATTTTGTTCCTCTTTTGAGGACTATGAAGGAGGACTGAAAGAAATGGAAATGTTTTGAGTTTTCCAGGTTGGGTTGAATTGCCACTCTTAAAATAATGAACCTGCCTAGATTTTTTCCTCTCTGTTCCAGGCCCTTCTCAACAGTACCCCCTTGCAGAATTTTCAATGCTGGCAAAAAAATGTTTGATAAGGTCAGCGGGGCAGGTTACTCTGTAAATTGACTCAGTATCACGGGATTAAGGAGGGGGAATTTGGTATGCCTCATTTAAAATTAAATCATGCAGGGGAAGAAACCGAGGATAAAATATAAATTGTTAACGGAGACTAAGGAAAGAGGTGGCTTCTCTGTGCCAGATTTGAGATTATATTATGAGGTGTCCTGTCTTTACTGGCTCTGGGAGTGAATTGTCTTAAAGCATGTGGCTATCTTAGACTTGGAAGATCATGATAATAGATTTGTTTGGCATGCATATCTATGGTATGAAAAAACAAAAGTGCATAAAGGTTTCCTAAACCACTTGGTGAGAAAATCAATTTACTCAGTGTGGGGAAAGTATAAAAACTTATTGGAACAGAAAACACCTTGGTGGCTCTCTCCATTGGAAGCAAAATCTCTGAAAAAAGTTAATGCTAAAAGTGAGTGACTAAGTTTCAGTTGGCCAAAGTGGTCAAAAGTGGGCTAACTGGGGACATAACTGGGCCAAGTTGGCTAAGGGGACTGAAGTAGGCTAAGTGGACTGAAGTAGGCCACTTCAGTCACTTTAGCCCAGTTAGCAGAACAATTTTATTAAATGCTTTGTTTATTGAAACATGGCCAGAGAATGTCTCAAAAGCTATATGAAAAGGTTTTCATGTGAAGCAGCCAGGCTACAGTTCCATGTCGATTTGTGTGATCCTATACATTGTCTAGGGGACACGGGTGGTGCTGTGGGTTAAATCATAGAGCCTAGGGCTTGCCGATCAGAAGGTCAGCAGTTCGAATCCCCGTGATGGGGTGAGCTCCCATTGCTTGGTCCCTGCTCCTGCCAACCTAGCAGTTCAAAAGCACGTCAAAGTGCAAGTAGATAAATAGGTACCACTCTGGTGGGAAGGTAAACGGCGTTTCCATGTGCTGCTCTGGTTCGCCAGAAGCGGCTTAGTCATGCTGGCCACATGACCCGGAAGCTGTATGCCGGCTCCCTCGGCCAATAAAGCGAGATGAGCACCGCAACCCCAGAGTTGGCCCCAGAGTTACCTTTATACATTGTCTACTCAGAAGTAAGTCCCATTGAGCTCAAAAGAGCTTACTTCCAGGCAAGTGAGCCGTGGACAGAAGCCTGATGCCAACTTTGGCCTTTCCAATTCAGTGATAGCCACACAAATCTATTTCAGTTGCTCAAGCTGAAATGTATTATGAAGCAACAGGAACACTTGTACCAGGAAGCAGTTTCCACACTAGTGACATTTTCCTGCCTCCAGGTGCCATCTCTGCACGCTATTCAAAAAAGAAGAACTGAGGTACAAATAAGTGCAGTTTCTTTCATCACAGTGCTATATTGGAAGGATGGGGGGGACTGAACAGAACTAAAACTGCAGATTACACAGGAGACCAACTATCAACCAAGTGGACTTATTCTGGTTCTCTCATTCATATATATATATATATATATATATATATATATATATATATATGAAAGGAGGAAAGAATATACATTCTCTCCTTTTTACATTTTTTATGTTTTACAGTGGTGCCTCGCAAGACGAACGCCTCGCAAGACGAAAAACCCGCTAGACGAAAGGGTTTTCCGTTTTGGAGGCGCTCATAGAACGAATTTCCCTATGGGCTTGCTTCGCAAGACGAAAGCCCATAGGGAAATCTCCGGTCCGCGAAGCCTGGGCGCGCTGATCTCAGCGCGCGCAGGCTTCGGCATGCCGGCAACTCTCCGCGAGCAGCGGCAGCGCTGCCGCTGCTCGCGGAGAGGTCCGCGGAGCCTGGGCGCGCTGATCTCAGCGCGCGCAGGCTTCGGCATGCCGGCAACTCTCCGCGAGCAGCGGCAGCGCTGCCGCTGCTCGCGGAGAGGTCCGCGAAGCCTGGGCGCGCTGATCTCAGCGCGCGCAGGCTCCGGCATGCCGGCAACTCTCCGCGAGCAGCGGCAGCGCTGCCGCTGCTTGCGGAGAGGTCCGCGAAGCCTGGGCGCGCTGATCTCAGCGCGCGCAGGCTTCGGCATGCCGGCAACTCTCCGCAAGCAGCGGCAGTGCTGCCGCTGCTTGCGGCGAGGTCCGCGAAGCCTTGGCTGGACAGCTTTTGAAGGCAGGTGGGGGGACAAGACTTTCGCCCCCGCCAACCTTCAGAAGAGGTCCAGGACCTCTTCTGAAGGCTGGCGGGGGCAAAGTCTTTGTCCCCCTGCCTGCCTTCCCAGGGGCTTTAAATTGCCCCGGACAGCGGAGAAGTCCTCCGCTGTCCCGGGGCAATTTTAAAATGCCGCCCGCCAGCATTTTAAGATCGCCCCGGACAGCGGAGAAGCTCTCCGCTGTCCCGGGGTTTTTTAAAATGCTGGGGGTGGGAAGAAAAGCCCTTGTCCCCCCCCCAGCCTTCAGAAGAGGTCGGGGGACAGACTGTCCCCGGACCTGGTCTGAAGTCGGTTTCCCTAGGAACGCATTAATTGATTTTCAATGCATTCCTATGGGAAACCGTGCATCGCAAGACGAAAAACTCGCAAGAAGAAAAAACTTGCGGAACGAATTAATTTCGTCTTGCGAGGCACCACTGTATATTATTATAAGTTCTTAGAGTATTTTGTGCAAAAATTCAAACACATTGTTTAAAAAATTCCTTTCAGAACATAGGCATTTCTGTTTAGGTGGTTGCTCTGAAGTCTTGGTTATCTGCTCAAAAGCTAGGGCAATATTCAGAGGTCAGGGCTGGATCTAGAAACACCCAAGAAGGCTTTCAGTTTAAAGCGTTGTAAATTTAAAAAAGGGAAAGCGGGTAGAAAAACACAGGGCTCCATCTGGTGGCACAATGCTATATCGCACATACAAGACATATATATCGCTTTTTCTTGAGCAGTCTTGCTGAGTCCCAGGTGGAAAGATATTCTTCAAAATGATGTAAAATGACTGAAGAAGGTATTGCAAATGGGCAGGGTAGCAATCCTTTAAAAAACCATTAACATACTATGAAAAGTAGGCCCACCACCACACAAAAAAAGTTTTCTCTGACCAAAGAATATGAGGCAAAGAGTCCTATAAAGCATTTCCTATATCTGTTTTCCATTGACTTTGTTCCACGAATCAGAAATCTTCCTTTATTGTGGTTTTGCAAATCTGCCGAAAACAAGTATGCTTTGGGTGCGTTTGTGAAGGACATAAAAGAGGAAAGGATGGTTAGCCAGAATCTCCACAGGTTCCCGACGTGGACGCCTATCCTTGGGGCAATGGACTGCCTCTGCTTCTTCACCACCCTCCTCATCAACCTCAAATAGAGCATTGTGGATAAACTGAGTCAGAACCACGTTCTCTGTTGTAGTTGCTCCAGAGAAATCTCCCTTTTTTCGATCAACCAGGTCGATTTCAGTTCTCTTCTCTGAGCTGAACTTGGGAAGAGCCACTTCCACCTCTACGGGCTTCAGATCACAGGATAAGTCAAGAAGATGCTCATGGCTTAGTCCACCTTCCAGCTAGAGGAACACACACACAGAAATGGCAGTGATATCATTTCAGTCCCAGGTTGAATCAAAGCAATAGTGACCACAATAGATAAGTAGGTAATAGTACGTCCTTTCACAACAATATTATTAAATCCATATAAGTGTTATGGAGAAGAGCATCATGGATACTAGTGGCCGCCGAGACCATATAACACCGGTCCTGAAAGACCTACAGTGGCTCCCAGTACACTTCCAAGGACAAGTCAAAGTGTTGGTGCTGACCTTTAAAGCCCTAAATGGCCTCAGCTCCACCCCCATAGTTCCGCCCGAACACTGAGGTCCAGCACTGAGGGCCTTCTGGTGGTTCTCTCGCTGCGAGAAGTGAGGTTACAGAGAACCAGGCAGAGGGCCTTCTCGGTAGTGGCACCGCCCTGTAGAATGCCCTCCCATCAGATGTTGAGGAAATAAACAACCATCTGACTTTTAGAAGACATCTGAAGGCAGCCCTGTTTAGAGAAGTTTTTAATGTTTGGTGATTTATCGTGTTTTTAATGTTCTGTTGGGAGCCACCCAGAGTGGCTGGGGAAACCCAGCCAGATGAGCGGGGTATAAATAATAAATTGTTGTTGTTGTCGGCATAGGAGCAGGAATATGATTTACCTGTTGAAGAGCTTCCACACTGCAGTCTACTGGGAGCAATACAAACAAGCTCATTTCATTGTTTTTGTAGGGAATCTCAAGAACCCGGACTTGAACATTGCATAGGTCAATTGTCCCTGCATTGTAGACACCTTTCCTGTGCATCAGCTGCACGGTATGACAATCCTTCTGTAAAGAAAAGAAAAGGAGTAAACATTTAAAAGGAGCAACTTATTTTGCTTTAGGAGGTTCCTTCCTTCCCCTGATTCTGAATATCCAAGTTATAAAGGTGAGATTTCCACCCCAAGAGACTGCCTCTGGTTTGCTGAAAAAGGGAGAGATGGATAAAATGGGCACCATCTGTGAAACACATCTTTTTTTTAGAAGCCCCCTTGGAAGAAGAAGATATGCAAGATTGAGGGGAGAGGCCCAATATCTTCTGTTTATCCTGAATGAATAAATCTGGAAGAAATATAATGGTAAGGATCGCCCCTCTAAAATGCAAGAAGTAGTGAGCCTTCTAGTTCTTTGCAAGGCTACATGATTCCATCAAACTCCCAGAATGAAGAGAGAAGATTTTTCTCTTCCAAGATTTCAGCACCAATCCTGCTAAAATAAGTTATCCTCTTCCTTAATTGAAATAATGAGACTGGTGGTTAGTGGCCAAGTGAAACTCTGTTGTTACTCATGGGGCTTTAAGACATCTAAGCCTAGTTGTGTGGGAGCCATCATCTAAAAAGGGTTCAGTTCAGCGCTGCAAAGCCTTCCTTGCATCAAGTATTTCAAGTGACTTCCATCAAGACGCTATTCGGGCAACTGAACTCCCATGAAAATCAGGAAATTTGGAAGTTGCAAGGCTACCCACCTACTTGCTCTCATTGTCTCTGCACAACAGAAGCAAGGAAGCTAGACATATATTTACAACTCACCTCATCTGCATGATGTGGGTAAAACGGGGCTTCTTCTGTGAGCTCTTTGTCAAATTTCACTTCCCATTGTCCTTTGAAGTAGAGAGCATTCACCAACAGGAGCTGAGCAAAGCAATCAAAGCTTTCCTTGGGGAGAAGATCCTTGATTTTACCTAGCAAAGAAATGGATATAATAGGGTTAAGAAAAATATCCAGGTTTTTGAAATATTATATTCCATAGTATCACTTCAAATAAAAAAGGAGTGTACAACATGTATGCTAGCTATTTATGGAGGGTAACTGGAGCAGCTTGAGTAGATTAATTAGATTAAGTACTTAATTATACCCTGAGTGGTCCTTTGGGGTGCTTTAAGAAGCAAATAAAATATCATGAGCACCAGTTTTCCTTTTACCATGTTTGGAGGACAGCAGAGGCGACAATGGTTTCTTAGGTTATTCTTGGAGAGTAAAATAGATTTAGATGCTGATTTTTAGATCACTCAAATGAGGAACAACAAGTAGAAGCTTTCCTTTCACAAAAGTTGTCAGGAAGAATTTGTTAGTACATTGTGTGGTCTTACCATGTGTATGGATTTCAACCCAAAGGTTGATGAGTCTCCTCATTTCCTCGGGGGCATTGTGCAAATCAACTCCATCCACTTCAGTCAGGTACAGTTTCAGAGCACAGAATATGAATTTCTAGACAGAATTAGAAAAACTGAATCCATGTATCAGTAAATTTAAAAGAATAACAAATCGGTTATAACATCCAGGTTCGTCTCTGATTTGAGATTACAGTGGTACCTCAGGTGAAGTACTTAATTTGTTCCGGAGGTCTGTACTTAACCTGAAACTGTTCTTAACCTGAAGCATCACTTTAGCTAATGGGGCCTCCTGCTGCTGCCATGCCGCCGGAGCATGATTTCTGTTCTCATCTTGAAGCAAAGTTCTTAACCTGAAGCACTATTTCTTGGTTAGTGGAGTCTGTAACCTGAAGCGTATGTAACCTGAAGCGTATGTAACCTGAGGTACCACTGTATTAGAAGTACAGCTTCATGACCTCAAGGGTTTTGCATAATAGAAATGTTATTACTGATAGCCTTCTGGAAGCCAGCAGAGATTTTTATTGATAGGCTTCCTTCTTAACCACTGCTACTTCTTAACTACCTTGGATTTGGGTGTCCTTCCCTAGTTTCCGAACACTGGATTTTAGTTGTGGAGTACCGGTACTTCATGCAACAGGTAATCATTACTGTAATAGTTCCCTCTAGTGGCCCGGGAAGGAGGTACAGCATCACAGGTTGGCAGTAGATGAAGAACCCATTTATGTAGAATACAGTCAGTTGCAGGTTGGAATGTGCACTTGGTTCTCACAGTGCAGTGGAGCACCCATAGGGGCCAAAATTAGAGTTACCTGGATGAAGGCAATGTCCTTGTTTCCATAGAGCTTGTTGGCAAAGCTCAGGGTATAGTTGGCGCTGGGCTCATTAAGAGTAGCAAGGATTTTGCTGAATGCCGTATGGATTCCTTCAGGCTCCTCACACTCATAGCAGGGAACATCCTAAGGATTCAAAAAGAAGGAGGTTAATTCTCATGACTCTTGGCTGCTAATCTCATTATTAACTTCTCTATGTCCCGAATATGTGCAAACCAACAAGGCCAAGCGACCGAATTTTTAATTCTTTACTGGCAAAGCGCTCAGTTACATCAGCTCCTAACGTGCAAGAGTTTCAAATGATTTCACGCAATGTATTACTATAAGATCCAGTGAAAAGTTGGAAGGAAATACACAAATCCAGATTTAAAATCCCTGCCCAGAAGTGAAATTCACCGGATGACCTCGGGTCAGTCACTATATCTGTAACATTGATCTAGATCAGACTTCCCAAGTATTTCACAACTTAGGCATTATGGCAAGGTGGTTCAGCTCAGAGCAAGGAGGTGCGTGGCAAAAGTCTCATCTGCTGTCACTAGGTTTTAAATGTGATGGTTTAGGATGGGTTTTCGGATTGGGACAGCTAGCACCTTTATTCTGTGCCTGCAATGAAACATCTCTGTCAATAGGTTCTTCAATTCCAGTTCAGTTAGAGCAGCGCATCCAACTCCTAAGAAACTGCGATCTACTACCAGTATAAATTAACTGGCAGTGATGTATCCATTGTCATTGGAGTGGGGAGGAGTGTGCATTTGGGGGGGGGGGGTTGGCAGAGTTGTTGAGCTTCTTTTGGGAGGGGAGTGGACAGTTGTAGAGTTTTTTTGAGGGGGTAGACAGAGTTTCTGAGGTTTATTTGGGACGGGGGTGGGGACGTTACTTGCCCGTGATCAACCATGATTGACCAGGATCACGCAGATGATCTACCTGTAGATCACGGTCGACCTGTTGGACATCACTGAGTTAGAGGAAAGGAATAAGATATCTTCACTGGCAGAAGATTGAGAATCGTGGACTCAGGGTCAGAGAATTATAAAGCGTCAAAATCGAGGTGTGGAAAATATGGAAACAATGAGGAAAGGCAGGACTGAGATGTGGAGAGATGCTTCAGAGATCCAGACCGTGGGGAGCTCTGAAAAATTAATAATTATAATTTGGACTATAATTTAGTCTTTTTTATTTTAGTTTTCATTTTAATTGGAGTATTACGATTGGATATATTAATTGGATGTTTTTTATTGGAAAATCAATAAAAATGATTAAAAAGAAATCTTCATTGGCATAAAAACACATGAACCTTTCAAAACGTCCCGTAAACCAAGTGCTGCGTTCAACTTATTGCTAATTATCTCCTTGTATGAGCGGAATAACTTCCACTTGCACAGTGGGACTTTCCTCCCTCTTTTCACCTGGGCCTACCAAATCTGTTCTGGTCCCCGCTTTAACCCTCTGGAGCAGATTTGGGGGTGGCATATTTGGGATAGTCTTGGGTGGTAATCCCAGTGCACAAGCAAAGGTCATTTCACTTCTGCAATTATTTAGTTAAATTCTGCCCAAGATTGCACCAATACTGCAGAGGAAGATGCAAATATTTGTTATGTTCTTGTGCCTGTTTCACTTGAGTTTTACATCTGAGTATTTTGCCGCAAATGCATTTGTGGAAATGATGTCTGCACTCTCATGTGAAGAATTGATTGAACACTCTTCCTTCAAATATATTTCCCCACAAAATGGTAACATGGCTTCAGTTGGATAGGCGAAATAACAGCAGCACTTAAGAACTTAAAATATATGGTTTCCTAGGTCTCATACACCACAAGGTGTCACTGTCAATCAAACACAGAGTAGATCTCTGCTTGCATCTCAAACTTGCAAATGATTTGACATGTTTGGAACATCCTATCTGAACCATGCCAAATTAATGATGAAAACATCTATTGAGCTTCAGGCAACCTGAAGTTTGAGTTACTATTACATTCACTTGATAGTAACAAGTCACATTGGGATTGAGAAACAGAGGAAAGGGATATATTCTACATAATCATATATTTAGGGTTGCAATATTTCAAAATCCAGACACAAAATGTTTTCTTTTCCTTTTCCTTTTCTGCAAAATCTCCAAAGAAAAAGAAGTTTGTTAGCTATGGGGGGGGATTCACCCCCCCCCAAAATGTCTGGTTTTCCCAGACAATTTGACCTATTTGAGAAAAAGATTGCATGGACACAATTTTCAACAGACGAATCCTGGCTATGTCCAGGAAATTCCAGATGTATGGCAGCCCTACATATATTGTCTATGAAGCGATTCAGTAATATTACATCTCTACACATGTATCAGCTTTTGTATACAGCCTTTCTTCCAGGCATGCACATTCTAAGACATCCTTGTTTAAGAAGCTCTTTTAGGATTGTAATGAGAAAGTAAATGTTCAGATTGAAGAAATAATCAAATAGGCTCAGTACATTTGAGGAATCCCTTTGGAATCGGAAATAGCATTTCTATAATAATTTTCAGAAACTGATCAACAACTTTCCCAGAACGATCTCGTTGCTTACCTACTACTGCATGACTGGAAGACTCTAAATGCAGTTTAGATCTGGATCTCACAACTATGGGACCTAATATTAATGGACAAACTGACACAACCCATGTGTGAGAGAGCTGAACAGACAGGAAAATCACTGATTTTCAATCAACCTGGGATAGTTTTATCACATATGCAGCATCAAGAGTAGTTATGGGCCTCTAAGTGCACATGGAAACTTGTTATAAACACCATAATTCATAATTTGTTATAATCACTTTAATTCAGTTTAAGAACTGAAATGACTTAAAAGTTAAATGTAATTAAATAGATATCTGGTGCCTCTGTATGTGTGGATGGTGGTTTATTTAATACTAATTTTTGTTTAATTAAATAAAAGAAAAAGGGGAGGGGGAATTTAAATGAATTGTAACCAGTGATTATAACAATACAGTGGACCCTTTGGATATGAATTTAATTCATTCTGGGGGTCCGTGCGCACCCTGAAAGAAGAGGCACTGTTTCTGCGCATGCATATGCGGCAAAACCCGGAAGTATACACTTCCGGGTTTGTTGTGTTCACAACCCGAAAGTTACATATCCAGAGCGGTATGTAACCCAAGGATCCACTGTAACTGTAATAATTGGTGTGGACCAGTGATGGGAAGCTATTTGCCAGCGAACCTAGTTTGAAGGCTGCAGCTCTTCTTCTTGATTATTCTCACCTTCTCGACCGCAGCTGCCTGTTCATTTCCAGATGCATAAGCACTCAGGCCTAGAGCCGAGATGAGGTTCACAGGGCACGGCAAGACATTGTTATCTGTGAGCTCTTGGGCCACACGGTGAAAAAAGTCAACAGCAAATTTAGCATTGGCTTCAGGCAAGGTGGTCATGATGGATTTCAGAAGCTCTAAGGGAAGACCAGAATGAGTCATTGTTTACAAGCTCTATCATGCTCAGAGTATTTTCTTTCTGTTTTGGGGGCTGCCAAAGTGTTTTTTGTGTGGCGATTCCCGCCTCCCCCCAATTGGAATAAATAAAGATACAGGACACCATTGATTAAGGTTAATGGGCAAAAATTGGCCACAACTTTATTGATTACAGGTAAGAGCGGTATTGGCTTTAGGCATTGGTCCTATCAGACTATCCAGCTTCAGCCTGTTAGCATGAAAACCGGAAAGGGTTAACACCAGCAGGGGGAGCCCTGGGGTCACCGCTCGGGGGCATGCTTTAGGCCCTGGCCTCCATAGGTTTCGGACGAGGCAACGCCCCCCGGAATCTACATAATAAACACATCTACATAATAATACCCCTACCAATGCCTAACCGCCATAACCAAGAGATGTTGTGACGATTTGCTATGAGGTAGGCGGAAAAAACCAAATGGCCAGTGCCAATTCACCAAGTGGAAAAAATTCCTACCAGGCCCCTTAACGGCAACCAACCAAAGTCCATAGCAATGTCAGAAGGAAAACCTAAAGGGTGGGTGGGAAACAGAATCCGCAGCTGGGACGAAAAGGGGAGATCCCTACGCCGCGCCAGCCTTAAATGACCCAGGCCACGCCCCCAGAGCGAGCTGATTGGCTGGCTCTGGGGCTGACGCGGCCCGAGTATTCCCCTGGTCGCGCGGGGCTGCAGCCAGCCCTGCGCGATTGTTCGGGGCGTGAACCAGCAACACCACCTCCTCCTTATTTCAGAATTGGCTTTCTCTGTACTTGGTTGGTGGTGTGAAACTAAGCATGCTCAGAGTATTTTTGTTTTGTTTTTTTGTAGTCCATGGAAGCTTATTAATAATAAATTTGTTAGACTTTAAGGGCATAATTTTGGTTCCTTATTTTATGTATTCCTTTTTTTGAGGGGGGAGGGGGACCCCTATTTTGAGAACTGCAACAGAGCCTCCCTGCCACTTTAATTTGGCCTTGGGGGGAAAAGGAGAGCTACTCACCTTGGATTCAGTTGCGATGATAAGAGGCTGGCAGGTGAGTGTGATGCTCTCCTCCGCTGAGCTGCTGGCATTTATATGGATCTCCTTACACCCACGCAACCATTAAACAGATTTGCATTTCTAAATCAGCAAAAAAAATTGATTAAAACAAATTTACATAACGAAAACAGTGTGAGGCAAAACCTGGTCATTTGTAATAATCAAACCTAATCATCACAGATGACTACATATGCTGCAGATATGACTTTGTATAATTACATATATTTCAGCTGCTGCAAACAGGTGGATTACGACACACCCTTTCAGCAATGAAGGTGTTTGTGCATTGTCAGTGCGCTCACGGAACTCCAAATAATGACTCTTGAAAACATCCTCATTATAAAACTATCCCTTAAAGCCAATATTATTTTACCAAGGGAATCCGTTGAAAGAATGGGTGTCCCTTTAGGCTAGAAATGCAGAGGGTTGCTTCCTTGTTCCCCAAATTCCCCTTGAATGCCCTCTGGTGCTGTGAAAAATGACAGGGCTTTGTACACACTGGACAGTATTCAGTTAATGTGTTTGGTCAGCAAAAGGATTTCCACTTGCTCAATGGGACTTCCCCCTCCCCCAAGACCTTTGGAGGAGGAGGACTCGAGTATACAGTATTTGGCCAGGATTCCTTGTTTGCGCTATTTGTACATTATTTTTAGTTGCTATTCAGCTGTTTTGATTAGTTTGCATTTTGTTGATTTTGTTTTGCACTACCTAAAGGAGGGTGCGTCAGAAATACTGTCTGCATAGGTAGGTCTACGTGAGTGTAAATCTTGGGAACAAAATAATAAAAATAAAGAGAAGACAAACAATATGCAGATATTACAACATCATCGAAATAGGTCCAGTAAACAACAAATTACAAATTCTGTCATAATGTAAACAAAACCACAGTGCCAAAAAATTAAGATTTCCAATTTAACCATTCACCTATCACTAGACAGCACAGTTGGAAACATGCAAATTATCCAGTCTTTATCATGGTGGCTAGGGTTGCCATATTTCAAGAGGTAAAAATCTGGACACAAAAAGTTGTTGAGCTTTTTTAAGGCAATCGCCCAATAGCCCCTCTGCCCACGCCAGAGCCAGAGCCTGAAACTGTGCCTGGGACCCCTGCACAAGAGCCCAAGTCTGAACCAAATCTAGGACATCTGCTTTAAAATGTAAAATCCCCCCTGGATGGGCATGTAAAATGGTAAAGGGACCCCTGACTGTTAGGTCCAGTGACGGACGACTCTGGGGTTGCGGCGCTCATCTCGCTTTACTGGCAGAGGGAGCTGGCGTACAGTGACATGTGGTCAGCATGACTAAGCTGCTTCTGGCGAACCAGAGCAGCACACGGAAACGGCGTTTACTTTCCTGCCGGAGTGGTACCTATTTATCTACTTGCACTTCATGCTTTCGAACTGCTAGGTGGGCAGGAGCTGGGACAGAGCAACGGGAGCTCACCCTGTCATGGGGATTAGAACCACCGACCTTCCAATCGGCAAGCCCTAGGCTCTATTGTTTAACCCACAGCGCCACCTGCATCCCGGATGGGCATGGAAGACCCCCTAAAAGGGGACATGTCTGGGAATTCCTGGATGTATCGCAACCCTAGATAATGACACTGGCCATCTCCTCTGAAGATAAGATGCAGACCCATTTCATGGAACAAGGAAGACAACATTGTGCTGTAGTGGTTAAGAACGATAGACTCGGAATCTGGTGAACCGGGTTTGCTTCCCCGCTCCTCCACATGCAGCTGCTGGGTGACCTTGGGCTAGTCGCACTTCTTAGAAGTCTCTCAGCCTCACAGAGTGTTTGTTTTGGGGGACAAAGGGCAAGGAGATTGTTAGACACTTTGAGACTCCTTCAGGTAGTGATAAAGCGGGATATCAAATCCAAACTCTTCTTCTTCTTCTTATATCAAGGAAGAAGAAAAAAATAGATGGGAATTGATTGGTAAAGCGTTCATTATACATCCCACACACTACATCCCACAGAGTGTTTGGACACATCCAGTGTTAGTGTTTTTTCTGTGCCAATCAGCTCAGGGTTGCCATATTTCAAAAAGTTTTGCAAAATCACCGACATCGGCTGCCATACATCCAGATTTCCTTGAACATTTCGACGATTTCTGCCTGGACACTGCTATCCGGAATCACTGTTATTGCTTCTTTCAGAGACCTGCATAGTCTTCAAAGACTTTCAGAGACTTATAAGACTTATGTTTATTTGGTTTTATGTTTTCAAGAGAATCCATTAAGAGTGCATATTTTGTGACTTTCAGAGATTCATAAGTTTTCTGTTTATGTGATTTCATATATTTCATATTATATAAAGAGTGTATATTGATATTGTATCCTTGTATTTGGTCATTATGTTGCCTTGGATGTTACTGACTATTGTTTGCAACACAGGGGTTAAATTGTTTGGTTACTAGACACTGCTTGCAGCTGTAGTATTCCGGATATTTCCAGGAAATTCTCGATGTATGGCAACTCTAAGTCAGCTGCCATTTTACTTCCTACAATGTTTGGACAGTGTCATTGTATGGTTTGGTCACTAGGTGGCAATGGAGTTATTCATGTCTAGATGGGAGCCAGAAATGTCTTCTTGTTCTTCTCCAGTTGTTGTTTAAGAGAGCAAGTTGCTAGGCAAGAAAACTTCATTATGTAACGTAAGCTTTTCATGGCAGGCTGGGCATTGTGGGAAATGTAAATAGCAGCTTCCAGCCACCCAGTCAGCTTCCTGTGCTCCCACATCCCCACTCCTGCCACTGCCACAGAGTGAAAACATGAGCAGGGGACCACTGTTTCTAAAGTGAGCTTAAAAGAACTGGATGTTCCCGTCTGCTTTTAAATCATGTGGCTATTGTATTTAATAATAACAACAAGTATAGAGTGAGTGATTTTTAGTGCTAGTACTCACTGGTAAGGAGTACCATCACTTTTTCTTTGTTTCCCATGATAGCCATTTTTTTCTGGTACACGTGGCAATTTTATCAGAAGATTAGTATGGACACCTAATTTTTTTAAAACCAAAAATATGTGCTCTCTCTTTTTCTTTCTCTTTGCATATATAAATGTGTGTGTGTGTGTGTGTGGTAAATAAAGGCATATATAATAAAATCCCCACTGTGCCTCATTTCTGAAGGAAACACAAACACTGGATAAGCACCTGGACCCCTGAGATCCTGCACCACTGTAGAGAAAGGGGTGGTGTGCAACACTGGTGCTAGAAGTGGGATCTGCGTTTCCTGGAGGAAAGGCCTGAGGGCTAAGAAGAAGAAGTATTTATTATTTATATGTTGCCCATCTGACTGGGTTGCCCCAGCCACTCTGGGTGGCTCCCAACAAAGAAACAGTAAAAACACAATACAACATCAGCTAGGTGTGCCTGAAGTAAAAAAAATGGGAGCAAGAATAGCCACACAGATAAAACTGATGAGGGAGCAGCAGAGTGAGCAGCTTGAGAGAATGAAGAAAAGGCAGAGCCGGAGGTTTGAGCAAATATTCCAGCAGCAAAGCCAGCAACAGGTACAGCAGTTTGACAGAACAGGCTAGCTGCTGACAGAATGGGGAAGAAACTGAGTGAAGAGGGGAAAGTGACTACAAGCGAGGTGAGATCCCTGCCTTATGAAGTGCTGCAAGGGGTTGGAAGTGACCCAGGAGCCCTGCTGGAAGTCCGGAGCATGGCCGAGCAGCAGAGGGGCTGAGACTGCAAAGAGATGCAAGCTGTAGTGGAAGACGACAACTCAGAGAAGGACCGGGCTCCCTGGGATTGGGGAGCAGGAGGAATCTGAGGTCCGTGAGAGCATGCACAAGGAACATTCAGCTCCTGCTGAATGGGAATTCGTTCTTCAGGAATTGGGGGAAAAGCTAGGGCCTGTGAGAAAGGCAGCGGTTTTCTGTGTGGCCAGGAGAAGCCAGAGGAGCAGCAGGTGAATGTGCCAGCCCCTTCGGCCACGGCCCAGTCTGGGAGCTCACACAGGTGTCCAGCGACCCACCTCCGGTGGAGCTGTGGGCACGCAAATGCATCAGCAGAGTAACAGCAAGAAGCGAGGCTGTGAAGGCATTGGCATCGCGAAAGCTTCCTTGATTTACAAATCAAAACAACAAACATGGCTAGTGTGAGCAGCAGCTTCACACACCTGCTCTGTCCAAAAGCAGCTAGCAAAGAGAAAGTACAAAAGCCCATAGGACGGAAGTACAGTGTCGAGTTTCATTCCCACACTCCTATCACAAAGGACTGTAAACAGTGGATCATGAGATCCAGCAGCAATGGAGAATGAAAATACTAACATCAGGCTCCTGATCAATTTGCGATGGAAAAAGAAATTGTTCTGAGAGTGTTTCCCTGTGTGCTTGAGAAAATGGTGGTGCCTTTCTTAGTGTGGGAAAAACCCAGGAACAGAGCAAGGCTTGTGTCCCTGCAGAATCAGGTGAGGTTGAAATTACCAGGGAGTTTGCCCCTTGAACAGCTACTTGAACAGAGAACTATGTGTAAATCCCAAGACAAAGCACCTGCTCAGTGTGAGGGATGGGCAGGGGTTTGTGTTCTGCTTTCTGAGACTGTTTACTACAGGGGTAGGCAACCTAAGCCCCGTGGGCCGGATCCGGCCCAATCGCCTTCTCAATCCAGCCTGCGGACAGTCTGGGAATCAGTGTGGTTTTTATATGAGTAGAATGTGTGCTTTTATTTAAAATGCATCTCTGGGTTATTTGTGGGGCATAGGAATTCATTCATATATTTTTTTCCAAAATATAGTCCGGCCCACCACATGGTCTGAGGGACAGTGGACCGGCCCACGGCTGAAAAAGGTTGCTGACCCTTGGTTTACTACAATCATCCTTCCAGCAAATCTTAGCAATAGGTTTCTTTTAAACACTGTTGACTGGGGGGGGGGGGTTTACATGTTTCTAGTGATGGGAACCCACTGATAATTTTTAGAAACTGAACTGATAAATGATTTTTAGGAACTGTTCTGTTGGCGGAGTGTGTTTTTAGAAGTTCTCCTCTGCTGTAGGAAAGCAAAAGAAATAAGAAGGTCTGGTGGGGCATCTCAATACTGGGAACTGTAGGAAAGGAATGGGCTGCTACAATGTTATGGTGTTATGATTTGCTTTATTATTATTATTATTATTATTATTACAACTATTTTAAATGCCTTTACTAACTTTTCTGTAATTCTTTTACACATCTGGTGCAGGTGTGCTTTTCTTAGAGGAGGGTAACGCTACAGGTTTTGGGTGCCAGGGTTTGTGGGTGCAAGGCACCACTAATTTATAGGGTTAGTAAATGTTAGAAATAATTTAAAAAGCTTGGATTATTAACCTGGGTGACAAATGTTAGATTTGGCAGTGTTAAAATTCAGGCAGTATCAGTTTCCTGCTCAGGAGGAAACTCACCTGGAGAGAAGAGCCATCATGTAGTATAAAAGAAAGCAATAAGTAATTAACGAAGCGGTTACTCTGGGCTGGACAGCAGAGGAGTGTGAGCCCCTTCTCCCATCAGGGAATGGTGAACAGAAGCAAAAGCCAGGCCCAGAGCTTCAGGTTTGGATGGCGTAGGCTGGGGGTGTTGAATATAGTAATTTAATTCACTGAAATTGTAAACGCTTGTATGCATTATTATGTGTTTAAATTTGAATGATTGGTATGTGAATTCTAGAGAGATTTCTGGTAGTTCGCACGTGATTGGCTAACGTTGGTCACATGGGAGGTATCTAGTGAAGGAGAGACTCCATTTTAGAATCTACTGCGAACGCTGCTAAGTTGAATCGAGTGTTGGAGTGCTTCTTCTCTGCTTGAAAGAAAGAGAGCAATGCTGCAGGAGAAGATAAAAGTGGACCTCTCTCATAGGCACTGCAACTCACGGCCTAACTGAGATACAGAAGGCTAAAAGGGCTGAGCTCTGAAAAGAGAGGAAAAATACAGTTGTTTGGAATAAAAGACTGTAAGCCCATGCTTGGATAAGCATGTGACTCTAAATATTATGTTTCCATTCATCTATAAGTTTCTGCAAGTAAATGTTTTGAATGTTAAAGTCTGGGTATTGTTTAATTTCCAAAGAAGGGCGTCAGTCACATATATGATCTGAGCTTCTTAGCTGTGTTTTCGCTACAGGGAAGAGATCCATGGAGCCTGTTAGCAGAGAGAGGGAGAAGTGGGGGCAGAACACTCTGTGAGCTGAGGGTGACAGGCTGGAAAAAAGGGACCGAGATGGCACAGTGGATTTCTCTGCCTTTAGACCAAAGCCTGCTGCACCTATGAAAGGAGCAAAGGACCTTCTCCATTGTTAGATCCTCCAAGAAGCTCTCCAGCACCCTCCTGGCCCAGAGCCACCAGACAGTGCAGAGAGCACAAGAATACATGCATGAGCTGCTGGAATACAAAGAGCACAACAGACATACCAATCTCTTGGCTGCTGGGGCCTTTCAAAGTCGCTGCCAATCTGCCTGTTGAAGCTTCAGAACCTGCAGAGTGTAATGCTGGAACTCCCTCCACAGTAAACCAAGGTTGTAAATAAAACCATATTGACACTACAGTCTCCTCTGTGCCTCATTTCTGAAGCAAACCCAAACCCTGGGTAAGCGCCTGAACCCCTGGGATCTCGCACTGCTGTGGCGATAGGGATAGCATGTAACATTAAGGGCTGGGCTAGGGAGAGCCTGGTGGTTTAGATTCAGAGGCACGGGGGTCTGTATTTGGTCAGGAAAAGTTCCCTGCGCCTGATCCAGTGTATCAGGAAGTCAAACCCTGCCCCACTTGTTTAAACTCTTCCAGAGGCAATGGCTAGCTTCCAGACATCTTTCTTTCCTTCAGAGGCATTCTTAGGAAAGGAAAGGAAAAGTCTGGGGCAATTGGAGCTGCCTGTCTGTATTTCTGTGGGAAGTTTTCCTCCCAGGAAATGAATATTTTGTTGCATTATGTGGGGTCAAATACACGGTTTGGCATTTGGGTTACAGACTCAACCTCTACCTTATTCTATGTTTGGGGAAAAGTTACTGATTTCTGTGCCGCCACCTCCAAATACCACTCATCTTGTGATGTTGTGCACAACAATTCTTCAGTTTTTGAAATGCGAAGGAGGGGATCCTTATCTTATGGGTTGACTTTAGTCATAAAAATTCTTGTCTGAGTGCCTGGGGAAGATTTGTCATCACAATCCTTGGGAACTCGTACTCTACAATATATCTCACAGGAGTGAAGACTGCAAAACAAGTTTTATTAAATGCTTTGTTTATTCAGATATTGTGCAGCTTCAGTACAAAAGATGCAAGAAAGTTTCATAAGTTTCAAAGAAAAGCTATAATCTCACAAGCAACGTGGAAAGATTTTCATTTCAAAGAGCCAGACTGCAGTTTCCTGTTTCATAGTGTGGTCCAATACATGTCTACTCAGAAGTTCCACTGAATTCAGCAGGGCTTACTTCCAAGTAAGTAGATCTAGGATGGCAGCCTCATGCTGCTGACTTCAGGCAAGATAATTCAGTAGAAGGCATACAATTTTGCTTCAGTTGGTTAGGCAGATTTGAATCAAGAAAGAACAAGACAACTTTCATCAAGAAGCAGATTCCAGAATAGTGACATTTTCCTGACTTCAGTCTCCACCCAGGTGTTCCATTTAGAAAAATTTAGTTGTGGCCCAAAGAAGTGTAGCTTCTTCCATCGCAGTGCTATAGTGCAAGGGGAAATGCACTTACCGAATATTGTCATTTATCAAACATCTTATTGAAAAGATGTAAAATGACAGGAGAAGGCAGGTAGAGCAACAATCCTATAAAACACTGTTGTCATACCATGAAAATTAGGCCCGCCACCCAATGAAAGTTCTCTTTGCCCAAAGCTATGCAAAGGTTGGCCTTGCTGAGTAAAGAGGAGAGGGGAAAACAATATTCTTCTATAAAATATTTTCCGTATCCATTTTCCATTGATTTTGTTGCATGAACTCTTCCTTTATTCTGGCTTAGCAAATCTACCGAGAGCAATGATGCTCTGGGTGCAATTGTGCACGATGAAATAGAGGAAAGGATGGTCAGCCCGAATCTCCACAGGTTCCCGACGTGGACGCCTATCTTTGGGGCAAGGGACTGGCTCTGGTTCTTCACCACCCTCCTCATCAATCTCGATAGCAGCATCATGGACCAGCTGAGTCAGAGCCACGCCTTCTGTTGTGGTTGCTCCAGAGAAATCGGCCTTTTCGTGGTCAGTCAGATCCGGCAGATTCAGGTATTCGTTGGCTTCAATGCTCTTCTCTGAGCTGAACTTGGGAATGGCCAAATCCACCTCAGTGGCCTTCAGATGACAGGACAGGTCAAGCAGATGCTCGTGGCTAAGTCCATCTTCCAGCTAGAGGAACACATAGAAGTTATAGTGATATCATTCCAATCCCAGATTGAATCAAAACAAGGGTGAATACAATAAGAAAAATATATCAACAGACTTTTTCCACACCAGTATTATTGAAATCGAGGGCCAGAGATGGATAAGGTGAATAAGGCCATGGACAGTATCATAGGAATGGAAAGATCATTTACCTGTTCAAGAGCTTCTGCATTGCAGTCTACTGGCAGCAGTAGAACGAAGGTCAGTTCATTGTTCTTGTAGGGGATCTCAACAACTTGGACTTGAACATCGCATAGGTCAATTGTCCCTGCATTGTAGACACCCTTCCTGTGCATCAGCTGCACGCTGTGGCATTCCTTCTGTGAAGAAAAGGAAAAAAGGAAATATTTAAAAAGAGAGAAGGAACTTAGTTTGCTTTGGGAAGTTCTTTCTCAGACATCATTTGCAAAAAAACTCCCAGGGAAAAAGAAAAGGGAGACAGCAGATTTTTCTCTTTCATAATTTCAACAATGATCCTGCTAAATTTAGTCATCTTCATGCCTAACTGAAATCAATTGGACTGGTATCAAGTGGCCAAGTTAAACCCCATTGTTAGCAGTGGGGCTTTAGGACAGCTAACTCTAGTTTTGGGTCATCATCTTCAACTAGAAGTGGTGACGACTGTCCAGCATTGCAGAGCCTTCCTTGCACCAAGTGTTGCAAGTGACCTCCATCAAGACCTTATTGGGGCAACTCAACTCCAACACTAAACATGTATTCTGGAAGTTACAAGGTACATTGTCTCTGCACAAAAAAACAAGGAAGCTAGGAATATGTTTCTAACTCACCTCATCTGCATGGTGTGGGTAAAACGGGGCTTCTTCTGTGAGCTCTTTGTCAAATTTCACTTCCCATTGTCCTTTGAAGAAGAGAGCATTCACCAGCAGGAGCTGAACAAGGCAATCAAAGCTGTCCTTGGGGAGAAGGTCCTTGATCTTACCTGGGAAAGAAATTGTTACAATGGGTTTTTTGGGAATGGGAGTGGGTTTTAACTAGTCTACTGCATTCCTCCAAATAAAATGTGAGCATACAATTTGTAGTTCACGGTTGATGGAGAATAAATGGAACAGCTTGAATAAAGTACTTAATTATACCCTAAGTAGTCCTTTGCAACAGAATGGGAGCGTTTAACTGTTTTTATAAGCAAATAAAATAATATGAGCACCAGTTTATTACAACAAATCAATCCTACCTTTCCTCATTTTTGAAGGAAAGCAGAGGCCACAGTGTGCTCTTAACTTATTCTTGGGGAATAGGAAAGATTTAACTGGTTTTTTGAACCAGCATCAGAAGAACAAAGACCGGAGACCTCTGTATCATGAAGGTTATGTCAGGAAGAGGTCATTAGTGCATTCTGTGGTCTTACCATGTGTACGGGTTTCAACCCAAAGGTTGATGAGTCTCCTCACTTCCTCAGGGGCATTATGGAAATCAACACCATCCACTTCAGTCAAGTACAGTTTCAGAGCACAGAAAACGAATTTCTGAACAGAACAAGAAGACATTGGATCCATGTATCAGTAAATATATAACAAAACAGAAAATGTCCAGAGTATTCTCTCGCATTTGAGTACTGCCTAATGCCCTTAAAGATTCAGTGCCTCTTTGTAGTTTCAGAACACTAAATTTTGCAGGTGGAGACTTTCATAGAGCAGATAATCATTACCGTAGTAGATCTCTCTGGTTGCCTGGGAATGAGGCACAAGTTTGACAGACACCAGTAGATGATGAACCCATTTATGGTAGAATACAGTCAATTGCAGGTTGCATTTTGCACATGGTTCTCACAGTACAGTGGAGCACCCATAGGGGCCAAAATTAGAGTTACCTGGATGAAGGCAATGTCCTTGTTTCCATAGAGCTTGTTGGCAAAGCTCAGGGTATAGTTGGCGCTGGGCTCATTAAGAGTCGCAAGGATTTTGCTGAATGCCGTATGGATTCCTTCAGGCTTCTCACACTCATAGCAAGGAACATCCTAAGGATTCAAAAAGAAGGAGGTTAATTCTCACAATACCTGGCTTCTTAAGGGTATATCTTGTGAGAAAGAAAACTTACAAACTTATCTTAAGCAACAAAGCTTGCTTGAAAGTCGACCTCAGGTATGCCTACTTTGAAGTAAACATTTATCACATCTGAATCCCTCCAGGCAGCCCAGCTCATCTTTCTTGTGATTTACTCAATTTTATGCTCACGGCAATGTTAATGGGGGTTGATGGTGACTGACTCAACATCACCCAGTGAACTTCACATCTAAGCAAGAATTTAGCGGTTTCATTCCTACTTTCCTGTGGATTTTATCACAAGTTGTGTGGTATCATTTAGAATGCTTAGAGATAACCCCCTGAATGTCTATTTGTGTGTGTGTGATTATTATTATTTTGATGAAACTCTCCAGATGTTTCACAACTTACGCGTCTAGGACAACGTGGCTCGGGCTCGGGCTCAGGGCAAGGAGCTGGGCGGTGAACGACTCGTCTCTTGTCACAAGGTTTAGGTTCAGGACGGGGTCTCGGTTTGGCACCACCAGCACCTTGGGTCTGCAATGAAGTTATAAAATGTCTGCATCCATAGGTAGTTCAGTCCCAGCCCATTTACAATAAAGGAATAAGAAATGTTGGCATGAAACCAAATTAGTTTTTCAAACATCAGCCAATCCTTGTTCTGATGTTGCACTGACATCAGACACATATATTGATGCTCTAATCCTCCTTCATCTCAAGGAGCGACGTAAACTTCACATCCAAATATATTTACGAAAATGACATTTGCACTTTTAAGAGCTGATTCAGTGCTCAAGGCCCCCTTTTCTTCCTTTAGAGATGTTTTTGCCCAACAGGCATGGATTTGATGTTGAGATAACAGGAGATAATACTAATATGCAAGCTGGGTTCTATGGGTAGGGGAGGAATACACCTTTATCCAAGCGTTCTTCTACATACCCTTCTTAGTCTGGTTGTTGACTGTCCAAGGCTCCTGCTTCTGGGTTTGTCACACTCTTTCACTTCATCCCAATGCAGGACCTTGAATGAAATTGAAACATTGCTTCAGTTGCACAGGCAATATTATAACAGCAGCACTTATTATCCTGATATGTCTATTAGGGACGATTCACATGACTCTTAGATCATATGTGACATTGGCAGGATGGATATCTTCCTGCATACTAATCTTTGAAATTATTCAACATATTTGGCATATGATATCTGAATCATGCTAAATTAATGATCCAAACATACATACAAACTTCAGGCAATCTATGGTTCTGCCTTGAACTAACAGCAAGAAATCACATATAGGATGAGAACTGAAGGAATTAAATCTTAAATTTAGTTCTCCACGTTTTGCAATAGTTGCTATTTCATTTTTATTTTTTATTTTTTAAAAAAGATCCATATGAAGATTCACAAGCATTTTAGTCTCCTAATAAACCCATTTTTAGATGCATTTTCTTTTACTAATGTACACATTTTTGCAAGCAATTTCCCCAATATAATGCATGTGTTATGCTACTTTCGCTAATATCTTCATTTTTATGCACATTTCCCCCTAATATATGAATTCTTGTAAACATTATTTTTACAAAACAAGTACAGGTAAGTACAAATCTATTAAAAAAGAGCTGTTTTTGGCTCATACATTGTTTTGAAAACTACAGATTTGGAAGATTCCATTTGGAAGATTTCCATTCCATTCAACCAAATTTCTCCTCCATGACTAGTGATGCAATATTCTTTGATCTCTGCACATTTATGGGATTTTGTGCAGAGACGTTGACTGGGCTTATTACTGGATCAAGCCACAGTGAGGTCATTTCTCAACTTGTATCAAATATGACCGGTGATGGAAAGGTATCTGCTAATGATGAGCCCAGTCTGAAGGCTGCATCTCTACTGCTTGATTAGACCCACCTTCTCGATCTGATCTGCTTGTTCACAACTAGATGCATAAGCGAGTAGGCCCAGGCCTGCGGTGAGGTTCACAGGGGAGAACACGAGGTTGTCGCATGGGTGCTCAGTGGTCAACACTTTGAAAACGTCAACGGCGGATTTAGCATTGGCTTCAGGCAGGGTGGTCATGATGGAATTCAAAAGCTCTGAGGGAAGACCAAAACAGCTCGTCATTTCAGGATCCTTCAGAATACAGATATACTTGTTCCTACTTCTGCACTGCAATACATTCTATCACCAAACCCACAGTTTTGAAGAACTACCCATGATAAAAGAACTGCTGTAAAGATGCACATCACCCAACACAAGGCTGCATGGATGCTTGAAAGGAGAGCTGCTTACCTTGGCTTCAGCTGTGATGATAGGAGTCTGGCAGGTGAGTGTGATGCTCTCCTCCTGTGAGACGCTGGTATTTATACTGATCATCTCACACCCCCACAACCATTAAACTACTTTGTATTTTCTGAATCTGCAAAAAATTAGATTAATTCAAATTTACATAATGAAACCAGTACGATGCAAAAACTGGACATTTCTAATGATCAAAGGTAATTATCTTGGATTGCCACATATACTCCCTGTATGACTTTGCTTAATTAGGTATACTTCATCTACTGCAAAGTGCAGGCACAATGTGACACACCCTGTCAGCATCGGTGTATTGTCAGCGTGTCCCAAAGCACTCCAAATATCCCCTCGAAACTGTCCCTTAAAACCAAGTTTTCCCCCAAGAGACTCCATTGAAAGAATGTGTGTCCCTAGAGGCAGGAAATGCAGAGGGTTCCTTTCTTATTCCCCACAACACCCTATATGGGCTTTGAAAAAAATGTGTAAGAAATTGAAAATGACACAGCAGGATGGTGGGTACGAATTCACCACTGGAGGAAATGGTGAGGATCACTTGATTAGATGTTTTATAAAATAGATTGGGCATATTCATGGGAAATGTTTCTATCCGTCAAAATGGCTCAATGAAATGTCCGAGTCCAAAGGCACTATAGTTCCAAATACAATTCAAGATGCTGAGCGTGAGTGGCAGAGGAGAGCTGTTGTTTTTGAAGAAGAGAAGAAGAAGAGTTTGGATTTGATATCCCGCCTTTCACTCCCTTTAAGGAGTCTCAAAGCGGCTAACATTCTCCTTTCCCTTCCTCCCCCACAACACTCTGTGAGGTGAGTGAGGCTGAGAGACTTCAAAGAAGTGTGACTGGCCCAAGGTCACCCAGCAGCTGCATGTGGAGGAGCAGGGAAGCGAACCCGGTTCCCCAGATTACGAGACTACCGCTCTTAACCACTACACCACACTGACATATATGCCACCTTTCAAGAAACACCAGACTGAACATTGTTCAAAACAGAAGGCTGCATCAGTTTTAACTTTAGTTCTACCTATCTAGATTCTTTGTATGTTGTAACATCTGGAGAGCCATCACTTGCTATGTGCTTTTAGGGTTCACAAACTACAATCCATCCTGGGGTAGCGTGTTATTCACATGGCTTAGAACAAAAAAAAAAAATCTAAAATATGACCAATGTCCCAAAGAGCAGTCAGGAGAAGCAGGCAGGACTAGGATAAATAGGCTGTTCTGTGATCTGCTAGAATTCATCCAGATAATTCATTGTGCCATGAACTATTTAATACATATGGAGCTCTGAGGAGCATTTATGTTTCTGCTCTGAAGATCCTCATTTAATATTTTCAATCCCAATTCTGGGCACAAAGTAATAAAAGTAAAGAGAAGAACAACAAGATACAAATACTACAAATTCATATAAACAGGTCCAATAAGCAAACAATAGATGATGTTATAAGGTAAAAAAGCAAATCTACAATGTCAAAAATTGAAGTTTCCCATATAACCAATCACTTATCACTAGTCAGTGACAGTGCAGTTGAAAGCATTTCCCATTTTATGGAAGGAAAAGGAAATCACTTGACTTAGATGGGAATTGACTGAAAACAGATTAATTCTACACCTTCGCACAGTGTTGGAGGGAGTTTGGGCACAGCGAGTGTTAACTCACGTCTATGTCAGGAAGCGCCCTCTTAACTTCCCTAATTGTTCGGACAGTGTCATTATATGATTTCGTCACTAGGTGGCAATGGAGTTATTGATATCTAGCTGGGAGTCAGAAATTTCTCGTTACTCTTCAGTGCTTGTTTAAGAGAGACAAGCTGCTAGGCAAGCACTTCGTTAAGTAAGATGTTCTCTAAGCCTTCCATGGCAGGCTGGGCAGTGTGGGAAATGTACTCGTTTCTGCCACTGCCACCAAGCGAAAGCACGAGCAGGGGACCACCAACGGGAGGTGTGCTCCCTCCCCTATTATTTCTGAAGGGGTCTTCAAAGAACTGGATGCCCCAGCCTGCTTTCAATTCATGCTGTTCCTATATTTAAGAATTAATAATTGCTGAATTTGCAGATTACTTGGTCTCTAGCAGTTGGGTGTGGATGCAGTGGTGTAGCATGGGTTGCTGGTGCCCGGGACAGGGCAAGTGTTGGACTGGGCAGTGGGGGTGGAAGCATGTGCTGGGGGATGTGCACTGAACCCATGAGGCACATGGCTGCCGCAGCTGCTGCTGCTGGTGGCAATAACCATAGGCTTGGCGGCTCTGCTGCCTCCTGGCTCAGCCAGCCCAGGGGTGGAGCATGCAGGCGTCCCTTCGCTGGCCACGAGGAGAAGGACATGCGACTCCAGCCCGAAGGCCTGGCCTGGGCATGGCTTGCCTCCCCGCAGCTCCGGGGGGTGGCAGGAGCTCAGCCATGCAGCCTTGATGGGTGAGCCTGTTGTCGGGGTGCCTGGTTGCCCCTCTCTCAGAATTTTGCACTCTGCCCCCCATGCTACACTACTGTGTGCATGGAAATCAAGTCCTGCCCTCTTCTACCATTCTTACAGTTTTTGAATTGCTTTTTATCATATCCAGCTTATATTTTATTGCACCGTTTTTACATTCTTTGTTGATGTAAATCATCCTGGAGCTTCATTAGTGAATGGTAGTGTTTGAGATATAGAGCGAGCAGGTAGGGAGATCTATATTGATGTTGATATAGGTCTTTATTAGCCTGTAAGCTTGGCCAGCTGTAACGGGGTTACTTCTTACATGCAATCTTTTTAAGTAGGTCTCATAAGAAGGGCAGTGGAGAGGTCACCTACTAGGGCTAGTGGGGCACTGCTCCAACAAAATCAGTCTACCTTCACTCAGCCCTCACCTGTCTTTCCTACAACCAGTGCAGGTGTGGCACACCCCGCCAGGTTCTTCCTCTTTAGTCCCAGTCTTTCCTGTGTACAACTTAGCCAGGAGGACAGGGAGGGAATGAGAAATGAGTTGGCTTTGTTCGCCATTGGATCTGGCTCCATCAACCAATTGCCTACCTGTCTTCTCCACCAGTTCCTCTTTTTTAAAAATCATTTTTATTGATTTCCCCATAAAAACAGCCAATCCAGATATCCGAATCATAATCCAATTAAAAATAATAAACTAAAATAAATAAAAAAACAAATTATAATCCAAATTGTAATTATTAATTTTTCCGGGCTCCCCATAGTCTGGACCTCTGAAGCATATCTCCAAATCTTTGTTCCTGCCTCTTCTCGTTGTTTTCATGTTTTCTGCTTACTGATCTTAAAACTTTAAAGTTCTCCATCCCTGGTGACTTCTCCACCAGTTCCACTGAGCACTAGCCGCTGCTGGTGGAGGGGATAACAGAAGGCAGGAATTGGTCTACAAAAACACAATAAGACTTTTTACAGTGTTGACCTAGAAGGGGGGGAAATCTGACAGCAAAATATCCTGGACCGCCATTGAACAGCTCCTCCCCTCTATAAATTTGCAGACCAGATCACTTTTAACGAACAGGTAGTGCCCCAGGTGTAGGCTGCTTAAATGGGGCAAGTGGCAGATCCGAGAGTAGCCTACCTGCTCCATCGGCTCCACCCCCTGGCACGGCCCAAGGCCCAGCCTGCATCCCCATTTGCCAAAGCAGGGCGCAGGCTAGGATCCAGTTCCTGATAGGGGACAGGGGCTTATGCCCCCACCGCCTATCAGGAAGGGCACTGAAGTTCAAGTTCCCTCATCGAGGCCCCCAGTGAAGCCTCTGCCATCCTGCAACGCTGCCGCGCCAAGAGGGGTGAGAGGGCTTTAAAAAATATCGCAGGAAAATGGTTCGTGGAATTCAAGAAGCCACTGAGCAATGACACCAAATCTCAACTACATCCACCAGTGCTATTTTGCAAGAAAAAGAGGTGCTGGAACAACCCCTTGTTCTCTTATAATGGCAATGACCGCTCCCCGCTTAAAACGGGGGGCGCCCTTTGCGTGGATCTGGAGCGGCTCCATCAGCATAGGCTTGGTTTGCCTTTCCTCAGGTGGGATACCTGGAGGTCTCTGCCTACCTCAGTCAGTTGTCCAATCCCACCTGGGGGAAGCGTTGCCAAGGAGACCAGGCCAGGTAGGGGAGGGATTACCGCCCACACAATAGAGGGAGGATCTTACCTGGGAATCCTCACTTGGCTCCAGAGCTTCTCCCACCCTACCCACCCTCAGTTAATGTCTTATTTGCAGGTTAACTTTTCTTCACAGGTTTTGCAGGTTAACTTTTCTTCGCAGGTATGCGGGCGCTGCTACGTTAAGGTCGCTGTTAAAGGGCCGGAAAGGAATTTCCCTGCATTGGCAGGTTTCGCCTTTCCCGTAGCAAAACGTCACAACTTTGGTGGTATCAGGCCTTGGGCGGAATCCTTTAGTCCATCTTCCTCTTTGCGGCGGCGATACCAGGGTTCCCCGTTAAAGGGGTTTCTGAAGGGAGGCTTTGACCGTACGCCGAAAGGTCGTCATTGCTCTCCCCTGCGGCGGCGGCGTAACGGGGGCGGCTATCTCTGCTTGAACATATGTTCTCCAGAGCCGGCCCATCCCCCCACACACACTGGATAACCCTGATGCTCCCTAGGTCCCCGGCTGGGGACTGGGGAGGGAGAACGCCCAATGCCTGAGCCAAGGTCTACCCACATTTGAAATTTAATAAAGTTGTGGCCAATTTAATCCCATAGCACGTTGTCTTGAGTCATTATTCCACATGACGGGGGGACCGCGTGGGATCTGGGGACTCCGCCTGTCCACGCAATGGCTGCCACCTGAGAGGGCGAGTTCTGGCTGAAAAAGCCCTGACACCCACTCCCCTCAATATCTTGGCACCACCAAGATGTCTCAGCCTCTTCCTCTTTCAAACAATTGGAAGCATGGCTATGACTGGAAATTCGTTTTACTTAGAAAAATGTTATATTGGCACATCAAAGTCTCAGTGGACGGTGACAGTGATAACTGCAGTACTAGGAAATGGGTGGTTTACATTTTTTTTGTGATCAAAATTGCCCCTACACACGGGGTATTCTCAGATATGGACTGCATTCGCACTGACCAGTTTGTAGTACAAAAACATAGATTTTTCTCAATCCAGAATCATTTATACTCATCATCAACAGCTGCTTTCAGTCTAGAATGATTCTAGATCCCACCCTCCACAAGAGTGAGTGGTAACTTATTGCAGGTTTGAAAAACCTCCTCTTATTCATGCCTTTTCCTTCCTGTTTATGCCCCAGGTGAAGGAAGAAGGAAGTGGCGATTGCGATGCTGGCATATAGCCACCCACAATGACATGGTGCAGGTGTAGATACACCTCCGCCCTCATTGACGAACCCTGTACCTCTGTATTCAAATGGACAAACTGCAGGGTAATGCAGAATCTAATCCTGTTTTGTTGGGCGAATTTCAATAGATGAGGCTGGAGGGTGTGGACAAGGTGCTTGGATTGGACCTTTGCCCCTCTTGGAAGAGGAGACAGCTGCCTAGGCCATGGAGGTGGTCAATGCCAAGAGGGGGTGGTTCCTGCTTGTTTGAAGATGACAAGACCACTTCTTAAGAAACTATCCCTAGATTCTAAGAACCTAATTACCAGTCAGCTGCCAACCTCCCTCCTCTGGGCAAGGTTTTTCAGCAGGTGGTCACTGACCAGATCCAGGTGCTCTTGGATTTTCTAGATGCATTTCAATCAGGGTTTTGGCCTGGCTTTGGCACAGAAACTGCCCTGGTCACCATATATGCTGAGCTCTGTTGGGAGACAGACAGGGGCAATGTGTCCCTGTAAATCCTCCTTGACCTCTCAGCAGCTTTCAATACCATCAACCATCCCCAGGGGGATCCCTGGAGAGGCTATCTGAGTTGCGAGTGCTTTGCAGTGGTTCTGGTCCTACTTGGATAGTTGTCTTCAGCAGGTGATGCTTGGGGAGTGTTTCTCGGCACCATGGGACCTTCCATGTGGGGTCTCTCAGGGCTCAATTTTATCCCCTGTGTTGTTTAATATCTACATGAAGCTGCTGAATGGAGCCATTCAGTTTCAGAGTGTGTTGTCAGCAGTATGCTGATGACATACGGCTCTATTTCTCTTTTACATCTACAGGTGTGGCAGTGGATGAGTGGGTGTCATGCTTTCGTAATGGACTGGATGAGAGCCAATAAACTGAAGCTCAATTCAGATAAGACATAGGTACTGTTAGTGGTTGGTTCCCTAGACCAGATGGGTGGAAGACTGCCTGCTCTTGAGGGGTTACACTCCCTCTGAAGGAGCGAGTACACAGCTTGGGGGTGCTCTCCTAGCCATTGCTGTCACTGGAGGCTCAGGTGGCCTTCTGTCAGCTTCATCTGGTGGTCCAGCTATGCCTCTATCAGTACAGGGATAGCCTAACTTCTGTGGCCTACGGTCTGGTAACATCCAAGCTGGATTACTGTAATGTGTTGCACAGTACGTGGGACCACCTCTGAAGATGGTTTGGAAACTTCAGCTGGTGCAAAATGCAATGGCCAGATTGCTCACCAGTTTGTCGTTGTTGGCATCCATCTGTCTCGAGAGACAATCGAGTGTGCCTCATTTAAACATAAACCTACCAACTTTGCGCTTTCAGAAACAGTATTTGAACCAAAACACAGGCACCCTTTGAAATTGGCATTTCTCTGAATTTTGCAATGCAGTTAACCAGGCAACTAGTGTGTACAAAAATGCGTATATTAGTGGAAACAACATACAAAAATGAATTTTATTAGGGGAATGATGTTTGCAAAAAATGTGTATAGTAGCAAAATAACAAACAAAATGTAGGACAAATTCACACTAAAATGCTGGCAAATTTTCACTTAAAAAAAAAGAAAAGAAATTGAAAATTGCTGCAGAAACAAAGTGGAGTTTAAGATTGGAAATATGAGAAACTGGCAGAACCAAAACAGGCAGGACAACTCATCCCTACTAAGAACAAAAAGCTTTCTGCTTTCTTAGAGATTACCTCAGCATTGCAAAGGAAAGCATGTTCATCTCTCAACTTTTTATTTAATTCACTATGTGAATTCCCCCCTGTGGCATTTGCCCTCCTAGGCAAACATGCTGGGTCATAAAGAAAGGGTTAAATGAGAGTGAAGTAATTGGCCAGTGGGAACCCAAGGGGAGGAGTTAGAGTTAGAGTTAGTGTTGTTAAGCAGTCAGTCGGGTGTTAGAGAAGAGAAAGGGAAGATAAGTCTGTGGGTTGGGATAGTTTGATGTGAGAGAGTGAGAGAATCTGTTAAGAGGAGTCAGATAGACAGTTGGGATAATCAGTTAGAAGTTATTAGGAAGTTTTAGGCCGGTAAAGAAACTAAGATTAAGAAACTTACAAGAAAAATTATCCGAAACAATAAACTTGTTCATGCTTATAAAATAAACTTGTTTATTTGGTTTAATGTTAACAACTGTCTGGACTCCGTGTGTACCCGGGAGAAACGGGTTGGTGGCAGCGGGGAAGCAATCCCAGTGGTGGCACAGGGATCAATAGACCATCAAACGTCCGGGGACCCTGTGTGATCGCCACACACCCCTTCCCATGTTTTGTATGGGATTTCAGGTGATAGTCTGACTGTTTTGAGTGGGGACAGGGCTTCATGCTGCCCAGCTGTCTTGTGTGGGGTATCTTGGAGGGGAGCAAAATGCTGCATGACTGCATTTGTGTAGGAGTTTTGGAGTGGTTGGGAAGAGGGAGTGCTTGGCTGTGTATAGAGGGAGCTTTGGAATGAAGGCGATAGTTCTTGGTTGGTGTTTGGGGGTTTGGGAAAGGGTGGGTGTTGGCTGGCTGTGCTTGTGTAAGTGGTTGGGAGTGTTTTTGTGGGATTTTCTCAGCTGGAGGGAAGGCTGTTCCTGGCTGTGTTGTTATGCAGTTTGTGGGGTATGTGTGTCCTTGTGTGTGCTTTTTCAGAAGAGTATCCTGGCTGGGTTCGTGGAGTCCTTTTGGGAGGGGCAGTTCCCTGTTTGGATTTGATATCCCACCTTATCACTACCCTAAGGAGTCTCAAAGCAGCTAACAATCTCCTTTCCCTTCCTCCCCCACAACAACCACTCTGTGAGGTGAGTGGGGCTGAGAGACTTCAAAGAAGTGTGACTAGCCCAAGGTCACCCAGCAGCTGCATGTGGAGGAGTGGGGAATCGAACCCGGTTCACCAGATTACAAGTCCACTGCTCTTAACCACTACACCACACTATGTTTGGGTGGGTTTGGTGGGTATTGCTTGACTGTTTTCATATAGGTTTATTTTGGAAATGTTGCTTCCCTGTGTTTGGGTAGAGATTATTTTCAGGGAGGTTGACTGACTGTGTTTACATGGGGCTGTGGGGTCTTGTCTAGCTGTGTTTAAGTTGAGGGGGGGAGCAGAACTGAGGGTTGTTTGCGTGGCTATGTTTGTGTGTATTTCCAGCTGTATTCCTGTGTCTCAGTTTTTGGATGTGAATGGGGGATTCCTATCTTATAGTTTGGCTTTAGAACACTAGGTGAGGCTTAAAAAAACTGTTGTCTGAGTACCTTGGGAAGACTTTTCATCACAACTCTTGAGAACCCATACTCTACAATGCACCTCACATAAGTGAAAACGACAAAACAACAATGTTATTAAATGCTTTGTTTATTGAGATATTGTGCAGTTCAGAAAAAAAAGATGCTACAGGCTTTCATAGGTTTCAAAGAAAGAGTATAGTCTCACAGACATCATAGCCAAAAAAAATCAGTTTGAGGAGCCACACTACAGTTTACTGTTTTTGTACTGTAATGCTATATGTGTCTACTCAAAAGTAAGTCCCACTGAATTCAGCAGAGCTTACTCAAAGGTAAGTAGGTGTAGGCTGGAATCCTCATGCTGACTTCAGGGAAAGTAATTCAGCAGAAGGCATACAAATGTGTTTCAGTTATTCAGACAGGATTGCAACAGGAATCAACAGGAAGACATTCATCAGGAAGCAGATTCCAGAGTAGTGACATATTCCTGCCTCCAGGCTCCATTCTGGTGTCAACTGTAGCCCAAAGAAGGGCAGCTTCTTCGATCACAGTGCTATAGTAGCACGGAAAACTTCACGCCCTGAATATTGCACATCATGCAAGACCTTAAGGGAAAGAAGCTCTCTTCCATTCAGAATATAGACATTTCTGTTTTATCAGCTGTTCTGATGACCTAGATTTCTGTTTAAGAACTAGGACAGTATTCAGCACTCAGGAGGCAAGATTTTCCTCGAAAAGTTGTAAAATAGGCAGAGAAAGAATTGCAGACAGGTAGGACAGCAATCCTCTAAAACATCATGATCATACCATGAAAATTAGGCCCACCACCAAATGAAAGTTCTCTTTGACCAAATATCTGCAATGATTGACATTACAAAATATGAGGCAAAGAGGGGGAAATACTAGGGTTTTTTCTATAAAACATCTTCCATATCCGTTTTCCATTGATCTTGTTCCATGCATCACAACTCTTCCTTTATTCTGGCTTAGCAAATCTACCGAGAGCAATGATGCTCTGGGTGCAATTGTGCACGATGAAATAGAGGAAAGGATGGTCAGCCCGAATCTCCACAGGTTCCCGACGTGGACGCCTATCCTTGGGGCAAGGGACTGGCTCTGGTTCTTCACCACCCTCCTCATCAATCTCGATAGCAGCATCATGGACCAGCTGAGTCAGAGCCACGCCTTCTGTTGTGGTTGCTCCAGAGAAATCGGCCTTTTCGTGGTCAGTCAGATCCGGCAGATTCAGGTATTCGTTGGCTTCAATGCTCTTCTCTGAGCTGAACTTGGGAATGGCCAAATCCACCTCAATGGCCTTCAGATGACAGGCCAGGTCAAGCAGATGCTCGTGGCTAAGTCCATCTTCCAGCTAGAGGAACACATAGAAGTTATAGTGATATCATTCCAATCCCAGATTGAATCAAAACAAGGGTGAATACAATAAGAAAAATATATCAACAGACTTTTTCCACACCAGTATTATTGAAATCGAGGGCCAGAGATGGATAAGGTGAATAAGGCCAGGGACAGTATCATAGGAATGGAAAGACCATTTACCTGTTCAAGAGCTTCTGCATTGCAGTCTACTGGCAGCAGCAGAACGAAGGTCAGTTCATTGTTCTTGTAGGGGATCTCAACAACTTGGACTTGAACATCGCATAGGTCAATTGTCCCTGCATTGTAGACACCCTTCCTGTGCATCAGCTGCACGCTGTGGCATTCCTTCTGTGAAGAAAAGGAAAAAAGGAAATATTTAAAAAGAGAGAAGGAACTTAGTTTGCTTTGGGAAGTTCTTTCTTTCTCAGACATCATGAGGTTCGGCATTGCAAAAAAACTCCCAGGGAAAAAGAAAAGGGAGAGAGCAGATTTTTCTCTTTCATAATTTCAACAATGATCCTGCTAAATTTAGTCATCTTCATGCCTAACTGAAATCAGTTGGACTGGTATCAAGTGGCCAAGTTAAACCCCATTGTTAGCAGTGGGGCTTTAGGACAGCTAACTCTAGTTTTGGGCCATCATCTTCAACTAGAAGTGGTGACGACTGTCCAGCATTGCAGAGCCTTCCTTGCACCAAGTGTTGCAAGTGACCTCCATCAAGAGCTTATTGGGGCAACTCAACTCCAACACTAAACATGTATTCTGGAAGTTACAAGGTACATTGTCTCTGCACAAAAGAAGCAAGGAAGCTAGGAATATGTTTCTAACTCACCTCATCTGCATGGTGTGGGTAAAACGGGGCTTCTTCTGTGAGCTCTTTGTCAAATTTCACTTCCCATTGTCCTTTGAAGTAGAGAGCATTCACCAGCAGGAGCTGAGCAAGGCAGTCAAAGCTGTCCTTGGGGAGAAGGTCCTTGATCTTACCTGGGAAAGAAATGGATATAGTAGGTTTTCTTAAAAATTAAAATATATATATATTCAGATTTTAGCTATGATATTACACTGTATGAGTTAGCATAAAACTTCTAACTCACTATTTATAGGAGATAAATTCAGCAACTTGATAGATGAAGTACTTAATTATACCCTGAGTGGTCCTTTGCAGCCGAATGGAGTTATTTAAATGTTTTAATAAACAAAATATTATGGTCACCAGTTTACCGTATTTTTTGCTCTATAAGACTCACTTTTTCCCTCCTAAAAAGTAAGGGGAAATGTGTGTGCGTCTTATGGAGTGAATGCAGGCTGCGCAGCTATCCCAGAAGCCAGAACAGCAAGAGGGATCTCTGCTTTCGCTGCGCAGCGATCCCTCTTGCTGTTCTGGCTTCTGGGATTCAGAATATATTTTTTTCTTGTTTTCCTCCTCCTAAAACTAGGTGTGTCTTATGGTCTGGTGCGTCTTATAGAGCGAAAAATATGGTAATTTATTTTGATAATCTGACCTTTCCTCTGGTTTGGAAGAGAGTAGAGGCTATCCCAGAATGGGCTCTTAACTGATTGTTGGTTCAGTAAGATTTAATTGGTTCCTGGTTTGCAGAATAAAAATCATGACCTCCCTGTCATGAAAGTTATATCCAGAAGACATTGGAGTGTGCTGTGGTCTTACCATGTGTCTGGACTTCGACCCAAAGGTTGATGAGTCTCCTCACTTCCTCTGGGGCATTATGCAGATCAGCGTTCTCCACTTCAGTCAAGTACAGTTTCAGAGCACAGTAAAGGAATTTCTGAACAGAACAAGAAAACATTGGATCCATATATTATCCATAATCACCTTTCTCATTTGGGAATTTTCCAGTTGCTGCCTAATGCCCTCAAAAATTCAGTTCCTCCCAATTCCTCCCGATGAGTGGGGTATAAATATAATAAATAATAAAAATAAAAGCAACAGCAACCACCACCACCATTGGATTTTGCAAGTAAAGCACTTTGTAGAGCAAGTAATTGTTATCATTTCCTCTGATGGCCTGGGAATGAGGCACAGCTTTGACAAACACCAGTAGATGATGAAGCCATTTATGGTAGAATACAGTCAATTGCAGGTTGCAATGTGCACTTGGTTCTCACAGTGCAGTGGAGCACCCATAGGAGCCAAAATTAGAGTTACCTGGATGAAGGCAATGTCCTTGTTTCCATAGAGCTTGTTGGCAAAGCTCAGGGTATAGTTGCTGCTGGGCTCATTAAGAGTCGCAAGGATTTTGCTGAATGCTGTATGGATTCCTTCAGGCTCCTCACACTCGTAGCAGGGAACATCCTAAGGATTCAAAATAGAAGGTTAATTCTCATGACACCTGGCTGCTTCTTAAGGGTTTGTCTTGTGAGAAAGAAAATCTATACCCTTATCTCAGGCAGGAATGCTTACTTGAAAGTCATATTGAACTCAGGAATGCCTACTTTGAAGTAAACATTTATCACATCTGAATCCCTCCAGGCATCCCAGCACACCTTTCTTGTGATTTACTCAATTTTATGCTCACAGCAACGTTAGATGGGGTTGATGGTGACTGACTCAACATCTCCCAGTGAACTTCACATCTAAGCAAGAATTCAGCGGTTTCATCCCTACTTTCCTGTCGATTTTATCACAAGTTGTGTGGTATCATGTAGAATGCTTAGAGACAGCCCCCTAAATTTTAAATAAAAAATAAAGAAAAAATCATCTAGATGAAACTCTCCAGATGTTTCACAACTTACGCGTCTAGGACAACGTGGCTCGGGCTCGGGCTCAGGCTCAGGGCAAGGAGCTGGGCGGTGAATGACTCGTCTCTTGTCACAAGGTTTAGGTTGCTCTGGTTCAGGGCGGGGTCTTGGTTTGGGGCAAGTTGGCTCAGGCCTGGTTGGCTCAGGCCTGGTTGGCTCAGGACGGGGTCTTGGTTTGGGGCAAGTTGGTTCAGGCCTGGTTGGCTCAGGCTTGGTTGGCTCAGGACGGGGTCTTGGTCTGGGGCGAGTTGCTTCAGGCTTGGTTGGCTCAGGACGGGGTCTTGGTCTTGGGCAGGTTTCAACTTTTTCTTGTGCCTGCAATGAAGTTACAAAATGTATGTATCCATAAGTAGACTCATAGAACTGTATAGTTTTCCCAATGTTGCACTGATACCACAAATGAGAAGCCACAAATATACCACAAATAATTGCAGGCTGTATTCCCCATTCAACTTAAGGAGGGGCAGTTAACTTCACATCTGAATATTTTGTTTCAAATGTATTTGTGAAAATGACATTTGCGCTTTCATTGATTGACTGCTCGCTGCCTCTGTTCTTCCTTCAGATATGTTTCTTCCCAACAGGCATGGATTTGATGCTGAGATAACAGGAGATAATACTAATATGCAAGCTGGGTTCTATGGGCAGGGGAGGAATACACCTTTATCCAAGCGTTCTTCTACATACCCTTCTTAGTCTGGTTGTTGAATGTCCCAGGCTCCTGCTTCTGGGTTTGTCACACTCTTTCACTTCATCCCAATGCAGGACCTTGAATGAAATTGAAACATTGCTTCAGTTGCACAGGCAATATTATAACAGCAGCACTTATTATCCTGATATGTATATTAGGGACGATTCACATGACTCTTAGATCATATGTGACATTGGCAGGATGGATATCTTCCTGCATACTAATCTTTGAAACAAACTTTAGGCAATCTATGGTTTTGCCTTGAGCTGATAGCAACAAATCTCATATAGGATGAGAACTGAAGGAATCGAATCTTAAATTTAGTTCTCCAACAGTTTGCAATTTTTTTAATCACAAGCATTTTAGTGTGAAATTCTCCTAATAAACCCATTTTAGATGCATTTTCTTTTACTAATGTACACATTTCTGCAAGCAATTTCCCCAATATAATGCATGTGTTATGCTACTTTCACTAATATCTTCATTTTTATGCACATTTCCCCCTAATATATGATTTTTTGTAAATATTACTTTTACAAAATAAGTACTGGCAAGTACAAATCTATTAAAAAAGAGCTGGTTTTGGCTCATACATTGTTTTGAAAACTACAGATTTGGAAGATTCCATTTGGAAGATTTCCATTCCATTCAACCAAATTTCTCCTCCATGACTAGTGATGCAATATTCTTTGATCTCTGCACATTTATGGGATTTTGTGCAGAGACGTTGACTGGGCTTATTACTGGATCAAGCCACAGTGAGGTCATTTCTCAACTTGTATCAAATATGACCAGTGATGGAAAGGTATCTGCTAATGATGAGCCCAGTCTGAAGGCTGCATCTCTACTGCTTGATTAGACCCACCTTCTCGATCTGATCCGCTTGTTCACAACTAGATGCATAAGCGAGTAGGCCCAGGCCTGCAGTGAGGTTCACAGGGGAGAACACGAGGTTGTCGCATGGGTGCTCAGTGGTCAACACTTTGAAAACGTCAACGGCGGATTTAGCATTGGCTTCAGGCAGGGTGGTCATGATGGAATTCAAAAGCTCTGAGGGAAGACCAAAACAGCTCGTCATTTCAGGATCCTTCAGAATACAGATATACTTGTTCCTACTTCTGCACTGCAATACATTCTATCACCAAACCCACAGTTTTGAAGAACTACCCATGATAAAAGAACTGCTGTAAAGATGCACATCACCCAACACAAGGCTGCATGGATGCTTGAAAGGAGAGCTGCTTACCTTGGCTTCAGCTGTGATGATAGGAGTCTGGCAGGTGAGTGTGATGCTCTCCTCCTGTGAGACGCTGGTATTTATACTGATCATCTCACACCCCCACAACCATTAAACAAGCCTGAAGTTCTAAACCTGCAACCATTTCATTAAACCAAATTTACATAATGAAAACAGTGCGGTGCAAAAACTGGACATTTATAATAATCAGACCTAATTATGATGGATTGCCACATATGCTTCAGATATGAGTTTGTATAATTATGTGCACTTCATCTACTGCAAGCAGGAGATGGATTATGACATGATCAGCACTGAAGATCTCCATGTATTGGCAGGGTGTCCACAGCACTCCTGATAATGACTCTTGAAACTATCCCTTAAAACCAGTATTTTCCCCCAAGAGACTCCAGTAAAAGAATGGATGCTCCTATAACCAGGAAACGTTGAGGATTGCTTTCTTATTCCCTTCATCACGCCACCACTTCACTTGCTGAGAAACATCTCACATGCACATGAAAGCTCATACCAATAACAAACTTAGTTGGTCTCTAAGGTGCTACTGGAAGGAATTTTTGAATTTTGTTTCACCTCCAAGTATGAGACAGTGACAAAACTCCTAAAACCATCACAGCTTCTGACTTGATCACAGGGCGTCCCAATTTCTCCCAGCCAGTGGATGGGGGCTATGGAAGCAGCTCCTGGAGCAACAGTGGAATTGGGAAGAAGGCATGAGAGCTCCTTCCTAAAGCCTAGTTAGTGATTACTAGGCTTTGGGAAGAAGGTGAATGGACTCCAGGACTCTGTCAGAGCCCTTCTGCCTCCTGCCTGAAGCCGTTATTCTAGGTAAAGGTAAAGGACCCCTGGACGACTATGGGGGTGATGCGTTCATCTCGCTTCAGGCCGAGGGAGCTGGTGTTTGTCCACAGACAGCTTTCTGGGTTATGTGGCCACCATGACTAAACCGCTTCTGGTGCAACAGAACACCAAAGCGGAAACCAGAGCGCCTGGAAACTCTGTTGACCTTGCTGCCACAGCAGTACCTATTTATTTACTTGTGCTGGTGTGCTTTCAAACTGCTAGGTTGGCAGGAACTGGGACAGAGCAACAGGAGTTCACACCATCGCATGGATTTGAACCGTTGACCTTCCGGTCAGCAAGCCCAAGAGGCTCAGTGGTTTAGACCACAGTGCTACCAGCATCCCTAACCCATTATTCTAGACCAGCAACCATATTCCATCCCTGCCCTTTGCTTTGTGAACCAACTCACTGGCCTTTCAGCAGATGCTCAGCCTCCCAGGAGCCAAAAGAGACACCTATATTCTTATTTTCTATGCCATTGAAATGTGATTACCGAACTGTTTTTGTTTGTTTTTAAAGCTGCCCCTATCTTGAGAGAAGAGGCAACATGGAGTTGCCATGTATGAGTGGTGCATTCCATTTAACCAGAAGTAGCTTCTCACACGTCTCTCTAAAGAAAGCAAGTGCCTTGGGCAGTGGTTGTTTGGCTGGCAGGGGTGTTGTGGTGTCACTTTAGTTTTTTATGTTTTGTTTTGTGCATATTCAGTTAACATTAATCGCAAGATAACTTAACAACAACACCACCAGGTTTTACAGCACTGCTGGTTTTTGTTTTTTTTAATAATAATTTTTAAAATCACGTTTCCGATTTTAAATCACATGTACACCAACAACACACCAACCACATACCCTCCAACGTTCCTCCGGTGAAAATGTTTCTATTTTCATCTGAGGAATGTTGGAAGGATACCAGGGTGTCATGGCCTGGGATCCAGATGAATGCCGTAACCTAGGGCAGATGTCAAGACCCTCAGTTCAGGTATCAGGAGATTATTATGACATGTGTTGCAAATTGAAAATGACATGGCAGCCCAGCACATATGAATTCAGGAATTCACTGTTAGAGGACATGGTGATGACCATCCATTTAGTTGGCTTCCAAAATGGATTGGTTAAATCCACAGAGAATGTTTCTATGAGCCAAAATGACTTGATGAAATTTCCAAGGCAGAAGGCAGCATACTTCTGATAACAATCAGGCCTCTGGAGAGCAGGTGGGGACAGCCGAATACACTTGCCCTGGGCCTCAGAGGGCTAAGCTGTCTCTCAAAATATCACCACCAAACTCAGCACAAGAGTTCCTGAGGTGCAGGTGGCAATCTTCATCCACATTAGGATGATGGGCACCAATTCACCTGATTTTTGGCACGATGGGTCAAAAAATCAGAGGTGATATGGACACCTCTGAAGATATCATTTCCCAGTTTTACTTGGTTTCACCCACTATTGCATAGTGAGTTGCAACTGTGCCAGTTTAGATGCCTCTTGAGATATTGTCTCCCAACTCAGCATGAGGGTTCCCGGTGAGGAGGCAGTGGTCTTCATTTGGACACCAGATGCTCTTTTGAATCGAGATGGTGAACCGAAATGTGACTTGCCCATGACATCACACAATGTGGTGTGATGGTCACAAACGAGGTTTCCTGAGGTGGAGGAGATGGTTTTCATCTACGTTTGAATGCTGTTGGATGTGCTGAACCCTGTATCAGTATGTATGCATGTCCAAAAAACCTACAAATCATGCTATCCATTTAAAAATCACAATATTTTTGGGGTTCTTAGACTTCCTGGGCAATGCCAGGCACTTTCTGCTAGTACAAGCAAACAAGAAACAGATTTGGGGGATTCACATGAAACAGGGTCTAAACTTATGAGTCAGGGAAAGACTGGGCAAAAAGATACGTCTTTATGAGGTATCTGAAGCAAGTGATGGTTGCTGCTTCACATATGGCAGAGAAAAGGGCATTCCAAAGCACAGAGGCAACTGCAAATTTTGGGGTTACCCATTTTGGGGTTACCACCTTATGATATGCTGTAGGTGGCACAAGTATAATTTCTCCAGGTGATCCAAGTGATTTATTCGCAAAATGTCTATTTAAAGAGGTATATTATTTCATCTCAGTGTACACATTTCTAAAGGTGTGTTATCTTGAAACAGGCATTTTTAAAGCATCTTGGTGCTTAAGCTAAGAACTGTATTGCAACATTTGGAGCCATGCAAAATGTGAAATATAATTGCATTCTGATCCACACACTTGGAGCAGATGGCAGGTCAGTTCACATCAAAATTCACAGAAGTCAAATTCCTCTTGCCCTCTTAGATGTGTGTATGGATGTTTCATCATGCATGGATACAACAATCATATAATTCTGCTTTTCAGAGTCTCAAAAGATTGCCTTTTTTCATATAGTTTTTCAGAAGCTGAAACAGAAAAACAGAGCACAAAAGAAGCACCCAGCTTAGCATATACAATGTCTGTTGTGTAGTTTAACAGTCAGCTGCAAGCTACCTTCAATTACAATTCAAGCCTTTTATTGTGTACATTATCAGGAACTGCTGAATTACAGCCCCCACTTTTAACAAGGACGTGTGCCCTTTTGTGTATGCAGTAATTGCAACAGAAGCTCTACAAGTCTGTCCCCATTTCATAACTGAAGACTTCACATAATGCATGGAGATGAGTGTTCTTGTAGGAAAACATTCTGCCCAGACAATCTGGAGACATCTAGCTAAGCACGTTCACGTCACCAGGAGCAAAAGGCATCAGCGGAAAATGGCACAAATGGGAAAGAGAACATGATGTCACCTAACAACTCTGTCTGGCAGGTGAGGGGATTAACAAGCCTCAGATAAATGGAAATGATATGTTGGCAATAACCCACACATAGCTTGCCTTAACCCTAAGGGTACAAATGGGAGTTAGCACATAGAATGTGCACTGGTTGTGTCTAGTATATCAATTACGTTTTCAAACTCCATATGGAAGCCATAAAGTCTGCTAAAGTATCCTCAAAGTAATTCTGCCAGGATGGACATCCAGTGCCCCACTCGGAAGACAGAGAAGAAGGATCTGCAAAAGCAGAGGGGTTGGCTTACCACATTTTGACGCAAGTAAAGAAATAAATATTGCCATTTATAGAGCAACCCCATAGGAAAGAAGATGGTGTATCAATGAAATAAGAATAGAAAATTAAGATGCTAGAGTATGCCGAAATGGCAAAACTTACCATAAAGATGAGACATCAAGACGAGAAAAAATTTGATCAAGATTGGATTAAATTTATAAAGAACATTAAAGAACACTGTAAATATGTTAAAACAATAGCAGGATTGGTGTAGCATTTATGAAGCAAGTTGGTATTTCAGTAAAAAATGAAGAAGTGAAAATTAATCGGAAAACTAATGATATGCAAGGGGATAAATTTTTTAAAAATGGAAACCAGGGAGGGAGGGGGAAAGTCAAACAAGATGAATTTGGTTTTAGGATGGATGGGAAATGGTTATTTCAAAAATTCTGGAAAATAAAATATTCAAAAAAAGAGCACCCCCATAAGACCAGTAAGTGCAGTAATACACATTTCCATCTAAAGACACACACCCCACTGCAACTGTGAAGTCCAGAGTGTTAAATTACCCAGCTGTATCACTGCCTGGGATAAACATCAGGAAGAACTTTCTGACAGTAAGAGTTGTTTGGTGGTGGGACAGACTCCCACAAAAGGAGGTGAACTGTTATTTCCTGGAAGTTTTCAAACAGTAATATGCTGAAATGCTGTACTGAAGGGAAGGCCCCTTTGGAATTTGGGAGTCTCTGTGACACCATTAGAAGCTGTGATGGCTACAGGGTTTTCAGGGCAGTTGGATGGTATGGCATTTAAAATATTAAATATCCCATGGAAAGCCACCTTGAAAGGGTTTTTAAGGGCTGTTGGTC